GAAATCATTTTTTTTATTTTGATTTTTTGAATTTTCTTAAAAATGGAAACAAATAAAAGAACCAAATTTTGGCTGTTAAATATGATCAATAATAGTGACCTTTTGACACCTTCAAAAAGAAATTATTTTGTCAGGGGTGTACTTGGGAATTTTTTGAAAATTTTGATTATTCATAACTTTTTTGTGTTTTTGGTAATGACTTATCCATATTTTTTTTTACATTCTACATTGAAAACTACGTCAAAAAGGAATACTTGTTTGATCTCGATTGGAGCAGCCGTTTCCGAGAAAACATCATCCAAAGATATTCGTGCAGTTTAGGTTAATTTTCAATTTTGGCTGTTGTAGCCAAAAAGTTGGAAATCGAGGAACACGGCTTACATGTCCCTATCCTTACTTTTGAAGGTCTATTCAGTGGCAAAAAATATTAGTTGATACAGGGTGATCAAAAATCGGATGTGATTTTGGATTTTTGATCACCCTGTATCAAATAATATGTATTTTATGTCACTGAATAGACCTTAAAAAGTTAGGATAAGGACTGTAAGCCGTTTTCCTCGATTTCCAACTGTTTGGCTACAACAGCCACCTGAATTTGAAAAAATGTGATTTTTGAGTAGCTGTAGATCCTTTACTATTCATATTAGATAACAAGTGTGATATATCATTGAAATCAGATTATCGAGCAGATTCTAAAAATATAAAAATATACAGGGTGTTCCATTTAAAAAACATAACTTTGATTTGGCACGGCCTTATGAAACACCCTGTCACATCGTAACTAATTTTAAAATGTGAAGCTTAAAGCTGCCTACTTTTATTATAACAGATCTACAGAGCTTCCTCACACTAATCAATCACCCTGTATACTATTTTTAGCTCTCTAAATAAAATTTAAAAATTTAGTTCCCATTTATTTATTATGAAGACCATAAGGTTTGTATTTAGCTGTTTAGAATAAAAAAGTAAAAATATGTATTTTTTTGGCGTTTTTGTGTTTCATGGATAATTTTTTTCGCTCACTGATAAAAATGTTTCTTCAGTTAAACATTATTTCTAAAAGTGTTCTGGTGCGATTCGTTGTATTGTTATTATTTTGTTTAAAATGGCTCACAATAACTACAATAATGATTACACATTCGGCGAAATGACGGACATGCACTTATGTTTTGGACTCGCTTCTGGAAATGCCAATGAAGCTCGCAGACTTTATCAGGAGCGCTTTCCAAATAGGCATCTTCCATGCGCTAAGACGTTTTCTAGAATTGACGATAGACTTCGGGAAACTGGTACATTTAAGAAAAACTCTAGTAACAGTGGAAGACAAAATTATGTGAGAACTCCTGCTTTGGAAGAAGCAATTTTGGATAGGGTAGCTGAAACCCCATCGACAAGTACCAGAAAAATAGCAAATGGTAAGTAATTACTTATTTATTATTTTAGCTACCCCGTACCTTATCGTATAAAACTAGTTTTTTTACTTGTTATTGCTTCTCTTACATTTCACGACTTTTCGTATCGAAAAGAGTTGCGTTATGCAGAAAAAATCTGATTTCCCAAATCAATGGATTCTCTTTCTTAACTATTCACTACACAGATTCTCTCATTTAATTTCAGAAGTGGGAGTCGGACGTAACACGGTATGGAAAGTTTTGCGTAAACAACAATTGTACCCTTACCACATTCAAAAAGTTCAGGCACTTAAAGCTACTGATTTTATCTTTTCTGAATGGTTTCTTGGAAGATGTAATCAAGATGCAATGTTTCTTAATAAAGTGCTATTTACCGATGAAGCTGGTTTCACTAGAGATGGTATAATAAATTTTCGAAATATGCATGAATGGGCTGAAGATAACCAACCCTCACGCGGTTGTTGAACGTCACCACCAGGATAAATTTTCAATAAACGTCTGGGCTGGAGTTATTGATAATTACCTTATTGGACCATTTGTTTTGCCGAATAGGTTAAATATAGCAGCATACAGGCTTTTTTTGGAAAATAACTTACATGAGCTTCTTGATAATATTCCGATTCAAATCAGACATAACATGTGGTTTATGCATGATGGAGCTCCACCACATTACAGCCTTGAAGCTAGACAGCACCTTAACGAAAGATTTGAGGGTAGAGTAATTGGCAGAGGTTGTCCTGTTAACTGGCCACCTCGTTCACCAGATCTAAATCCAATGGATTTTTTTGTTTGGGGTTATTTAAAATCATTGGTTTATTCCAGTCCTGTTGAAACAGTTGAAGAATTGGAAGAACGAGTTTTTCATCATTGCGAAGTTCTTAGGAATAATCCTGAAGTATTTTTTCGTGTAAGACAGTCTATGATGCGACGGTTGCGCTTGTGTGTGGAAACCAATGGTCGCCACATTGAGCATCTGCTTTAATTTTTTTTGATTTATTTTTTTAGAATAAATATTTTTTTAAACCGTTTCTTATTATTAAATAAAAATAGTCCCACCACGACATTTGAACTACAATTATTTAGAGAGAGCTAAAAAAGTTATTTTTATTTACGAGATTCACCGAGGTAATTTAGGAAAATTGAAAATTAAGCTAAAGTGGACGAATATCTTTGGATGATGTTTTCTCGGAAACGGCTGCTCCAATCGAGATCAAACAAGTATTCCTTTTTGACGTAGTTTTCAATGTAGAATGTAAAAAAAAATATGGATAAGTCATTACCAAAAACACAAAAAAGTTATGAATAATCAAAATTTTCAAAAAATTCCCAAGTACACCCCTGACGAAATAATTTCTTTTTGAAGGTGTCAAAAGGTCACTATTATTGATCATATTTAACAGCCAAAATTTGGTTCTTTTATTTGTTTCCATTTTTAAGAAAATTCAAAAAATCAAAATAAAAAAAATGATTTCGAGAGGCTGTTGCTCGCTTAGGGGGCACTTTAGGACATAGGTCTATAGGAACTTTTTTTCCATTTTTTGGTTAAGGAATCTGCCTGAGAATTTTGGGACACATTTTAAAGGACACCCTGTATATACTAGCCGTAGAAAAAACTTTATCTATTTGCTCTTTACTATGCTTTATAATATGGTAATATAGTATTCAAATATGTGACTTATTTTTATTGATATTTTTATTTACGAAACAATTTAAAAATAACTTTCTTGTGGGTTCCCTCTGATATGTCTTTGTCCCTAACGAAATGAAATAATATTTAGTTATTTTTAGCGACAAAACCAGAGTTTATCTAATTTTAAGTGTCCATTTTGTTTTTATAGCTACGAAATAAAGAAGAACGTATCCGGATTTAACAGCTCCAACAACACATAAAACATTTTGAATGCACCTGTTGTCATTCGGGATTTTAAATGAGATCATTTAGAGCGGAAAGTCATTTTTCTGATAAACAGGGTCGGATCATACAATATTATATATGATTCCTGGAAATTGGTCTAAACAATTGATCTAATATTAAATGATCCAAAATACATTTTGTGCTAAAATAGTTGTTTGAAAAACATTTGATCTAATATTACAATGGCTCTTAAATACATTTGTTCTAAAACGTTATAATATTATAAAATACAAAAATAGTTCAACCAATTTAGGTAAATTTAACAATAAAATTATAATTTTAAACTAATCAATATTTAAGCATTGAAAAACCATCAATTTCATATGAAGAATACCTGGTTTTGAACTAATATAAAAGGATACACAGTACCTATAGTACGAATATTAAATAAATACCGTCAAAGATATTAACAGAGATAAAAATAATAAAAGAACAGACTCAAGATAGCAACAACTGCAAAAAAAATATTTACAAATAATTTTGCATATTCATCTACGTTTTTTATAGTAAAGAAAGTTCCAATTATAGGTTTTCAGTTGTTCTTTTAGATTAGTATAATTAATATATTTTTTAGTATTATTTAAATTGGATTTTGCGGAATTTTTATTGTCGATAGGAATATTAACACATACCATATTGTTAGATTATATTTAAAATATTTGAATTTGGCGCTCTTATATTCATTCGGTCGCTCACGCATGTGCGCCAAATAAGCGGTACCTGATCCAAAAGGAACGAAATCACCGCGGCAGTCACTGCCTGACATTGATCGACAATCGACTTTATTAAAAATCTAACAATATAGTGGTCAATAACTGTTAATTGTATTGTTGATGCTAACACATCTAAATTATCTTTTGTGTTTTTCAAAAATATATGATCATCACAAGTTCTGCTGCTTGGTCTCGGTCTCGTTATGCAATTTATAAGAGAATGAAAATTAAATTCATAAAAATTAGTTTTCAGTGTATTATTTTCTTCTTCCAAGTATTTTATTTTTTTGTTTGATTCTATTTTTAGTAAGACTCTAGTCTCGCTTGCTTCGATAAAATGTTTAAGATCGCTTCTTGTATTAAGAATCTTTTGATATACTTCACCTAGCGTAATAGATACTTTCTGCCATATTTTAATTTAATTTACTTAGTTGTTTAGTGTATGGTCACCTTTATAATTCGTAGGCACATATATTCTCTGGTGTAACAAAAGTAACGCAGGTATAATAGTTATTTATGCAACAAGTGCAAGTGTTTATTGCACGCGACGTGAGATTGTCGAGTGCAATAAACACTTTTTGCACGAGTTGCATACAATATTTTTTCTACGTTCATGCAAAAGCCAAAAAATGTTTTATTTAGGCGACACTAAGAAGTGCAGACGAATAAAAAGCGTAATTTAATAGCAGAATATTTAATAAGTAATAATTAGCATCGAGTAACATTGAAAAAGTACTATAACAAAATGAATAGAATGAAATTAACTTAATTTTTATCGATTTCAGAAACCGATAATTTCAATTAAATTTGCTACACTTCTTATTTGTGTAAAGCTGGTTTTTGGGCAATCAAAGTGTATTCGTTATAATCCAGCTGATTGAGAATAATCCAATAATAGAAATTATACAAACTATACTTAATAATACTATACTCATTCAAATGTATGTAAAATCGACTTACTTAAAGCGACAAATCCAAGCAACAAGAAAACAACTTTGAAAATCCCCTTCAGATGCATTTCGCGCGATCCAAAGTTTAAAATTCGAAAAAAAAACGCTGTTTATTCTACGCTCTCGAGCACATACGTGAGGCCACGCACCGAAGAATATAACGAACGAACCGCCTCTCGAGAGTATCGAGTGTTACGCAGATAGAAACTGAGGCTGGAAGTCTCACTGCAAGCGAATTAATTTTCTTCTTCCACCAGAGGATGGCAAGAGATGCTCTGGAGATGATCCGTGAACATATCCGTGATCTTTCATGCTTCTGTGACTTTACTTTTCAGTTAATTATAATGGAAAAAATGTTACACGTATATTTAGATCTTTCTAATCTACAGCATGAACTGAAAATGCTAAAGTTGCGGTACGACGATTTTATTTTTGTATATTATATTTCACAGAAAATGTATCCTAAACTGGTACGATAGGTTTAAATATGGTAAAAAAATAGTATCAGCTTCAATAATAGCTAATTTGATTTGGGTTTGGTAATAAACATGCCTCAGATATCTGGGATGGGGACATTTTATGGATAAACTATGGAGAAAATAAAGGAAACTAATAAATATAAAGTTGAGCTTGGATTATAGTAATAATATTTATAGTGATGACATTTCTTATTTTTTATAACAATAATACTCTACCTATAATTCACTTACCTAGGAATCAATTTTAACCCCAAAAGCCAACTAAACTTGTGCTGGGATCAACTATTATTATATGCCGGGGCGAATTACAGATAAATGGTAATGGTGCCATTTGTGTTACAGGTGAGGAAAACCGTACTCACCATATGTAGGTATCTATGTATCTATAACGTGAGGAGGGTGAGTACCCCCAAGACGCTTAGGCCTACATTTTTGATGTAGTTGACAATGTCGCCAGAGGTGCTTCTCTTATATTGGCCGATGTTAGCCAAAACTTGCCGAATACAAATCTTTTAATTATTGAAAGCGTTGGGCAATCGTAGAGGATGGTCTCATCTCATTGTTCGCATATTATTGAGGCGGCTGATGAGGGTGTTGAGGACCATGTTCCACCGTAGAGATAGTAGCAAACCCTCCACCCCTCCCTGTGAACATCCCCTCGCAACCAAGCCTCTTATATTCACATCTTCTACTCTTGTGTTTACTGCTCGTTTTGAGAGCATGTTATGTATATATCCACCCACTAACCATCTGTGAAACGTTCCTGTTAGTTAGTGAGCGCATTTATTTTGGGGGAAGATGTTTTTGTCTGTGAGAACACCCAAGGCGGAGTCCTTGTTTTCCAGGGCCAGCAACTAAGTGAAGGCCTGAATCAGTAGATTTACCTATGGGGTGTATGCATGTTGATTTGGGTGTACTGATGTTGTAATCACCACATCCCTCACAGTGCCAGCGGAAGAAACATATTTAGATCGGGAAGCACCTCGAATGACGCCCCTATAATTTAGGGCGACCATATCTCTTCTGACCCAAGGCGACATTAAGTGACAATTTTTTTTTAATTTTTCTGTTTTGTTTTTAGTTCCTTAACAGAAATTCATTTTGTTGACCCAATGCTGTTGGACGCATGGTTTAGTTTAGCTCCTCAAGTCTTTTTTGTCACTTTTGTCACATATCGGTCAAATCACTTTTTTTTATAGATAATTTTATAACTTAATTTTGGTTGATCGTGCGCCCCTTACATTAGGCGCTACGGGCGCTTGCCCGTGTCGCCCGACCCTTCCGCCGGCTCTGATCCTCATGTACCTTTAGCATACCCTTTCCAATGTCTTCATGGAAAACGATGTCAGACTAGTTGGTCGGACAGTGTAATCCATCTTTCCAGGTTTGAATATGAATACCACCTTTACCTCTCTCCTCTCTCCATTATTTGGGGATATACCTCAAAGCTAACGGGGTTCTGAGTATACCTACCAGGTGTGGTGTGAGTTCTTCCAGACCCCACTGAAGTAGGGCTGGCTGGATATATACCATTAGGTCCTGGCGACTTAAATGGAGAGAATCTAGATGGGTTGTATTCTTTCTCTGCCCGTAGATAAACACTGGAAGCAAAGAATGCATTGTTCTGTAGTCATAATTGTTGTGGTTTTTGCAAAATAGAAATGGGCGAAAGCGCTTTGCATATTTAAAATAATACAATTTTGAACGAAATACAAGTTTTCTTTGCTGCAGTATTTAAATAATTTTGAACTCCGAAGGTATCGAAAACCAACGAAACAAATTTCTGTTAAAAGTTAGAAAAAAAAATGGTCTTTTAAATCTCATTAAGTAATAGAATAACAATATATTTCAATGATCTACCAGTCGACCCTATCTGCTTTAAATTATTAGGCATTCTTACCGCAGAGCTAATAACAAATAGGCAGCCTACATTTCAATAAGAGGTATTGTAAGTTATCTAACCAATAGGAACTACATTTCATACTGACACTACAAACCACAGAACTACAAGAGTGCGTTTAGAAACCTCGCACGGCACGTCTGACCCACTGAACTCGTACTGTTACAGTTCAGTGGTTTCTAAACGCACCCCAACTACAACGAACCAAAAATTCCTGCACAAATGTCAAAAGTCATAAAGTGAGGTTAAGTTGATTTTTCCTTGTGTTTGAATTTTGAATTTTTCTTCAAAGACTATGTCTTTAAAAACGTATATAAGGGTCGTTCCGCTGGTAAGAAATTTTCTAAATTGCCAACATACATTTTTGACTCGCACACCGTTGTGCCAAATCAAAAATACATGCCGAACGTCATTTAGTTTATTTAATAAATTTGATCTTAGACTCTATTCTACCGATACTAAAAGCAAAGTTAAAGTTAAGCATATATATTATGGGCCTCTTACTCCGCAAATAAAAGCAATAAAGGTAATGTATAATATACACGAATTATTATAAATATTCATTCATTCACTATTTTAGATATTTTCATTATCTTCAAGTTTAGTTGGTGTTATAGCTCAACCTTTTCTCTATACTGAAATAGCCCGTACTGGTAATGTAGCTATAATAGCAGCGGCTTACACTTTCATAGGGTTTTTCACAGTTGTTACTCCAATACTGCTACATTTTATCACCAAAAAATATGTTACACACATGGAATACATAGAGGATACAGGCTCTTATATAGCTAGGACTGTAAATTTCTTCTGTCTAACGAAAACGGTAAGAAATTGTATTTTGTAAGTATCTAGAGCTTTAAGACTGATTAAATTTCTTTTAGATTGAATTTACTCCAGATGATGTAACAGTACCTGACATACCTGGAATGTTCACTAGTATTCACGTTAAAGGAATCCCTTTATTTCTGGACCCAAGGGTATTTGAATACCCTGAACATTATGCCAGGATTATGGGCTTCGATAAACCTCTGGATTTTAAATTGTATCAAACGCCACCAGTGGGAGATCAGGACAAAAAGAACTAATAGGAAAATTAATTATATTATTTATTAGATTTTAATTATGAAATAGTTGATATTTTTGTTGTAAAAAATATTATTAAAACGTTCAATTGGAGACATATATCTTTATTAATCATTGTGCTGTTTTTTTGCAAAATAGAAATGGGTTAATTCTGATGGGCATGGTTGATATGATATGTACTGTTTAAGACACTCGGCATGTTTCTATTAAAAATAGTTGGTTGGCTATATTTTCTTAGTGAAGAGACAAATTCAATATTACCTAGCTCTATTTTATCTAATAAACCAGGTTTTTATTGAAATACATTTTATTTCTAGAGATATGAAAATGCATTATTTATTGGGATTCACAAGCTCTTAAATTTTGCTTGTAGAAATAGCTTGTTGAAGATACTAATTTTAAAGTTAATATTTTTTTATGGGTGGCTAAATTTAGTATCCAAAATAAAACTCAATATTCTATAAACTTAATGTAGGTATATTTTCAAAATAAAATAACAAACACCTTGATTATACACAAAAATCAAGAAAAACCTTTTACAATATGGAAAATACAAATTTGTAAACATGTCAATATAAAAAATTACAAATTGGCCTTTGACCGTTTGGCCATGTTCAATCCTTGTGCGATTTTTTCACCGAATGCTGCATCCACGGCCTTGTAGTTCTTGACTTGCCTTTCTTGGATAAAATCTGCAGCTCCAGACAAGTGACCAACAATGTTGGATACCAATCTGTCTACTTCCTCCCTTTTCAGAGTCTTGGTGACGAAAATCTTGGGCTGAGAGAAGTTGTCTGCATCACCCGTATCATACCTTCAAAAAATAATCATTATTAATTAATGTTTTATACTGTTTAAAATGAGTGACGTTAGTTGGTAAACATCGTTGCTCGATGATTCAAAAATTTTATCTATTTTTTTTATCCCCTGTTAATAATATTGGTAAATGATGGTAAAAAATTTAGATGATAATGTAAAAAAGTACATAAGAATGTAAAGAAGTTAGATGAGACTGGAAAGAAGATGGAAAAATAGAGGTAGAATTAGAAACTTACAATAAAAGAGTACAAATCAAAGAAGAAATAAATATATAAGAAAAAGATATAAAGGTAAAACTGGAAAAGATAAAAAAAGGAAAAGAAGTTAATGGAGAGACAGATTACAAATATTAAAAAGGAAATAAGTATCAGTAAAGGAAACAGAAGAATTAAAGAAAAAAGTAAGAAAGAAAACATAGGATCAAGAAGAAAAGTAAAGTTATTTTAAAAATTAAATTAGAATAACATTAAAACAAATACAGGATGTTAAAAAATTAGATGGGTTTTGAATTGTCAGAGGTATTTAAAAATTGCAAAAGATATGGATCTAGTTAACGTTGAATTGAAATGAAATGGAGTATTATAATAACACAAAGCAGGGGTGGTGAAAGAAGAGGAATTAGAAGATTTAAATTTTTTTTAGATAGCAATTATTTAGTAGTTTTAGCTTTAGAATATTGTTATGGTTCGACTTTTCTGGGGCGGAACCATTATAATATATGCCTTTATTATTAGTTTTGTTCCAAAAATATTTATCGGTAGATTAAACATGTCTTTAAACCCATTAAATTACGAAACTATTACGGTCAACCAAAAATAGATTATCGATAAAAATAATAGTTAAATTGTTTCCATAAAACCAGTTTTTTGATAATCAACTCATTTGAGATTTCATAATCAAGTTTATATATTGTTATTTTGAGCATTTGAATTATCAGAAACAAAAAAAAATATGCAAAGGTCAAGTGCAATGACATGCGCGAATTGATAATGCAAATAGATAATATAAATTGCGGAAAAAACTCGTATCTGATAAATATAATGTGTTTTTAAATGCAGTACTTTATAAAATATGTCAATTCATCCTTATTATTTAATTTCTCAGTATTTAGCTTAGTATCTCTCATAACTCAAAAAATCAACTGTTTTCATATGTGACGATTTTACCGGTCACTTTGCATACAATACAAGTTCTAGAAATCAAACTATATACATATTATAAACAGTGAGGTGAAAATGTTAAAATACTCACACATGTATTATCCTAATTATTTAAAATTTAAAAAATATCAGGACTCACCTGGCGGCCTCTCCTGACACAGTGAAAGCAGGCTCCAACTTTTTGGCGACCTCGTCGCTTTGGGGACCCCCGAAACTGTTGGGGAAATAATTGGGCGCGCCGCCTTGATTGTGGATGTTCATCGGACCGTCGCGTTGGTAGTTTCTTACCCTAAACGGACAGTTGACGGGTAACTGAAGATAGTTGGGCCCCAAACGATGTCTGTGCGTATCGGAATAGGAGAAGAGACGGCCCTGTAGCATCCTATCGGGCGATGCTTCGATTCCGGGCACCATGTGGGAGGGGCTGAAGGCGATTTGTTCGACCTAGGATAAATATACGATTTTCACTGATAAAAATTGTAAATAAGAAAATTAATTAACTATTTTTCGTGGGCATTTAATAAAATATGGAATTAAAAAAATTTTAGCTAGCCTCTATATTTTATAGGGTGTTTTTAATGTGATTTATTTTTGGTATATTTAATAACAATATTTTATATTTACTATCATAGAAATATGATTACAAATATATGTTTAACAATAATAAATAGGTTCAAAAATCGATTCATCCATACTTCCCATTGATAAACAAACTAAAATACATTTCTGTAATGTCATTAGAGCCCAGAATTATGATTTCATTTTAATAAGTAATACTACTTGTTTACATTCCTCCAAGTCTTAAAGATATTGAATATAAAACCTTATTTGATTGTCTCTCCACCTTAAATTTTGTTGATTACGAAAAAGTATTTATTTTAGGAGACTAACGTTTTTACTATAATGCAATTTTAAATCAATAAACTCTTTTCTTTTAATCGTTACTGTAGTATATTTTCGTATTCTTTATAATATTCAAAATGACTGGTAAATTTTAATTTTTATATCTCTTGAGAGCTTTATCTCTTGACTTCTCAATGAGTTTGGCGCCTAGTGTAATTCAAGGTTCATGTTTATAATCTCTGAATCGTTGTAATTCACAAAGGAGCGTACTTATCCACGGGTTGCATTATTAAAAAATTCGATTTTATTATCTATGCATTCTATATCATATACATTTTGCAAATTTAAATTCCCTAATTCTAGCTTCTAAATTTCCTAAACTATTATTATTAATATAGTTCAGTCAAATTATAAATTCACAAACTAATTTTCCAGGGCTATTAAACAAATAGTTCAGTAAAAATATATACATTTTTGGCATTTTCGACAAATATAACTTACCTCGCTGAAATAGTTTTCAGGATTCTTGTTCAACACCATTTTTCCGACCTTTATGAGCGGGTACTGTGCTTGGGGCCAAACTTTGGTCAAATCGAATGGATCGAAAGGTGAGTTTTTAGCTTGCTGTTCCGTCATAATTTGAATATGCACCGTCCATGATGGGTAATTACCTTCTGCGATGGCATTGTACAAGTCCCTGTTGGCGTAATCAGGATCGCTACCTAATTGGGATTAATTATTTGTTATACAGTACGAGATACAGTGTGATTTATTGGGAAATACGTATACGTTATGGGCAGAGGCGTAGCCAAAAATTTTTCATGAGTAGGGTCAAATATTTCAGATAGGATTGTTTTTATTAAAAAAAGTAAATATTTTTTTGTAAAACGATAAAAAAAGAGTGAAAACAAGCAAATAAAAATCACAGTTGCCAATAAATTAATATCACTGCATATATTTAATACTGTCAACTTATTTAACCTCTCTTCACCCATACTATTGCATCCCGTGGGGGGGGGGGGGGGTTCCATTGAGGTATAGTATTATAAAGAGGCGTTATAAGCATTATTTCGCACATAAATAAAACGCCGCATTAGGCGTGGCTTAGAGTAGTAACAATATGGATGCCTCGCCAGGTCCTGACTCTAAGAATTTTAATATATTTTTTCTTTCAACTACGGTCATATGAATATCTAAAGCGTTTTTAAAAGATTGAAACAAAATAAAATGGAAAGAAAATAAAAGAGAAAAATGTACCTATTGACCTTTAAACCAAACTATCTTATTACCGTTATGCTTTATGCTCTCAGATTTATTTTGTTTGGCAAATAATATAGTATATTTATCATATAAGTTTATGATGTAGACGAGAATATATGGAGATTTGATAAAATTTATTTATCATATATTTTACCTGCTAATTGATCAGCTTTCTTAACGTCCAGGTTCTTGATTCCTTGGTCAGTCTTGTGATGGAATTTGCAATAATGTACTTGCCCGTCTTTGTTAACCAGTTTGAAAGTGTGGGAACCATAACCGTTCATGTGTCTGTAACCATCAGGAATACCTGAAAAAAGTTGAATCGGCGTATTAAATTAAATCAAATCAGTAAGCTTTTTCTTCGACTCACCTCTGTCGGAAAACAAGAACAAATTTTGGTGCATAGTCTCCGTCCTCAAAGACATAAAGTCCCAGAACATATCTGGGTCTTTTAAGTGGGTCTGGGGGTTCCTCTTTTGCGTATGGATGAAGCTGGGGAAGAAAATCGGGTCTCTGATGAAGAAAATAGGTGTGTTGTTGCCCACTAAATCCCAAATACCGTCTTCGGTGTAGAACTTAACGGCGAATCCTCTGGGATCTCTCACGGTATCTGCAGAACCGGATTCACCTCCCACTGTCGAAAAACGAATACCAATGGGGGTTTTTTTGCCAATTTGGGAGAATACCTTGGCGGCTGAATACCTAAAAATTTGTTTGTTAAAAAAATCCTAAATTTTCTCGTCTAAATGATTATATAAGAATGGCGTTGTTGAAAATGTTGCTTACTTTGTGATGTCATTGGTGACTTCGAAATATCCGAAAGCTCCAGCTCCTTTGGCGTGTACCACCCTTTCTGGTATCCTCTCTCTGTTGAAGTGAGCCAATTCATCTACGAAAATCTGGTCTTGGAACAACATAGGCCCCTGGGGGCCCACTGTCAAAGAGGCGGTACCTTCGCCGATGGGATTACCGAACGATGTGGTGGCAGATTCGACCTGGTGGTTCAAACATTTTATATCAGTATTATATTTCATTTACAGAGTAATTTGGCAGAATTTTGCTGTTCAGATGTCACTGGAGGCCGAAGAAATAATAGGTAATTATTAAATTTTAAAATTGTAACGCGCGTGTGCCAATAAAACGGGAGAATTTAAATTTTTTTTCCAGCTACTTTAATTTTTCAATTAACTCCCTATATTGTAGGAAGAGAGAAATGGAAAACTGGCGTGGGAGTTAAATAAAAAGGGTAACGTCGATTAAACTTTACTAATAACATATTTTCACATTCCTAATCTATCATTTTTACTTGGATACAGGTCGTTAGTTTTTTATAAATTAAAATGCTAATAAAAATATATACCTACAATAAATAATTATTTAAACATTAAATGCCCTATTAAATTAAAATTAAGCTTCAAGTTTAAAATTTTAATCCTTTCCTTTGTACATTTTTTATATTATTTATATTTATACATTAAATAGTATAAATAACTAGATGCAAACAAAACTCATTTTAAATATGATAATTCGATTCAATTAGTATGTTTTTCTGCATTAAATCATTTTATATTCCATAATAAATCAAAGGACGGAGACTTATGTGTAAGCTGAATGTCAGTTGGAACCTAAGAGTTTGTATATATTTGTATTTTCCTAGCATATTGAATATGATTCTACAAATCTTCGATGAGTTAATGTTAGAATAGTGATGGAGTTTTATGCAAGTAATATTGAACAAAAATACAATAACTGACCACTAAAACTATCTACCCGAAAGAAGATATAAAAATATTCATCTTCTGGATATATTATTTGGCAACGTTGTAATGATTTGTAGTTATTTTATTTGCTACTTAAGGAGACAATTAATGAACAATAATATATAGCACTTGGAAAATACCATGCAAACATCTCTCGTATCTATACAAAATGAATCCAGCTCGTCCGTCCGTATACAAAAGAACGCATAAATTATCATAAATACCACTAGACCAAGTGCTGAGCCCTGTGCGACTAATGGCGTTTTCCATTGGCACCAGGGTTGCCAACTTTTCACATTCCATTTACCGTACCGCGCAATTTGAATTACCGTACAAGGCCTCCCACGTTCCGTACACCTTTTATTTTGTACAAAAACTATATTTAATATTTTTTTAATCAACCTCTAGTCCAGGCCTGCACAACTCAAATTTTCAAACTGCCAGTTTGAGAAACCGTAAGTGAACGAGGACCAAGTGAAGTCTGAGCATATAGTGGTCTGTTGAGATTCTGAAAAAAAAGTTCCTCGCGTTATAATTCTACCCAAAAAAAAGGTCGTCAGCTTATGATGTATAATTCCTGCTTCTAAAAAAAGTCATCGGCTTTAATGCAAAAGTTTGTTACTGAACAACGCATAGTTCGACGTAGGCGGGCCAAACTGGTCAACAGCCAACGGTGAACGGTGGAATCGGCCCTTACACAACTCAAAGTCTTTGCTAATTCTGTTCAAAATACCGTACGTTTACCGTACTTTTTATGTAAATACTGTACTTTTATGTACGGTATTGACTTTGGACCGTACACCGTACATTAATCGAAATTACCGTACAAGTACGGTAATTACCGTACGATTGGCAAACCTGATTGGCACTGATTGTATGCACCGAGTATATTTGTGTCCTTGTTTATACAGTGAGCATCTTAAGTCTTACCCCCCCCCCTAACTAACTCGTTACTGGGGTCTTGTTAGGAAAATCGCCGAGACAGGTCGATTTTTAATTTCTACAATGTACATTTTTGCATGATTAGTTAACCCTTAATTTCATCCCTTACTGGAGGGTAAAAACCCTTTCGAAAAATTTAAATAGCATGGGGTGGTGAGTGATAGCTCATTTGAAAGGGGGTTTTATTCTCTATTCAACCGTGCAAAAAAATTTTGAAATTTGCATCATTACATGTTGATTTATTAATGTTTAAAAATAACAAAACCTCACAAAATAGGAATCAACTAGACTAACAGTGACCTTCTAATGGCAAAAAGTCTTACTTCACGTCTGAACCAAAACCGAAGTAATGCAGGGCCGAATTTTAATTCTAAGGATGAGTGCGCTACGTTAATTTCCGTTATTCTGAAACAACAATTAGTCGAGAATTAATGAAGCAAATTTCAAAATTTTTTACACGGTTGAATAGAGAATAAAACCCTCTTTCAAATGAGCTATCACTCACCACCCCATGCCATTTAAATTTTTAGAAAGGGTTGCTCCCCTCCAGTAAGGGACGAAATGGGTAAACTATTCATACAAAAATGTACATTGTAGAAATCAAAAATCGACCTGTCTCGGCGATTTTCCTAACAAGACTCCAGTAACGAGTTAGATAGGGGGGGTAAGACTTATGGTGCTCACTGTATATATGAAACAGAAGAAAATAAGAATACACTCACAACGTACTGAATATTCGAATGGAAAACGCCATAAGTTTAGTAACAACAATTTCATACGTTAGAGGTCCATATTGATTAACGGATATATGAAATTAATTCCTATATTGTTTGGATAAAAAATATCAATGTACTTAACCTTTTTGCCCTCTTAAAAACATTGTATTGGATGACAACACAATCTTAATTATTGTATTTTATATGAATTTAATATCAACTGATAAGGTTTTTCAAGATCATTACCAACTGTTTGGAACCCATAAATGTATACACAACTTACTACTTTAAAATATAAAAAGTTTTAAGATACTGCAATAACACTATTGTAAACAAACCACTTTTAATGCGAGGTATTATTGTTGTAATTTATAAATTGTAAATATTATATTTAAGAAAAATATATTTCACAGGTACATACAAGGTGGCCTACTGATAACTGGTGGCTTTAATATAATCATTTTAAATCGGAAGGAGACAATTTTTTTCCTATTAGCAAAATCCTTATGTCAACTTCCAAGCGGGGTGTGAACAGTCCTTACAATTTGAATATCGAATTGCACATTACTGAAAAGCTCTTATAATTATAAACAATAGAACAAGGACGTCGCCAAGAGGGGGGGGGTGAGGCAGGGAGGAGACAGATGCCCCCTTAGAGACTTCAAAATCGTGCAGATGTCCTTAAAAATTGAGATTATTGATTTTCTCATAGTTCATCAGACCCTGACCAATATTATATATGTAATTACTCCTGGGTATCCCCTTATCCTAACAAACAAAGAGTCACAGAAATCGGACAACGTGGTAAATATTATCGTTAAAAATACATAAAAAATGAAGATATTGATTTTCTCATGGACCACATTATTAGATCTTGATCAAATTTTTATCGGACCACCCCTGAGAATCATAGAAATCGTAGTAAAGAATTATCGCTGAACATACATAAAAAAATATTCCGACGAATTGAAAACCTCCTCCTTTTTTGAAGTCGGTTAAAAAGCCACCGTAGTAATCCCAAAAAAGTTACACGTGAAATTTTAAGGGATGCCACTGTCGTTGCAAAAAGACTCGGACTGGAGAATAACATAATATCAGTGCCGCGCATTGTTGGAAGACAATTTTATCGTATAGAAGCAACTATCCAGCAGAAAGCCCTTCAGAATTTTGGAAAAGGTCAATAATAATATCGTGGACTCTATTATTACTTCTCTTGGAGAACGGTTTGCTCAGGTAAACACTCCATTATTCCCATTGTCCAAATTACACCCGCTCTTGCGATCTACCATATATAAAAAATGAAATCGAACTTTGGCAACAATTGTGGCAGGTCAGACCCAATCTGAGCTGGTCATTGTTGATGTCCTAAAAGACACGAAAGCCTTCTTTCTCAAAACAGGTAAAGCTTTAAAAATGTTGAATGCTTTACTGAGCACAACGTATTGTGACGAAAGTCTAATTTGTTTATTTAAAAACACACTATTTACAATTTATTTCAGACGTACTATTTAATTTATATAATACTTAGACACTAACTAACAATTCTAATTTATTTCTTACACTTTAACCTTTCATTACAATATTCTATATTCAACTAAACTGGGCGCCGATACATCGGCTATTTATATTAGTCCAACTCCGCTACTGGAAGACACTCGAGGCTCTCGAACATTCCATTCTATGACTAAACGGCACTCTTCGCCCGTTCCAGCTGTTTCTAGTGCATCAGCGGTGCACGAGTCGGTTGCTATCTGAAGGTCGCGCGCGTACATAGGGTAGGATTTAAGAATTTCATGACAGTATACTTTAGAGCGATCCTTCAGTAGCCTGAGACGAATTAAAACCAGGTCAAGAAGTACTATGATGGAAAGTCGTATCAACGGTCTTGCAATGAGGGTTCATCGAAAGATTCTCACTGAGAGCCTAGTAGATTTTAATAATAAAGTAGTAAAAGAATTCACAAAAAAGCCCAAGAAAATTATGTTTTACTTAAGATATTTTGTTTATCGTAATAAACAATTAAAACTTCACAAAACGTATTTTTTACCTACAATTCATATCCACTATCATCCTCTAGTGATTTAATGAGAAAAATTGTATGTAATATTGTAAACTACGACTTTTCTATGAAACATTGTCCACCGTTTACGCAGAAATACAATTTAAAAACAAAATGTATTCGTGAATTATTACATTCGCGGAAAGTTTTTTCGAAAAAAAAATTATTTTTTCCTGTACTAATAAGAGTGTATAAAATGCAAATAAAATATTCAGTGTCGTACCTAAAATGTTTATATGTTTTAAATATCAAACAGCTGTTCCACAATAAAAATAAAATTTTAACTGTTAATTTCGATTCAAAAACTCTACACCACTGTTTAGAAAGTTTAAAGAGCTTCTTAATTATGTGCAACTTTTCCCTATTTAATTTGCAAGGGTTGAGGTGACGATTTTACAAATAAATTAGAAAGATGTCCCCTTTTCCATCTAAAATTGACGAATCCAAAAATCCCCATGGCTACTTTTCAGCGGGCCATCCAATAAATATTAATTATTTATATTAATATTATTATTTTTATTTAGAAGAGAATGCAAATAAATACAACTTTTTATAAACGAATTAAAATTTAAAAGCCAATAAAAATATAAACTTGTTTGGTTGTTTTGCATGTATTTAATCTTTTTTTATGAATTCATTGAAATTGGTAGCAGTTGAAATAAAAAAAAAATATTAAGCAACATTTTTATGTTAAATATTTTTCCCAAAAATAATTGCTTTTGACCAGTAGGTACGTATTATAGTATTCTGCTAAAATACCAGCATGTAGGTCATGGTTTTGATCCAGATTTCAGTTATTTACTTTCATTTAAAAACTGTGCCTTCAAGGTAAATTCGGTATCATTACCCTTCCAGCAAATTTTTAAAGGCATAAATGTATTAATTTAAATCTAGAGATGTTATATTTGATTTTCGTATCTAGAATTGAGTACATACTTATATCAACTATCTTATTATGATAGTTAATCTTAATCTATTCAGTTTTGATTAAATTAGTTTTGAATATTAGGGCTATTATTGTATAATTTTAAACATAGTTCTTTTTTCCAAAAGTCATTTACTTATTATACAGTGAGCACCATAAGTCTTACCCCCTATCTAACTCGTTACTGGAGTCTTGTTAGGAAAATCGCCGAGACACTTCGATTTTTGATTTCTACAATGTACATTTTTGTATGAATAGTTTACCCTTAATTTCATCCCTTACTGGAGGGGAGCAACCCTTTCGAAAAATTTAAATGGCATGGGGTGATGAGTGATAGCTCATTTGAAAGAGGGTTTTATTCTCTATTCAACCGTGTAAAAAAATTTGAAATTTGCTTCATTAATTCTCGACTAATTGTTGTTTCAGAATAACGGAAATTAACGTAGCGCACTCATCCTTAGAGTTAAAATTCGGCCCTGCATGATTTCGGTTTTGGTTCAGGCGTGAAGTAAGACTTTTTGCATTAGAAGGTCACTGTTAGTCTAGTTGCTTTCCTATTTTGTGAGGTTTTGTTATTTTTAAACATTAATAAATCAACACGTAATGAAGCAAATTTCAAAATTTTTTGCACGGTTGAATAGAGAATAAAACCCCCTTTCAAATGAGCTATCACTCACCACCCCAAGCCATTTAAATTTTTCGAAAGGGTTGCTACCCTTCAGTAAGGGATGAAATTAAGGGTAAACTAATCATGCAAAAATGTACATTGTAGAAATCAAAAATCGACCTGTCTCGGCGATTTTCCTAACAAGACCCCAGTAACGAGTTAGTTAGGGGGGGGTAAGACTTATGATGCTCACTGTATAAAGTTTATCAGTGATTGGAAATCTTTTGTGAGGCACCGTTGTTAACAAAACATTATTTAACAGAAGAAAAAACAATAACAAAAACTCTTTTTTCAAAAACTGATTGAAATGTAGCAAAGTAACAATAACCAACTAAACTATTATCAATTCAATGAATATTCCTTGGTTTCATCTTTAAACTTAGGTTGATTTATAAAACATTTATGGTAGGAATTACTGACGAATATAATTGGTAAAATAAAACAATATAATAATAAAATATATTAATATGTAAGAGACTATAAAGATGATAAAACTAGATAATATTTTGCAATTAAACAATAATAGAAACAAGTCTCATAAACTAATTAAATTAATTTACAAGTATTAGAAATTAAAAATTTAAAAAAACCGACTTCAAAAACGTGCAGATGCCATCACCACATCTTAACTAAATTTATAAGGGACCACCCCTGAGGTACCACCTTACTAACAAAAAAAGAATCATATAAATCGGACAAGGTGGTAAAGCATTATCGCTAAACATACATAAAAAATGAAGAGTTTGAGGATTTTCTCATGGACTCAATTATTAGATTTTGACCAAATTTATATGATACCACCCCTGACGTATCATCTTTCTAACAAAAAAATAATCATTGAAATCGGACACCGTGTTAAAGAATTATCGCTTAACATAGATAAAAAAAAAATATCGCGACGAATTGATAACCTTTTTTGAAGTCGGTTAAAAATTTATAAAAATCTCATTCTGCTATTTTCGTTTTAAATAACTCTATTCTTTTTAATTTAATTTTCAAAAAATTGTGAAATATTACCTACTACTCAAAATATGTTACTAAAAGCCGAAGAAGGTCAAAATCAATTCAATGTTAATTGTGTTAATTCAATTTTATTCAAATCATATTAGCTTTGATTTCCATATTTTTGTTATTCGTCATATTTATCATCAATTACAAGATTTTAATTTAATTATATAGATAGGGACGTGCCGTGCAAATGGGCAAGATCGTGGGGTCCATTTGGGCAAGTACATCACTTATTATTTTCGTAGATAGGCAACTACGTACATTTAAAAAAAATGACCATAGTTTCAATAAAATTTAAAATAGAATTTCATAACAATTTTTAATAAAATTTTTATATACATATTGTAATTACAAACACAAACGAGTTAAAATATGATTATTTTTATGAAATACAATTTTTTATTAAAAAAACTGTTTAATGTTTATCTAGGTGACCTTTGATGTTTGATGTTTTTTTTATTATATTTTACCACTTTTAATCAATCATAAAAGTATGTAAAATTTGTCTTATTAAAACCCATGATCTTAGGTATAAAAAAATACTGTAAATAACTTAAAATTACTGGGTTAAAGTTAAATACTGTAATTTGTTGTACCTATCATAAATGAGAATAAATAAAATCGGGTCTAACGAGTAGTGACTACAATCATTTTGAACGTAAAACTAAATAAAATACGAAAAAGAACACTTTTGAATTAATTATAACAGAACACAAATATTTTTAAATAAAACATGAATAAATACTAAATAAGAACCCAATCTTTAAGAATTTTATTTAAAAAAAAAACGAATAATTCCAAAATTATTAATTACCGTAACCTGTATGAGTAGTCACTACCAGTTGGAAAATTCAAACTTTGACCCAATCTAACCTAGACAGGAAAAATAAAACTTACCTGTTGGTTTTTCTTTTGGTACTCATGGAGTTGATTGGCTGCTCTATCTCTCGAAGCCATTTTAAAAGTTGATAGTTTCACGGAAAAAAAGTGTATCCTTCGTCGTTCAACACTGGAACACAATTGATCAAAACATTCCAACAACGTAACTTTTATATCTCTATATAAACATGTAGCTTTATCACCAACAAGTAAACTTATATAGCTAAATGGTGGGGGAAATGAGCAAACAAGTAAAAACTTATCAATTCCTTGGGTGTGGTGGGATTGCCTTCGTTCCCTGATATGATTATTTACAATTTAGTCATTAATTAGTTTTGACTTTGAAAGAAGAAAATGGGAAATTCGAGTTTTTGCATTTTTCCACTTTCCCCCATTTTTACCATGCAAGTCATGATGAACTTTAATTTTTCAATGATGATAAACGTACTAAAAATTAAGTTTTATTTTCAAAATAAGTACCCAATTATTTAAGGAAAATAGTAAAGAAATAAAACATGCAGCGCCATCTATCTTCTATTAACAATATGTGATATTCTCGTTTATAGTTTTCTATCCTTTACAGTTGTTTTCGATTATGAAAAAATGTTACATGATTAAAACATTGTATAAATATGTTTTATATACAAAGAAGTTAGTTGAACAGTAACATTTATATTAAAATTATTGTATAACGATGTTAAAATATATAAACAATTTTATAAAATATTTGCCCATTTAAAATAATTTCAGCTCATGGACATAATATGGAGCAGAAAAATATTTATATTGCATGATATTGCCATCTGAACATAATGCTTCAAACCTTTCTAAAGGTAACTTTAATATTTAGAAAATCAATTTCAAAAACAAGTTTTTTGTATTTTTTTTTTTATTATTTTGATAAATGCAAAATTGGCCTAGAATGAAACGGTGGTCATGTCATATAGTTCAATCATAGAGTTCAAAAGGTATACAGAATCTACAATTGATTTTAATTAATTGTTTAGTTGTAGAATACCGTATTAATTAAAGGCGGAAATATTAAAATTAATACATTTTTATGTGGTATTGATTATTGTATGAACGTAAAAGTAATTTAAACAGATAACATTACTCATTGATGATATCAATTGAAAAGTTTACCTTCTAGAAAGTATAAAACTGTAAAAAGTGTAATTTATTAAAAACATTGTAGAGAAATATTGTTTTCCGTAAGATTATTGCGTAATGGTTATTATTAATTAGAAAAAAAGTGTTATATGTTTTATTTTTCCACTTACTGGTATTGAAAGATTCAAATTGGCGCGTTGAATCGGATCATGCGCACTAGAAACTACGCCTCCTACCCTAAATACCGGACATTGCAGATTGCAGCAAACAACGGTGGCAGCATCATCAAATGAAGTGCAGTGCGAGACAACCCTTTTTCGGTAACTTCATGTCGTGAAAAGTGTTGAGAAAATTAATAAAAAAGTAATTAGTGTGGAGACTTTTCCGTATGGAGAACTCTAATTCGGAAGGCGTCGTCCTACCGGACATTTCCGAAGCCGAACATCTTGCGAGCGAGCACGATGGCGGCGATATCGAAAATGGCGAGTCTGTCGTTGATTCAAAGAAATCGCTCGTTTCTACTGTTTCCGTGCGACATGCAGGGGTTCCTGTTACCCTTCCGGTCGGATCGCTCATTACAAGTACCTTCAATGTTATCACCCAGGATCAAATTCCGCATTTTAAGCCGATGTTATGCGTGGATAACAGCGGTTACCTAGCTGACGGTTCTAGTGGTGAACTCAAGACCATTGTTATCCAGCAAGAAGACGTCTCAGGGGGCAGCGGTGTTAATACACCTGTGAGCGTTTCGGCCCCAAATCTGGGAAGTTGGAACGATGCTGCGAACGCTGCCGTTTTACCTGTCCGATGTAAAAATACGTCAGCAGAGCTCCACAAGTGTCGTTTCGGGTCAGGGGGTAGGGGGCGTTGTATCAAACTAGGGAATTCCTGGTATACACCTAGTGAATTTGAAGCGCTGTGCGGAAGGGCTTCCAGTAAGGATTGGAAAAGGAGCATCAGATTCGGAGGAAGGAGTCTGCAAACTTTAATTGACGAAGGTAGGTATGTTTATAAATAAATATAGTATTGTTTACATTTGACGTCAAAAAATGAGGTTATGTTTTTGACTTTAAATTTTACAAAAAGTTTCTCGGCACTGAAATACACTACACTAACTACGTATTTTGGGTCAACTGAAACATTTTTCCTTAAAATATTCAAAATATGTTGTCCAGTCTCGACCATAAAAATATGTGAATTAAATAATTTTAATGGAGTTTTTGTTGTACAAACGGCTAAATAACAATATTTTACTATCCATAGAGCAATAAAACATACACTTTTTTTTTTCGTAAACATTTATAAATCCTTAGTTTTTGCTTCTCAAAGTTTTGAAATAAAAATAGAAAAGTTATCACATACTTTGATTATTATATGGTTTTGGTTGAATAATGGACTTTAAATGAAAGGAGAGGCAAATCCTATATATTATTTATATGTATATCAATTATATGGTCTAGCTATGTTTTTCTTAGTCTATCGACTCAATATTGTTGAAAGTATGTCGACATATGGTGGCTCTAAAAAATGTTTTTGTTACTTTTATGATTCCTGTGTATCTCTAAAGTACAAAATGAATGTACCTGGATCAGTGGTAAATATTACACATAATTTTCTAACTGTTCCAGATAAACTATTTAGCAGAAGGGGCTATTTTCTCGGTGTGGCTGTGGGCTACCTATACTTTCAGGTGTGTAGATGAGCCACAGGTAGTAAACCTGAAATAAATAAAAACAATTATTATAAATGTTCAGAGAAGTAAACAGTATTACTTACATGTTTATTTATATTATTTCCCAACTACTGAAGTAAATGCTTCAATTTTCTTAGTATTTGCCTTCTACCAAGAATTGTTTCATACCTTTTTACATAAGAGCAATAAGCATTTTTCTTAAAATGCTGAGAACAGACAAAAGAGTTTAGAAAAAATTATTTCTAAACAATTTGATTGTTTTGTAACCACTGTTCATGTTAAGTGCTTGAGATTCGTAGGAGACCTGAAATATAAAAAAATTAGAATACAACAATAGGAACATAATTAAAGTAGTTACTGTTACTTACAAATGGAAAGATTTAACTTAAAATCATCAAGTAAAGCAAAGTTTTCTAGATACTCAAAACTTGTTAATGGTTTTGTAAAGTGTAGATTGGTAAATAATATCTTTGGGGGAGACTTTGGGCAAATATTATAACATAACCTCTAAAAATATTGCGCCAAGACTTAGGCAACACAAAACATTACATCAAAATAACTGAATTTTCTGTCTCCTTTTACAAGGCACTCAGAAAGCTGCACAGTGCAACCATTCTCTATATAGTAAGAGAAAATCAAAGTATGTGAAGGTTTGAGCTGTTAAATTGCTGCCTGTGGGCCTGGTGGTCAATGATGTATATAGATATAGATTGCTCAAAGCAGGTCGCATTGTGAGTGGCTGTATTGTCTCACAAGTGCTCATTAATCAGAATCGGTTTGGCAAAATGTGTTTTAAAATAAATTTTCAGCCTTTGAATATGTTAAAAAAATAAACTTCAAGACACTAGCCTGTGTTGCTGCATTTGAATATCCACATTGGATGCATCTGAGATGTTGTAAATCTTTGCTCACTTAAAAAACATGAATCATCAATCTATATCATTGATCTTGTCAAATCCACTGAGCCTACAGGATTGCCATATCAATGCCTACAGGAAACCATTTTGTTTGGATTGCCCAATTTTTTATTTACACATTTAAAATATGTCAATTGCCATTCTATAAACGTGATATTGCCAAATGTTGTAATAAAACATATTTGACAGTAAATAGGTTGGTTAATGAGAATTGGCTGGTTGGCAATGGCTCCAGTCCATACAGTAATGAGATATTAGAGCAAAGCCAGAGGTTGTTTGAAAAAAGTTGTGATGCAATCTGCCATGGCTCCAGACCTTATATATGTTTCTGGAATCACAAATCTTTTTTGATAACCTGGTACAACACAGGTAAAAATGACAATTGATATGTTTGAATCGATCTAACAACTATTTCTAAAAGATGTATCGATACTGGATACTTTCTTTGGTTCCTAAAACAAGAAAGTATAGATACTTTCTTACTATCTCATATTATAAATACTTTGAGTTCATTGGAACTGAGCTTTAGCTATTTAAATAAAGAGATAATTGTATATGTTTGTAAGTTTTCAAAGTAAAATGTAGACACAAATTACACTGGATGTGAAACCCAGCAATAGATAAAAAGGATTTTGAAGTATGTATTCTTTAAATGTGTATGATTATTAATATTTATTTATTAAGGAGCAATTGTCCAATTAAAATACAAGTTCAACAAAAGGGAAAATTTAAAACCTAACCTACACTTAGAGAATGTTGAAACAAAGAAACACAAATTACCATAAAATGAACATAAACTTAAAGAAGAAAAAATTAAATATTAAAAAATAAAACAACAAGATAACAATAATTGTAAATAAGTTAATAAATTAAATTATCTAGACATCAAAATATCACATACATGATTTAAGCTGGGATTTAAAGACTTTTTATTATCAAAGCAGTCCAATCTATCAGAATACTGATTAGCAAATCTACCTGACCTTGATAGAAAATAATTATGTCAATAGATAGTCCAATGTTGTTTAATATTGAAGAGCTGAATAAGCCTTGTTTATCTAAAACATTTTTAAGGTCATCCATATATGCAGAAGAAAATTGTAAGATGTATGGATAGAGCTCATCCATTAGCAAGATGCCAAAATCTATTTAAGAAATTGGAAATTCTAACAGTGCACTCTTTATATATTTTACAATTAATACTATGATAATAAGAACCAATTCACCTTAAACAATGAAATTCACTCATATAGTACCGGCCATAATGATGACATTCATGCCCCCTTCTCAAGATTGAGTGAGTCAGAATTCTCCCAATTATATAAGGGTTAAATGTTTCAATAAAATGAAAACGCTTATTAAATTAGTCTGCCCAAGGAACAGCATAAAGAATAAAATTATTAACTTTCTCTACAAGAACACATTTTACAATATTGATGAATTCCTCAATTCTTGAACTACACAAAGTAGGTATCATAATCTGTTGACCAGGTCATTTTCTAAATTTTAAATTGTATGTTTCTTTTAATAATAGTCTTATGTGTAGTGTTTACTATTTTTTAAGATAATTGTTTTTAAAAATTTTAATATTGTTTAAACTGATCAAGTGGTTTTCACTATGTGAATGTCCTTTTATGGTGAATAAACTGATTTGATTTTTGAAGGAATATTGATTTTTCCCACCCAATAGTTCTGATACCTCTGTTGCCAATTTTAACTATTTTCAATTATTCTTGCTATTTGGTATTGGTACATTAGTAACAAACGCATTTTTAACCGACTTTAAAAAAGGAGGTTCCAATTCGTCGCGATTTTTTTTTTTTTTTTTTTTTTTTTTTTTATGTATGTATGTTCAGCGATAATTCTTTAACACGGTGTCCGATTTTAATAATTCTTTTTTTGTTGGAAAGGGGGTACTTCAGGGGTGGTCTCATATAAATTTGTTCAAAATCTAATAATATAAATTTGGGTAAGATGTGGTGATGGCATCTGCACGTTTTTAAAGGTGGTTTGTTTAAATTTTTAATTTCTAATACTTGTTCCAGGCATAATCCTGCCGCACGCAACGAGTTGCACGTGCGCAGCTTGCTGCGATGATGAGTCAGCCACGGGGCCGGTCCGCTTGTTCACTCCATACAAGCGAAAACGTAGGAAAGAAAACGACTCCGGTAAGAGATCCAACGGCGACGACAGCGACCACCAAACCAAAGAGGAAGCTTGGCAGAATCTGGCTGAAGGCCTCGACTCCACCGATTATCAGCTGATCGAGCCTATGGGGGCCACTGTGGACACTCACACTCAGATTAAAAGGCTGGAAGAGATCGCATTGCAGATCAACCGATTGGCGTTGGAGTTTCGAAGGGGTTTGGAGGATCTGAAGGAGAATGTGAACAGGCAGAGTGAGAAATTTCAAAGAGAGAAGGACACGGCAGTGTTGGCGGCGAGAGTTGAGGCGCAAGTGGCTGCTCTTCAGCCTGAAGGGACTACAGATTCTACCCTTCAACCTGCCATGGATAATGAGAATCACAAAAAAGTAAGTATCTACCCATTGTTTTTCTTTAAGGTTGACCTCGACCTGAACAACCTTGCAACATGAAGTCGTAATTATTGGATATATATTTATAGAATATAACGTTTTTCAGTGTGCAAACTGCAACAGAGAAGCTCTGGCGGAATGTTCGTTGTGCAGAAGGACGCCCTATTGCTCGACGTTTTGCCAAAGAAAAGACTGGGCTTCACATCAAGTGGAGTGCGTCAGGGGTGTTGCAGCGGCGGCTAGCGATGGAGGCCAACAGTCCATAATGCTTATCGTCGAGAGCGCAGACCAACAGTGATTTTTATCTGAACCCATTCAAACTAACTTATTTTGGTACCAAATATTTTTTAAGCAAATATATTATATAATATACAAATACTGTGTAAGTATGAGTGGACGAAAATGTTTTCTGATTTGGGTTGGTTAGATTTTTAGTTTGAATCGTTCAAGGATTATTTTTATTATTTCTGTACAGGATGTTTCCAGATATCAAAAAGCATGCAAATCGCATACTTTGATGTATTGATTTAATCGGCAACAACAATGTTTTATTCATCATTCGTTAATCAATTTAAGACCATGCATTTTTTTTTCTTTTAATTGCATTATTTTTTTTTTGTATGGCGTGATCCACAAAAAATGTGTGTCTAAAGTAGATCATGGAAAAATACAGCCAAGCAATTCTAGATTAATATAGAGGTGTGCATTATGGATATGACTTGTATTTATATCTTGTCAGTCATGGCCTACTTTAAAAACATTTTTTGTGGATCACTCCTTATTTAAAACTGTTAAAAATGGACCAAAACAGCCAATATCTTGACCGTATTTGAGGTTTTATTTTAGAATCGAAATATAAAGGTAATTTACACCATTAATAAAAAATGCGTAGTGGATTTATTTATGTTTGGTATAATGTCTATCTCGAGACATCCTGTATATATTTACTCCTCAGTACATATCCTACACCTGTATGATTTATTGTACAATGTACATCAAGTAGTCTTTTTGTTTTTGAGCAAAAATAATGTAGAATTTTGAATTTAAAATGTTATTTTTATTTTTACCTATATAAATATTTTACTTTACTGAGACAACAAATGCAATTTTTCTTTGTGACGATCTGTAATTTTTTTATGGCCCGATCTAGTGGTACCTACATTTTGTTAATTGACAGTAAATATTTTGACCTTACTTCATCGTGGCCTTGTAACATTAATGTTAACAGAAATATTTGTTTGAAGTAGCCTATTAGATTACCTGATTTGAGGTCGTTCAAAATACTGCTTAATTCTTGAAATAGAAATTTATTTGAATTATCAGATTCAATGTATAGGTTGTCCCATTTGAAAGATGAAGCTGCCATCAAGCGTTTTTTTTTATTATTCATGTAATATAGTAACGATTATTATTTGGACAAATAGATCGAAATTGCCACAAAAGAAATTAATTAAAAAGTAAATTTAGGTTTTCTTGGGACGTCCTATATTTAATTCTGCATTATTACCTGAATGGTTTATGATAGAATGACTCACTAACAGGTGACCCGATTTGAGCCTGTTAATTTTTTATTTCAAAATAATGTATGTACCTTTAATTTAGTTGTCCAATTGTACAAAAGCTGTTTAATTTTGGGACACTGTATATAAATATATTTGTTAATTTTATTTCCCTATTGGTACATTTCAACCTGGAAGTTGATTTGATTGAAAAAAAATGTAGACCGTTAGCACTTTGTATATAAGTATTTTTATTTATCATTTATCACCCACCCCTTAACCCCCATATACATGTAAAAATGTGTCGTTTTTGTGGGCTAACTCTTTTTTAAATGTATAAAAATAGCTAAAAAAAGGTTTTCCAAATTCTGAATGAATTTATTGTGAAAATTTCTGCCACTGTGATACGTTTATATCAAAATATGAATAGGTCACTATTAATTTGATTGTTAAGATTGGTTTTATTTAATAAAAAAACCTTTAATATTGTATATTTTTGTTTTCTTTCTGTGTCATTTATTTAGATGACGATGAAGAAAAAGATCAAGTGAAACCTCTAAATGTCCTGCTGGGTTACCCTGTTTAACCACTGTGGCTAAATGATGATTCAATTAGTAACTAATAACTGATCGATTTTAACAATTAGCTAGTTTACTAACAGGTGGCACTATTATATGCCTGTCAACAGATATCTAACTATTAAGTTTCTCCAGTTACAAACAGATCTTACTAATGTGGAATATTTGACTAATTGTTAATGGAAGGTCGTAAGTATATCAATTATCACCCGTTTTTGATCAAATTAAAGCACTATCTTTGTAAATTTTAATGCTTTTGCAGTTTTAAGGCGCACCTTCTTCAATATTTTGTTCTAGTATAATACCCCATTTAATTTTCCAATAGTGTTTCTACGCCACTGGCATAATATTTACATATTTTAACAATAAACAAATGATTATTACTACAAAAATAGATGACCAACCTACTTTCATATATTATTTACTATTACCGCATTTAATTGCCAATAATTTTTATACGCCACTGGCGTAAATTCATTTTGGTAATAAACATGCATTTATGACTAGTTGGCACGTGATTCCAATAACTTCTGCAGTTTTAAGCGCGTGATTCCATTCATTATTCTCTATTATAGTATGATTGTTGTACATGAACAGGAACGAATCACCTTCTTCAATATTTTGTCCGAGTATAGTTACCAATGTTATTTTTGAAAACAAGTATGTCCGACATCTAGTAGTTTACAAGTTCAGTGACAGTTGTAAAAAATTTTTTCTGTAATTATTAATTTCCTGCACAAGAACTTAATTTTTAAAAATAGGGATATTTTGCCTTTTTTAATCCACTTATGAAAGATTCGTTTTATTTTATAACTTTCCAGATTGATGCTGTAACTTTTGATTCTTATTGAATGGATTTCGTGTCGGTTTTAAGCTTAACGTTAATAGTATAAAATGACGTCAGTTAAAGTAGAGAATTGGCATGTACTTTGGCAAGAAATTAATTTGTTAAATTTTGATGTGAATGGACCGGCTTGTGTGCGTATTTAAACAAACTTACTAAAAAGATCGACAACCTATTTAGTTGGAAACCGAACTGGATATCTTGAATTTCAAAACATCAACCAACTTTGCATCTTCAGTGGTTTACATTACAATAGTGGGCATTTAACTTATTTGCTCCCTGTATATAGGTGTAACACTTAATTTTCCATAGTCTTCAATAAAACGATGATGGGTATTGAATTAAAGGCGTAAAATAAATAAAAACCCTGGTTCACTTTTGTATAAAACTGAATATAATTTATGAATCAACTATGTGTACATTTTTAAACAATACACTTGAATCTTACAGTCCGGCTTATAAACAAAATATACAAATGAATTAATAATATTATTTATAACATGAATTTTTTGTGCTTTGAATTGTACAGTGGTAGGTAAAAATGATTTATTTTCGAGAAACAAAAGAAACAAACGAGAACAAAAAACGAAAACACGGCAACATTTTTCGGATTTACCCTTCTTAGAAATACAAAAAATGGTCTGGATATTATTTCCCGCGCAGCAATTTCATTTATTTATTTTCATTAATTTTATATTCATTTATTATTCACACGTATCATGTAACATGAACGACAACAAATGGCTTGTGCTATAATACTTGCAGTAAAAAATATACACAACACTCACGTAAAATGGATGCGATAAAAACATACAATAATCGAGATAAAAAAATAAAATTATTTATACACGTCTATCTATATAATATATATAAGGTCAATAAATTCTTTTAAGTAATCCAAAATTTATACTGATCTGTCGATAAAAATCGACATAACAGTTTTTCCTGTACAAAAAAAAAATTATTTAAAAAACTGTTTTTAATCATTTTTCAAAACACAATTGCTTCAAAAACAAACTGTTATACTATAAGAAACTGATTAAGTACCCTATCAATACAAAAGTTCAAAACGTATCAACAATAATTTAAAAATAATGTACACTACTACAACCGATAAAATTGTTTAAAAAATAAAATATCTTTATAGAAATTTTGGCATTTTAAACTTTTGTATACAGATCCTAAAAAATTATTCACTAGATTGTTGGGTAATAGATTTAAAAAAAATATATATAAATTAAAAAATATATTTATATAGAGAGGCAAATATGTTCTATACAATTGCATGTTGAATATCATTAAAAACTTTAAAAAATACAGGGTAATAAAATAATATCAGTAAGAAAGATAATATATTTATAGAAATTGTAAGCTTAGAATCGATTGCCTGTTAAATAAAGATAATTCATTAATATTATAAATTTAGTGTAGAATTTCAATCAAGTTGAATTTTATTGCTTCTAATTGAATTTTATACTTTTTAGAGAAGTCTCAGAAGAAACATTAATGCTTGATCTAATGTTAATTTTAAGGAATTCAAATAAACTTTTGTACTTCCAGAAGAAATTTTAATTCCTCAGTTAAACATTTTATGGATTTATAGAAAATGGGGAAATTATAATGTATTTTACGGAATTTTAACGTTTAGAGATGAATTATAAAGCCGAAAAATCAATATTGATAATAAATAGAACATTTTATAGTACATGAAAAATTTCAATAAATAATTATTATAAAGTGTAGAATTTCAATCAGAACCCATGTTTTAAAAATTCAAATTAACTTGTGTACCTCCAGAATTTTGACTTTTACGAGGTGAATTATGCCCAAAAATTAATTTTATTAGAAAATTTTATGCCACATGAAAAATTTCAAAACACCATTTAGAAAATGTAATGGCAACGTCAGAAATTTCAGGAAATTAATATAAATCCTGGAAATTTTAGTGAATCATGATAACCTATAGGTGCTTTTTTCAAGCGTTAGTGGAAATCTTGGAAATTTTAATGGTTTTAGGAAAATTATGATATATCAAGTTGAAATTTTATACTTTAAGTAACTTCAATGAATGCTTTTTGAAGAAATTTAATGCTTCTTATATGTATTTTTAACACTTATTTTGGAATATTTAGTGGCTCTGCAGCTGAAATGACATTTCTCAAAAAGAAAGGCACTAATGCAAGGAAATGCTTAATATTTTGGAAATGTTAATGCTTCAAAATACCTCAATTATCAACTTAATAATTGATAATTTTCTCACTTATCTAGAAGACCGAATAAATCGTAATAAACTTAAAAAACCTCACTTACTGATATCATATTACCACCCTGCGTAAAAACAAAGTCTCACTAAAAAAGAGGACAAACTGTACAATATATAATTAATAATAAAAAACCCAATGGCTTTCATAACAACATCTTTAATAAAATTGCACGCAAGCCATTTGCTCTGTACAATATTTATATATTTTTATATGTATACGGGGGCGGCTCGAAACGTATATTTATATATCGAGAAAAATCATCGTTGTTCGAATAAATGGTACATTTACACAAATAATTATATTTCCCATCAATAAACAAACCTATCGTGATTTGATTTAATTTTGGAAAAGGACATTTGAACTACTACTTCAATTTTACATGAATTAGTGGTTTTGATTAAGTTAAATATAGAAATTTGCTGGATTTATTGAACTACTAGCCATTCTGTCAGTGAAACAAGAGCCAAAAAAAGGTAAAATAAAGTAAAAAATCAGAAAATGGAGATTTATAGAGATTTCCACTATTTTATATGACACTTCACTCATAGTACCATTTTATACCCATTATTTATGAATGTATACGCTCTTAATGAGTTTTTGCACCAAAGTTTATTCACTACTTTGATTCAATTTCCTATATTAAACAGATATTATTTATGAAACAAATTATCTAAAACTAATCAGATAGTGGAGAAACTTATAAATTGGTACATATAATAATTTTTTGATAAATTTATAAATGAATGAACTCAATTATGAAATAGTGAATGATAGAAATATGTGACTAAACTTTTAAATCAGTGGTTTTATTTATAAATTCATTGAATCATTTATAAATTAGTGGACTATAGAAACATTTTTAAATTGATGGGTACATTTATAAATGTATGGATAGCTTTATAAAATTGATGGATAAATTTACAAAACAGAAGGATAAATTTAAACATTACAATTTTAATACCAGTGTAATACAAATATCCTAAATCCATGCAAAATATAATTATTTACATATTCCTGTAGAAAATTTGCAATCGATTTACATCAAAAATTAATCATTAAAAAAAACTAATTTCGAGTGAAGCAAAAATTAAATTAAGTTTTCTATAAATAAAGAAATTTAAGAGCACTGTTGGTAAAAATTAAAAGATTGCAAGAACAAAAGAACTGCTTATCCCAATTAAAAATGGGCAGGTCAAATATCTTTGAAACTATAAATTATTAAATTATTTCAAATGTTTGGTACATGGTATCAAACATTTTTTAATTCAAATATCTCTAATAGATTTCAAGATATTTCGCCTGACAGTTATTTGGACACACTGCACATATACATTTTGACCGCCCACCTGTACGTTGAGTCAATTCATTTCTGCTAATAACGACTTCTACCTATCAAAAAACGTTTCGTTAACACGACTTATTAATCATCATTTTAAATGAAATTTCATATATAAATTAGTTTAGTACTATAGTGTGTTTGTATATTCACAATAATAATAATAATTACCATAACTTACAATATGTACAAAAATATGATTACAGGTCTGTGGCCATAATTGACTTTGTACACTGAAATATCACATACAGGGCGTCTCGGTTTTTCTCTACGCCCGACGAACCATTTTTCTCCTGCTTCTTTCTTTATTTGTATCGTTCATTACGTTTCTTTATAATCGACGAGTATTTGAGAGTTAGGGAGGGGGTTGAGTGTGCGAAAGAGACAGTCATTCACGAAATGGAGGCATCTCTATATCATATCTATCTACTTATATTAAATACACCTAAACTTTAGAAAAAAAAAAGTAAAAAAATAAATAACAAAAAACGGTCCGGACAGAGCAAATTGATTGGCCAGCCTAAACGTTACACAAATCACCAATAAAAACAATTTAAAACCATTTCAAGAAATGTCTACAGCCAAAGGTACATTTGAACTACTGACAGTTTCAGAACGTTTTGTAAAAATAAAACGATAATAGGAAACGCAGAAGTTGAAATAACAAAAACAACATAATACTATTATTAATTTAAGCAAATGAAAATTGGGTATGACAGTACAGTACAAGTAGGAAAATAGAATAAATGCAATGAAAATTATTCAATTTCAGAAAAAAGCAAGAAAAATGAAGTAAGACACAACAAGGAACAAACAAATTTGAAAAACAACAAAACAGGTACCAATAAAACTTAGGAATTAAATTCACCTTTGGATTACTGTAAAAAAAATTCTACACAATAAACCAATTAGAACGATTACAAAACAGTCCAATCTTTTCTTTGAAAGTGGAGCAAAAACTAAAACAATTTGAAGTAAAGAAATTGCTAATTAAATTTGCCATAACATGATACAGACTGGCCAAAATCGACCTTAAATCATTGGACCCAACTCTCTCTTCTCTCTCTCACAATAAATAAAACTATGTACCCACCATTTCGGCCTTTTCTGTCCCTCTCCTTAGTTCTTGCGATTATTCCAATTTAATTACGAACGATACAAAAAGATAAACAGCTCGGTCCAGGCCAAAGAGAAACAACACCGAGACCAACCTCGTCCGTATGTGCCTCCCGCTTAGCATGCACGCATTCACTAGTAAGTAAGTCAGCTTTTAACAACGTGGTGTGGATTCAAAAAACAGGTGAACATAGCAGCCAGCACTCCGACATCGTCGTCTCATCTAACTGTACAAATATCCATTATTCCCCTGGATCTATTCAAATCCGCCATCACTGGTCACCTATATATCTATTTATAATATATCCAACCAATATTACAATATATTACACAATTTCGACATAAATTAATTTACACGATTATCATCTAACTTCGCAGTCTTTCGGTAGCGGAGGGGCGGGGCGCGAGCGCTCCGCGACGACGTCGTTGGAAGAGGAGGGCGTGGCTTCGATGGCGAGCGGATCGGGCGGGGGTTGGCCCGGCTGCACCGAACGCTCCTCCTCCTGTTCCTTCGTCGCGTTATGGACGGGTGGTTTCATCACGTAACCACTACCCTCTTGGCACCGGGACAGTTTTAATTTGATCGGCGTGAGCTTGATGGGGGGCGGGGGGTATTTATCGTCCGTATCCGTATCTGCTAGGGGGTCTTTTAGATCGACGACACTGACATTGGGATCGCCTAAGTGGTCTTTTTTGTGGTCCTCCGATTCACAACCGCTAGTCCGTTTGTCACAATCACCGCTGTTACCACCGCCACCGGTACCGCTATCACTCTTTTTACCGAATCTGATGATCAGTTTCGTTGGATTCTCGCCCGTATGAGCGATTAGTTGCAGTTCGGATTTGAGTTTCTTTTTCTTTTTCCTCTCGCTCCTGTCCTTTTTCTTGTGTTTGACGCGCAGGTCTTTGAGCATTTGTTTGCGGAATTTCATGCTGATTCGCTTCATTTCCTCCACCTGGACATAAGAAAAACGTTACCAAATCAAATACCTTGCATAAGAAACGCAAATAAATGACAATATTGTTAACATATACTTTTTATGTAGTATATTTTTAAATTAAGCGTTACATTTGTTACATTTGAACTACTTGCCGACTAATTTATCATTTACCTCAAAAATATTTAACAATTATAGATTTTTTAATACAATGATTCATTTGAACTACTGTTTTATTCAACAGTTAAAATAACAAATATATAGAGCACAAACTTTATTTTTTTAAGATAACAATTATTACCATTCTAAGACGCTATTCATTTTCAATATGAGAAATAGGAAGATTAAAACTGTTAAGTCTTTTAAAAAGTACATATTTCAATTCATTCTAGTTTTAATAACATTTAACGTTCGGTACATTTAAAAACACGTGCATTTACTTGATATATTACTGCTTGTAAAATTTAATATGGTTTTATATTGAATTTACCACCCAGTACATTTGAACTACCGGTTTATTAAGCGGTAATTTAATCAGAAATCAGTATCACACTTATGTTAACCAAAATTAGGAAATAATTTTATAAAACCACAAAAACAATCAAAATAACTTACCGTAGGCTTGTTCTGCGTCGCGGCCAACCTCTTCTTGGGCGGTCGTATCCTATCCCTCTTATCGTCTGCGATCTCCACTTGTGGCACCACGCTGCCCACTATACTGTTCGTATTATTATTACCGATTTTGATTTTCAATTTGGGCGTAACCGGCTGCTGCGGTTGCATCTGCTGCATCGCCGACGGCCTCAACGGTCTGCCCCGCCTCTTATCCATGCTGGAATTCGCTCCGCCCAAGCTCCGCCTCCTCTCTAGAAGGCCGTCGTTGTCGCTCGACAGATCCAATTGGCGTAGCTCTCGTGACATCGGCCGCGATTTGAACTCTTTGCGGTGGTGTTTCGAGTCAATGAGGTCATCGGAGTCGGTGCGGTAGTCCCGGTAATCTTCCTTGGTGGGAATAGACGTCATGGAGGCAACGGCTTTTGGAATGGTTATGATGGTGCGACTGATAGGCGGCGCTGTAGGTGCCGTGAAACCTAAATAAGATAAAGAAAAATCTTATTTTTAAATACCGAATCATTAACTTTAATTCATAGTCAGAGACAAATACACCTCTGTCAAATATAATAAAAAATTATGACGATGTGGAATAATGATTGAATAACGAAAAAATTATTTCAACTTTCTCCACAGAAATATTTGATTGAAGCCTCATATTTTTATCCAAATAATCTGCTTTATTAATCACATTAACTTGACTATTCTTACCGGTATTACTAGCAGGATCGTCCATATTCATATCCTGCGTCCAATACTGCCTCAGCAACTCCTTCTTTCGCATCCGCCTTAAACTGGATGGCCCACCTCCACCCGAAACCACGCTAGGAATGGTGTTCAGGATGGCGTTATTGGCTACGGAATTAATGGTGATGGGTACCTCAAGAGTCGGAGGTGGTAGGGGCGGCAAAGGCACCACGGTAGAAGTGTAATTCGCTATGGGACCTTTGATTTTAACTTTCAATTGATTACGCGAATCGGATAAGGATACTTTGATATTGCTACTGGAATTGGAAGATTCAGACGGTGGTGGCGTTTCGACAGGTTTCTTGGCCGTCAGCGCTGAATGGAGTTCCTTTTCGAAGTCTTCGTCGATTTCCTGGACCTATTGCGATACAAAAATGTTAATATACAAAGCGAAACAATAGTACTTTGTATACCAAAGGAGAAATTTCCGAACGACCCGAGGAAAAGTTTATTTATTCTATTTTACCTGTGTTTCTGCTGTTCCGCTAGCGAATGCGCTCAGCAAGTTCTGCTCGTTGTACGTTTGCTGATCGAAACTGGAGTTGTATGTGCGCATGTCCACGGGACCAGGAAGGGGCGGAGTCACGTCCGGGAACGCCTGCAGTGGTTCATTATTCGAATTGGCACGAGATATGTCGCTCTTCGATCGACTGTCCTCTATAGGAGTGGGCGGCCTTAAATCCCGCAAATCGGTCGCGTAACTTCGACCTGTCAAAAGTCAATAATTAAACTTCACAATTTCTATATTTGTCAAATCATTACATAACTAGCCAAATCGATAGCCAGCTTACCTTTATGTGATGTTTGCGATGGACTAGAAAATTTGGGCGAACGCGGAGAATCTCTAGTGGATGAAAACGGTTCGAATTTCCTTTCATGTATATCCAGCGATTTCCGCCTTTCTCGCATCGACTTCAGATCTGTCATGTTGTCATTGGAAATGTCATCATCAAAGTCCAAATCGTACACGGTTCCCACCAATTTGTTGTGAATCGTGCCCGTGCTCATACTGCTCATGAAATCGTAATCGCTAATATGATGGCTACCCCTGAAAAAATTAATTTTCAATTCCAATTTAACTATTTTCAGATTCGTTTTTTTTTAAGGAAAACGATCCTTGCACTTACCGTCCTCTTCCTCGACCTCGGCCCCTTCCCCTAAGAGTTCCGGATCCTCTGGTGGTTCCAGATTTTCCAGAACCTTTCTTATTCTCGCCTCGTCCCCTTCCAGGACCGCTTTGTTTAAGGGCTATTTCCTGCCTGGGACTTTTTCCGGGCGATTTGGCTGGCGATTTATTCATCATCTGAGAACTGACTCTGGCCGAGGTTCTCGTTGGTTTGCTAGGCGACTTCTTGCCAGCGGAGCTGTTCGATTTCAATGAGGTACTAGGTGACGGTAGGGTACTACTGTTGGCCGTGGGCGTGCTGTTACTGAGCGCGGGAGATGGAACCACCTGTTGGAAGAAAGAGAGCTTATTAAACTAATATCTAGTAGGCTAGTATAAACTTACTTCTTCTGCAGACGTAGTAGGAGTTAACGAAGGAGGAGCTTCCTGCTCGATTTCGATGGGCGGAGCTACCGGCTCGACCTCGACGGGCGGTGCCACCGGTTCTACCTCGATGGGCGGTGCCACAGGTTCTACCCCGATGGGCGGTCCCAACAGATGCTCCTCCAATTGCTGTTCCATAGGCTTAGGTGTGGTAGGCGGCATAATAACCATAGCCGCCGTAAACGCCATGTTCTGCTGAGACGACGTAAAAGCAGCCGTACACGTCGACGACGGATGCATCACTGCATCCTCAACAGGTTTCGCCATACCGACTGCGGCGGGCATGGAATGCGAGGGAGCGGGAAAAGGAGCGCCGAAGGCGGGCGGATACCCTGTGGGAGGAAATGGGAGTTGAGTATTGTGATTGGGTGGTGGGAATAAACTAACGGGATAACAGGAGTTGTCCGTAGCCGAGGTGGAATAGCCGCCGAAGCTGTCCAATGGATTCTGAGGGTACATTTGAGGAACTTGCGTCGGTATGTAGGCGGCCATGTCGAGGGTGTGGTTGATCATTCGTACGTCTGGCGGCATTCTTTGGGTTTCGTCTTCATCTCTACGCGACCCCGAGCTGGATGACGACCCCGAGCTAGACGACGACCTGGAATTTCTTGTAATATAACAAGTATTATTACTAAAATTGATTGAGCGTCTTTTTGATAATCGAAAGTTTAAAAAAGAAAAAAACAATAAATTAAAAATAAAATAGTACCACAGTGCAATGTATTTTCGTTAAACGGATAAATTGGTTTAATAAAGAAAGTGTATTCTCGCCCGAATTAAAAAAACAACAACGGTTATTCTCGTTCAATGGTAAAATGTGATTAATAAAAAAAGATCGTTACCTTCTATTTGGCATAACTTCGCAATCCGCCCACTTGGCTTGCGGATGTATATTCCCGTACGGCATAGGACTGTTCATGCAATCCATGGAAGACGGATCTATGAGCGGCGTCTGCGATATCCTTCGATCTAGCCTGTCTTGTAACAATGGCGAATGAGATTTCAACACCTCCTCCTGCAACCTCGCTTCTAATTCCCTCGGCAGCGAAGAATTCAACTGTTGTTGGTGTTGCTGCTGTTGGTGTGGCTGCTGTTGGTGTGGCTGCTGTTGGTGTGGCAGTTGTTGGTGTGGCTGCTGTTGCTGTAACTGCTGTTGCTGTGACTGCTGTAGCTGTAATTGCTGTTGCTGTGGCTGCTGTTGGTGTTGCTGCTGGTGGTACTTCTTGTGATGTTCCTGATTCAAACTCTCAACAGAATTTGTATTACTACTGAATTCATTTAGGGTATCTAGATATTGAGAGTCGACCGACGGAACTACCGTATCGATATAATTTCTGGGATCCACTGGTTGTATGTTGGAATAACTATTGCTGGGCGGTACCCACCGTTCATCGCCTTGTATGGGCGCTGTATGATCGGTATGGCTTTCAGATCGTTGCATAGGTACCGCTTTAGCAACTTCTACAGGTGCGCTGTTCGTCATATAGGCTTGATCGCCACTGCTGTAATCGAAATCTTGTTGAGCAGCCACTTTATCCAAGTCTGGGAATTTATCGGCGCCAATTTCGTTCACTGGCTCCTTTAGCTGCAAATTATCTTCTTTACCATCATCTGAGAGTCGCGCGGATGTCATATCACAACTGGTAGTTGGTTCATCGGCACCGGACTTCTTCGACAATCCCATCCGAAGTTTTTCGACCAAATTCAAAGTCTCCCGAGCGCTATCTTCTTTAGTATCTTCGCGAATTATGTTATTGGCGGTACTGTTGAAGTTCCACTGTAACGGAGTCTTCAATAATTCATCGTCTTTCGTGATACCGATATCGTCAAAATTGACCAAATCCAGAAAGTCTGCGGCATCTTTGACGTGAGGTTGTGGGGAGAAAATTGATCTGTTCTGTAAAACTTGGTTAGTAATCCCAGCTGGTTTGATGGAATTCTTCTTTTCCATATCCAAATCGTTCAATAACGTTTTGGTCAGATCTGGAGCAACATGGAAAGCTTCTTGTATATCAGATTGTCGGTTAATGTTAATATTAATGTTGAACAGATCCTTGGCCTTGTGCGTTTGTAAATGATCGTCGACGATCTTATCGGCCAAAGTGATTTCATCGGTGGCTTTGGACTGCTTAGGAGTCGGCGGTTTCTTTTCCACATTTTCTTTGGTTTCGCTGGAAGAAAGTTTATTAGCGAAGATATCGTCGATGCTTTTGTTCTTGGTGATCGGTTTTTTATTAGTCAGCTTTTTGTCATCCTTCTGTTCCAGTTTCTTGTCGATTTGATCTTTGAGTTCTTTATTCGGCGATTTAATCAACGAATCCTTTGCGGTTGATTTGGTAAGTTTTTCAGATAGATCTGGTAACGATTTCGGTTCTTCCGGCTGTTTGTGTTTGTCGGCTATAGAGATGCGTTGTTTCTCTTTGTCGGCTATAGAAATGCGTTGTTTCTCTTTGTCGGATATAGAGATGCGCTGTTTCTCTTTGTCTGTGTGTTTCATTCTGTCAGTGATTTTGTTGTTTTTATCCGGTATCGTAAGTTTTTCGGGTGCTATCAACGGTCGGTCAGCTTTAGAATGGTTGTCTAATATTTTGGATAAATCTTTCTTGACTCGTTCCGATTTTTCCGGTTTGACTACTTTATTTTTTTCTTTCTCTTTTTCTTTATCTGGCGTACCGAACAGCCTTTCGAACATCGACGCCTTATTCTTGGCCTTCCTGTCCAAAATCTCCTTCTCCAAAGATCCGATTTCTGAGGAAGACAGACGATTCTCTTTCAGCTTCTTGTCCGTTTCGTTGACCTTAGGGAGTAGCCTTGACTCGGTCGCGGCCTCTTTGTGGTCGTCCGATCTTCCCTTTCGATTGGTCTTGATTCGATCTCCTTCCAGACTGACACGTTGGCCATCAGACAAATCTCGACGCCCGACATCAGCATCTCCGATCCGATCACCAGAGTTGGAGGCTTTGGGACGACCTCTGCCTCTTCCTCCGCGTCGCTGTTGTTGTTGTTGTTGGGGCTGTTGTTCCTCTCTCTTAGCAGCTGGTACAGGGTGTTTCTTATCGCCACCACTCCTCTTGGCTGGTTGTTTGGTATTGGTAGCGGTTGTTGGTGTCGATTGTTCGTGTGCGGCGAGCGATGGAATGGACCGTTGTTGTTGTGGCGGTGAGGCGCTTGAATCGCTGGAGCTCGAGGAACCAGAGGTCGCCGCGGGTCTGGCTCCCTTGTCAAGAAAGGGCCAGTCCTTAGCTGACGACCGCTTGGGTGAGCTCTCCGATTGCGGCACTTTAGCTTTACTATCTTTATCATCATCGCTCTCCGAACTCGAACTCGTTGAAGAATCGGTGGAACTAGAGGACGAGGAAGACGAATTGCTGCTGGAATTGGTGGAAGACTTTCGTTTGCTCTCGGACACTTTCGCCGGTTTCTTAGTTTCGGCCTTTTTAACCTCCACTTCTTTCTTAACAACTTTATCTTTATCTGTTGATTCTTGTACTTGTATTTGCGCTTGCGCATCACTTGCGACCGCCGTTGCGGGTTTTCCCAACCCGCTCTTGATGTGCTCGGCAGCCTTCTTAGCAGCCTGTCTTTGCGGCACGTACAGCAACTCCTGCACGTCGATTTTATCGTCGTCTACAGTTTCCACTGACTGCTTATTAACAATATCTTTATCCTTCTTCCTATCTTTAACAACTTCTTTGGGTGCTTCCTTTTCTTTCGGCACCACGTCCTGTTGCGGAGATTCTTTGTCTTTAACTGGTTTGCTCGATTTGATCTTCTGCTTATTGGTCTTTTCTTCTATTACTTTGGGTGGATCTTCTACAGGTACGGGATGGTCTTTCGTTCTACCAGTGGTGGTGGTCTTTAGATTTTCCGTCGCTTTTTTAGCAGCTTGCCTTTGGGGTACGATGAGATCGGACGGTACGTAATCCTTCTTTTTAGCGTCTTTATTATCCTTTTTATCTCCGTCCGGTTTGCTTTCTTTGGACTTTTTCTTAACAATTTCGACCGCGTTCTTATTGCTTTTGGAAGGTTTATGCAAGAACTCCTTTACCGAAGCTTTGGTGCGTATTTTGCTCTGAGAGTCATTGGTCGCGTTCGAGGATTTGTCATCGTTTTTGGCAGATTCATCCGAGCTGTCGGTATCTGAATAGATCGACGACATTTTTTGATTGTCTTCTTCCTTGGGCGCCATTTTTATCGGCATCAATTCATCGCTTTCGCTACCGGACACCCCCAATTCGCGTTCCATTTGGCTCAATCGGGATCTACTTCCCCAATCTTTTTTGGCGGTAATTTTAACGTCCTCTTCGCTACTGCTGTCATCGATTTTGTTACTGACAGATTTATCATCGGGTTTCTTTCGCCGTTTTCTCTCCACAACCTTACTTACGTTATTCTTCTTATTACTAGATACATTTGCGGGTTTCTTCTTAGATATAGACGGTTTATCATCGTCGGTATCGGTGTGTATCCGATTTTCTTTATTATCTTTCGGTTTTTCATCACTACTGCTGGCTTCTGATACGCTACTGCCGTACATACTGGCGCTGCGTCGTTTGGAGTAACTTCCGTTGTACATTTTCTTGTACGGATTGTTTTTGACGTCTTTGAACAACCCGTTAACTTCGTCGCCCGAATGCGGCGGGGATTTCCCCGCTATCCGAGCTAGGATCGATTCGAAATCATTAGTGTGATCTTCGGCTTCGTTATGCGAGTATAATCGGTCGTAGATGGAAGGACCGTGATTGGCTTCTATGACCGCTTCGATGACGGAAGGCGGTAATGACGTAGTTGTATCTAACACAGCTGCTTGTTTATGGAAAGTCTGTTCCCTCATCCGGAAGAAAGTTCTTGATAGCTTCTCTCTTCTGCTGACCATGTAGCACAAATTCCTAACTCGTTCCAAGTCTTGTCGTAGCTGAACAAACATCTTCATCTTCTCCACATCGGCTTGTTCTCTCTTGTGTGATAATACGTCAACGTCATCGGATTTCGGCGGCAATAGCGGCTTATTGAATCCAGCCTTCCTCTTCAGCTTCCAGTAGTTATAAATGTACTGCAAGGAATCGTTATCTGCGTTAAATCTTATAGAAATATCTTTGACCGAAACGTGCTTGAAGAACTCGGCTTCGATCTCCTGCAAACGTATCGCTCTAGCTTGGTTCTTCTCTTCTGACGTCATATCTTTGCGTTTCTTTCTTTTGACGTCATCGTCTTCGGACCCCGAACAGATGCTCTTCTCTTTTTTGCTGGATTTGCTGTGCTTCTCGCAGTAGGATCTGAGTTTGACGCCGTCGTCAGCGTTTTCGTCTTCTATTATGGCTCGCATTTCGAGGCCGTGTTTGAAGGCGCAGGTCACGTGGTAGGCGGTTTTGCAGGTTTTTACGGAGCACTGGATGCAGGCGCCGACGCGTTCGCGGCATAGCACGCATATTAGGGCCCAACGGCTTTGGGGTATGCTGGAAACTTTCGTGATGGGTTCCATTTTTTCTACGCATCCTAGAAATACCAAATCGGAGTGTCAATCTTACATCGGAAATTCTACAAACTGTTGAAGACACGGTGGGATATTATTAATAAATATGTAAATAAATAGTTTATTGCACTTATATACATATAGAAAATGTACAAAGCCAAACAAAAAAACGTAATATAATTTATTACATTAATTTAGTTAGAAATGGGTGAACATTCTAAATAATATCATTTGACACTTGCCACTCGATATTCGTTTAGATTGGTTTTTGGAAAATCAGAAATGGAATAAATTTCTACATTACACAGAATAAATGTTAGATTTTTTCATTTAATATGCCAGATTTAATGTCTACTGGCAGATGGCTGTAAAATTGTATGCTGCATTAATTTAGCCATTCCATTTTCAAAATCAGATAAATTGTAAGATGGAAAATGATTTATTTATATTTATAAACAAATAATTATAATACATATAGTGAATTAAATAGTAGAAAATACATAAAAAATATAAAAGAAAACAAAAACAAATAATTATAACAGGCCTTTAATACATACTTACAAAAGTTTGAAAGTGTAAAATTATACATTCACACAATATTTTTTAACTGTGTAAGGAATTACGATTATCAAAGAACTCTACCAGCTGTAATTAATGTTATGCCTTGCACCATAAGTTTGAGTACATTTAAACTCTTCAAAATAATGAATATTTAGGGAATTAAAATGTGCCTATTTTTTCCATAATATGGATAGCTGACAAAGGTCTCCGATTTATAGTTATAGACATCATCTAAGTTACTTTCTGACGACAGCTTTGCCACCAATGAGACTTAAAAGGCAATGACAATACAAATGTTAAGGTTTCGATATGTCTAAAGCAAAGGCAATACTTACCTGATTATTATTAGTATTATTTTTTTTTTTTTGTGTCATCGGCTTCAACTGCTAAGGTTATTTCGCCTCGTGTTCTGTGTAGGCTTTGTTACTGTTTCCCAGCGCCACTTTAGGAACAGCACTGTTAATTAGAACCCAACAGTGAATGGTCGAGTGGGGAATCCTACCAAGGCATCATAATTAATTTTAAATAATCAAATTAAATGAAAAAATTCCAGCCAACGGTGGGATTCGAACCTGGGGCCCTTGGATCCACAGGCAGAAACTTTGCGGGTCATGATTGACAACCTCTGTTATTTTTAACAGGTCTGTTATTTTATAAACACAGAAATTACAACCTGTTCACAAATAACGAGTCTGTTAAAAATGACATTATTTGTCCATCATAACCCCTTTTACCACTGAGCCACCCACCCCCCTATTATTATTATTATTAAATTATCTAAATTTGCTGTTTAAGTTAATCCTTGTTAAATATTTCAACGAATTGAGACTAGTAGTATTTTTTTATAAAAATTAATAAAACTAAGAAAAGTCTATGAGTTGATATAAACAAAACATATTGTTTGTATTTTCGTGGCACAAGGCATTCGACAATCCCATTGATTTCACACTGATTATGCACTCATAATACAAAAGTAACTATTTTGCATATTTTTCAAACAAAGTAGTGATATATGTTGGAAAAAAACTTACCTATGCTGACTTCTGGTATCCAAAGAGCGCAGGAGACGTGCGCCCACTTCTGTCCGGTTCGCAGACACTTCATGGCGCCCCCCTTGTTCGGACACAGCACGCATTCCGGTCTCTTGCCGATGTTGCAGGTGCAACACAGCCACTGGCCTTCGGGTATTCGAGTGATACCGTAGCACGCTTGGTGCACGCAGATATTGCAACTATCACAAAACACCATTTCGTTGCCCTCTTCAGAGTCTGGGGATCGGCACACGTCGCAGATCACGTTCTCGTCGTATTCTATTCCTGGGGAAAAGCGAATTCGAACTTAATTTGCCGGTAGACGTTAGAGAGTGGACGCGTTACATAAAAAGTACACTCAAAAAAAAAAAACGCGAGTTGCAACCAATCAAAAAAAAATATATATTTCGGAAAGTCCTGTGCATTAGGGCAAAGGTACATTTCAATCTTAGATTAAAGAGACGTACCTGAGTACAAGTAACATGAGTGACAAAAAACATCAAAGCAAGATTTACGTCGTTCCAGATTGTAAAACAGGATAAAAATCAAATGTAAAACTAAAGAAAACACAAGAAGAAATCAATTCAATGTCTTCTTAAAGCTTCTAATGTAAGTAAAATAATGTACTTATGTCTAAATATAATATTTATTGTAAACTAGTCACAATATGTATCTTACAAAGTGTAGTATATTTTATTACAAGTTTCTATAATATAAATTTTTACAGTCATAGACTTACAAACAACAATAATTATACATTAAATTTAACTTACTAGAAAATAATTTTTTTATAGAGTTTTAATGTTAGATAAATAGTTGCTACTGTTATTTTTTTTTTTTTTTTTGACCCCAATTGTGTCATTATAAATGTTTTTTATAGGATACTAAACGTTTAGAACAGTGGCAGCATATATATATCGTTCTTAGTGCCGATAAAGCACTTTCTAGAGATGATGCTGTTCTATACTTTTTAGAAGATATAAAATTTTATGAGACTATTTTCACTGATGGTACTGTTAGCAAAATAAAAAGGGGAAAGCTGAAATTAAAGCATGAGGTAATACCATTCCCAAATCTCCCTTTATACTTGTATTACAACAATAAAAAATCTCTTAACTGTTTTAATTTACTCTTAAAACTATATATTGATTCAATTAAAAAAAAAAATTTGCTACAAAATTGTACTTTCAGCATTTAAGAAACCTTTTCGAATTTGGTCATACATACCTAATTTGCATTTTATATAGACAAAATTAAATAATTTATCAATTAAAACATGCAAGACTTATTTAGAAATAAATACAACAGTATTTTATGTGCTTTATTTTGCTATAAACAAGTTTATTTTTATTATTTTGACAAAATTATGTATAATTCCCATAAGAAGCCATGTATTTTGAACACCGTATGCAGTACCAGCGCCCATGCGGTTAATTATAGAAGCTCAATTAGCATGCATTTTTTGGGACCGTATTTTGAGTATGCCGATTCGCCTCCTTATCTCTAGTCTTCATAGTAACATTTTACTCTCCAAACTTCAAAGGACCGACAGTTATTGTCGCTTTTCTGTGATTGTTATTCTCGAGTTCTATATTAATAATTCAGATCCGTATTAAAATAATTTTATACATATTCACGTATCGAATATTTCAGAAAACAATACATAGTACCTACCAAAGAAATCGGATAGAAAAGTCTTGTTCACATTAAATAAAATAAATAAATAAATAAATAAATAAATAAATAAATAAATAAATAAATAAATAAATAAATAAATAAATAAATAAATAAATTTGTCCATAACATCTTTCTGACAGTAAGCTATGTTGTCAAATCTCCTCCATCAAATATCCTGCATTAAATTTTTATTGATAAATTTACTACTCCCATTAATATAATCTATTAACAAAAGAAAAATAAATAATTGAAAGCATCAATATGAGATTAAAAGCATCAATATGATTTTTGTATTCATTACCATTAGATAAGATTTTTATTTATCATCTTTTACATACATACATATGGTATGTGGATATTAAACATTCTGGTTCATAACCTTTAAGTTTGGCAACCTAAGACATTTCGTTGACGGCGTTAAGTGACATCTTAAATTTTATTGTGATCTTTTATGGTTTTTTGACACCTTCGAGGATAATTTGAATATTGAAGATTTTAATAAGGACATTTAGGATGGTCAGGAAATGTGTAGTGTACCAAAATATTTGTAATGAGAATGGTATGCGGTCATTTCTTAGGTAGAGATGGAGGCATCTATAGGGAATAAGGCTTTATTTATTTAACATTCTAAAGGCTTGTTTAAAATTGTCACTGATAACTATCCTAAAAGATGTGTCATACCGTTATAAAGGTAAGTAGGTGTGATGAGCAAACCAAAGAGTATGTTTTGGTCCTATTTGTAGATTTACTTATGTCTGAAATAAAATTGTTTTGTTTTTAATAAGTTTTTCATTTCATAAAGAAAGGTAGTCCTGAAAAATAATAATAAATAGCTTTATATTTTCATTTGCCATTCATGTACATTTTTTTTAAATGATACTAGAATAACAAAAACGCAATTTAGCACTTTAAAATCAATGAGGAACAACTACTAGACTAATTTTGTTTACAAAAATCGAATTGCAAAACATTCACAGTCTTATCCATGTAGTTGTCAAATTATTATAAGCATGTGTGTTATGTTACAAGGATTGTTTATGGTTATAATTCGGTATTGACTTAACATAAGGCTCTAAAATACTCTAAAATGAATTATATTTGTTTATTTGTACCTATTAGTCTTAAAACAAAGGAATAAGTTGACTATTACCTATAAGCAAAAAATAACAAGTCAAAAATATTGTTAATAAAATGTTACATTATAAAACCTTAAATAACTCAAAACCTCTCATTTATAAAAAAAACTATATTCTTGCAATAACATTTAAAATGATCCATGATCAAATAAATAATCGGAATCGCTGAATTTTGGAGATAATTCCTAAATTATATTTATATAAAATTTACATAAAAAAATTTTTTTTTTATTTATTTAAATGTATCATTTATTATAGAATGCCATGAATCTAAACTTGGACATAATTTTAAATTCCTATCAACATTTTTAAATGAAATTTTGTTCTGTAATTAAATTTAAAACCGCTTTACTTTTCAACTTAAATCAATATTTTTTTTATTTATTATCACTAAGTATTTTACAAATTTGATCCTTGATTATTGATTTCTATGTTATGCAGAACTTATTATGAAGAATATTTTTTTTATTAATAATAAATAAAAATTACCAGTTATTGCCAACTTTTTCAGACATATACATATTTTGCATTAAAATGTACTTTGGCTTCCTTTTTGCATTCACACAAGTATGCAGTAATAGTATATCACATTACAAATGTGTAAAATACTTTTACACAAGTGATGTACAATATTTTTTCTACGACCACAAAATAGATGGAAATGTATATGTGATTGTTATAAGATTATAATACATTAATCAATTTCTTCTTCTGCGCTCTGTAATAAACTCTTACCTGTATAGCCCACATAGCAATTGCTCAGGGCCTTCTAAATTGCTAAATAGTTATATTTATGTATAATTATTAATATGAAATAAAGGAATATATTGGTGTTAGTTACATCTCAGGTATCTTTAATCTAAGATTTCAATTAAATCGTCTACTATTCAAAAGATTTTCAATATGTACGAATGTACGTCTACTTACCCAAACCCTCCTCGTTCCTAAGTATCGATTGAATTTTATCCCAACAGCACAACTCCAACCTTTCGATAACCTTTTCCAATTGCTCTTCGCTAAATGGTCCTAAACCAGACGAAGCCCGTTCGGCGTTGAAGATCTTTAACCAGGCCACGTCGCATTCGTCCAGATCGTAAGAACAAGCGGCTTCAGCTCTGGCGGGCGCGTCGGACAGCAGGTGGTCCTCCACCTTGAAGTTGTCGTCTTTCGTGATGCGGATGTATTTTTTGGGTCTAGGAAAATACAAAACGTATATTACGTAATAAGGGTTGTAAGGTACATTATATAAAATGTGAAAATAAAAAAAAAAAAATTGCAATATATTTGAGCTTCAAACGTTACTTTTGCTTACAATTTGAAATCAGTGCTTGGTCTAAATTTCGAGGAACTCGGTTTGATGCTGACCAACGGCTCAGGCAACGAATCAGGATTGACTGGGACTTGGACCCCCCTTTCCCATTCCTGTTTCCATTGGTCGATGATCACCCAGTACTCGTCGCTGGCCAGCGGTTCGGAATCCGGTAATTTCATAGCTACCAAACAAACAAAAATAAATAAATAACATTTTAACGCAATCAAAATACATAATAAAAATTATCTATAAAAAGATTCTAGAGATCTTGAATTTTAAACACAGATTTTGACATGTTTACCTATCTACACTTAGCAATTAAAACATCATTGGTAAGTAGAATCAAAAGGTATACCATTTACACTAAAAACCTCAAAGTAATCTTATTGTAAATATGTCTCCTTTTACACCCTCAATGTATGGGATTGATAATTATTTCTTTTCTGGCTCTCCATCAGTTTCTAAAGAAATGATTTCATCCTATCTTGTAAGGTATAATTTTAAGTATATAATTACATATTTTATACGACTAAAAATGTAGAATTAGTAAAACAGTTCTACTAGTTTTTCAATTAACTTGAATTTTTGTACATTAACAATTTGAATATTAATGGAATTATATCCTATCGAGAGCATGCAGCATTACTACTAAAAAAAAAAAAAAAAAAAAACTGAACTATTTTATTTCTGCGCCGTATTAGTATTAATGATACGCCTTTGGCTAAACAACGACGATTTTCAACCATATCTGACGTTTGATGAAAACAAATGCTTATTGGAGATGTGAAGAAAACATACCTGAAATAAGATCCTTGCGGAATAACTCAGCCGGCGCTTCGGTGGTGGTACGATTATAGATGCTTTTCAGGTCGTTGGTACGCGGAGGCTGCCAAGCGGCCCCCCCAGAGCCGCCCGGAGCCCCTCCTGGCCCCACTCCTGCGCCACTGGCACTACTGGTTGTCGCTGTAGTTGTGACCGGGGCCACGGGGGTCGCTTCTTCTTCCTCCGCCGCCGTACGCTAAAAAATAATTCAAAATCAATCAAACTCATATTTTATTTAAAAATTTAATAAAAACGCTCATAAAGTGTACTCTCTCAGATAAGACCACAATGGCCAGTTAATTCAGATGAATGTCATGTCCTAGCCAACGGCTCAGCGAGGTAGTATATTTGGGGGGGGGGGGGGGGTGTTAGGATTATTAGTTATGACTTTTATACAACATAAAATGAGAAAGAAGACATTTAGAGTGCGTCATTCGAAGTCACTTTTTTTAGAATAAATTGCTACTAAATCATTAACGTTTCAGAGGGTGGAGGGTTGTAAAACATCTACTGAGTGCGCCACTAGGCCTAGGTACCTTGAAAACCCTCTTGGAAAAACTTGAACATATAAAGTGCAAAATTCTGACACACGTTTGAGTTCAGGATGTGGACTCCTTTTACTCTTGTAACTCCATAACTAACTTCAGTCCATGCTAAATTATTGTAATACAGTGATGTGAAGTTAGATATGGAGTGAAAAGAGTAATATTTACCCAGGCGCCGTACCAAATATGCATAAAAAATAAGTCAAGAACTAGTGATCAAAATTATTGCAGCAGTATGTTTGTAGTTGAGTCTTGAAAATAATATAAAATAGACAAATGTAAGTTGACACCTAACCTCTATTTATATTTACAGAATCAACTATTAGGACTTCCAATTCTAACAATATTGCATCAAAATCAAAATAACAATCTCAGAATTGAGAGATTTTAAATTAAAACAACCATAAAAAAGTGCATTTCATCCTAAAGTTATTAGATTAATTTAACAGTTAAATATTATTTTTCAGTGGCAAAAAAGATAATATTTATTGGCTGTCAAGTTAACAAAGGCTATTTTTAACCAAGAATTTTTTTTAATTCGTGGCAACTTCATATGGATGATATTGTTTTCCCATTAGCTAGTTTAGACTTTGCTGTTAACATAAATATTTTAAATTACAGTGTTTGCTACATCTTTCATCTCAGACGACTTTCAAGTTGGTATTTCATCTAACATCAGTAAAACTGAAGTACTGTTTGACAGTTCAAATTTCAAAACGATTACACAAAAATTAAGATGTTTCCATGGTTACGAAAGTCAAATTAATGTCAATCCGAATTTTTACATGAAATTTACTCCAATAAATCGAAATCAACTCAATGTTACTTATTGGCATTATACCCTTTATTAGTGATGATGTAATGTGTGTTCCAATGACAAATTACTTATTTAATTAATTCATTAACATTTTATTTGTATTATTTTCAAGACTGTATTTGAGAGAAAATTATGTAGTATATAATTTCAATTTTTTATTTATAAACAGCGCTACAGATGCAGTAGAAAGTAACAAAATGGCTATCAGTATCTTTCTATATCTATCAAAGGCATATGACTCTGTGAACCACAATATTCTTCTGACAAAGATGGAAAGGTATGAAGTTGAGGACCCGCTTTAAACTGGATTAGGTTGTACTTGCAGAATATGAAATAAAATGTAGTAGTTATAAAAAAATTATATTAAAGGGAAATCGGATATAATATAGCTATTGGGGTACCACACGAGAGCCTACTAGGCCCGGTTCTATTCTTCATTTATACAAATGACCTAAATCATAGAATCTGCAGGACCGTTATACCTATGCAGGTGATATAATTTTTTTTTTTTTAATGTAAATTCAAACCAATAGTTTCAAATAAAGAATCTTATATTGAATAAGGATAAATCAATTTAATGTATCTAACAACATATTACATGAGTTATAATTTACCTCAGAATATTAAGTTATAAAATGGCACCATGCTAATAAAAAAAAGTGAAGTTTCTGGGAATGGAACTATGATGAGATGTTCACATCATCTCTGTAATAATAAAGCATAACTCTGAATGTTACAAATTAAGAGTATTATCAAAATACTTAAAAGGTGAAACTATGAAAATAGTTTATCATTCGATCAATGAGTCCCATACAGGTGCAGCAGAGATTCAAATTAGGTGTTTGTAACCCAGAAAAGCGAATCAAAACTTATAGCAAATTTAAAATATAATGAATCTTGTAGATGGCAGATTAGGAGATTGAATTTACTCAGCATTTTTTGAATATTTAAATAGGAATGTATGTTATATTTCTTTAATAATAAGCATAAATTAGAAATCTTTAAAATACAGAATAGATATAACACAAAAAGCCTCTATTACAATTACCCTTTACATGAATTAAGAAGAAATGATGATACTCCAAATAAATTCCACATATCAGTATTAAACGCCAACTAGTTGCTTCCTACAAATTTAAAATATCTCCTGTGTGTAATGAGCTGGTAAAATACATTGTCACCCAATAATTAATGCCTTTGTATGTGTGCACTTCTATGAGAAGTTCTAGGAAGTTTTTGTGTCTACTTAATAATATTGTTTGTACAGTTGGACAAAAAATATTTTTATTTCATGCCCTTATCAATGTTTTACTATGCAATCATTTCAATTTTTGACAATCGTATAGATAGTACAAAAAAAATACTAATAAATTAGATGAAAATAATATTAATATGGTGTGTGATGATGAATGTATGAACAAATTACATTTTGTCATAATTTGAGGGTACTTTATTGCTTAGAGCAAAAAATGATTAAGAAGAATAATCGATTACTAAACATAAAGACTTAATCACTTAAATTAAATAATTAAAATTTTAAAACAAAGTGTTTAGTCTATAAACAAACTGCACTAAATCAATTGTCAACTTTGTATGTCCCAAATTTAAATCATTATGCATGTGCTATAACTAAATTATCCTTTCAATCTGTTTAATTTCATAATAAATTAATATAGGTACTTAAAAAAAAGGATTTATTAAAATAAGAATAAACAATAAAAACAATGATTTTTTGGGACAGTCAATTAGAACAACATGCTCTAAAAACTCAAAATCAATCACATAATAATTTTATAATGGAACAATCAATTATTGTTTATTTTTTAACTGTAATTTTATTCATAATATGTTCAGATATGGATGTGTTTACAACTAACAGATAGCAAGATAAGTAAACTATTAGATACCAATAATAGATTCAAATGTCTGTATGATTTGTACAAACATTTTATGCAGTTAAAGAATAATGTTTATTGATACAGTTAATCAAAATAGGCCATAAGAAAATGGTAACAAAAACAATTAAAAAGGATTAAGAGTAATAATAGAAGAATTGAGCGAAAATTATTTAAATTTTGACTTTTTGTCAACAACAGGCGTTATTTCTTTATCTACTTTTTTAATACAACAAAGCACATTGTGATAGGTCTCAAATTGTTTAAATCTAAATGATTTAAGTTGGATTTCTTTAGAATAGGTTTAATTATAACCTTTTCCAAGCCAAAGGATCAATACTATTTTCATTTAATGAATATGGGTAAAGGTGAGTGTTACCATAACATTTTTGCTCAACTCAATAAACATTCATCCACCTATTAAACATTGCCCAATTTTACAGTATGGCACATAAAGAAATATATTAATGCAGTTACAAAACAACAACAGCTTTATTAAAGTATCTAAAGATGGATTAAGGCTCAATTTAAATCTCAAAAAGAAATGTTGACTCGTTACATTTTGGAGATATCAACATTATAAAATAAAGAATACTTAAAGTGTTTCCTACATTAATGTACCCAAGTATGAAAGCAAAGATTTCATAACTATTGAGACAACTCAAATGGTTCATAAATGTCTATAAAGGACTGAGGAAAACAGAAATATACCAAATAAATCCAATTTAATTCTTCAAATCACCAGTTCTAATTTAATTTTTTAATGTTTATTGTGTGTTTTGTGTATTTGGTACTTACTTTGCGCCTTTTAACAGGAACTGAGCCATCTTCAGAACGATTAGGCCTCTTTACTCTATGTGACATTGCACTTAATGGGTGCAGGCAGCTTAACCACTCTGCACTGCCTAAAAAGACATCTTTTATTAGCACAAAGAGGTTAAAACCATTGTGTATTCTCTATTACAGTCTTAAGTACTCAATGGGGTGCAACAGATCGGTTTTTCATTAGAATATTGTAAAATTCGAACTTACTACATAGCTTTCCAAGACTTGCACAAACATTAAAATCATAATTAGGTCTGAAAGAGAAAAATGTAATTAAATTATACCATTATGAGAAGGATATTTATATTGTTAATAGCGTATTATTGGTTTCAAATCAAATTGAACAAGCTCGATCTCCAGTATTGTAATTAAAAAGTAAAAAACCAAAATTTTCATTATAGCCCTTGGCTATCCCTCATAGAGAGGATTTCGTCACTTCAAAAGTTGCCCATTGTGTCGCTTAGCATGCAAAGAAAGTAGATTCCATGCTAAATCAACAATAATAAGCAATATTCTAAGGAAAATTGTTGAAATTTCTAGTGACAAACAGCAGAGGTGTCTCCCATGTCTACATTGTAAACATTTCACTTAAGCCAACACTTGCACGCACAATGTTTTACACTTTGCAAATAAATATTTTTTCAAGAAAATTATTCAGTGGATTACCATTTCAAAGGAATTTCTCATGCTTTTGATTGATTTTTTAGAGGATTTTCATTAAATCGACTCCATTAGACTCCATTTGGTAAGCCTAACAACATTGACAATACAGAGGGCGCCACACGTATAGTCGACACAGCAGCGAACTATCTGTCCTTCTTTCATTATGATTTCGTAATTTTTACGTTGTTTCCAGAAATTTAATCGATAAAACTCCTTCATCTCCAAAAATTGCATCTAAAAAATCATATCCGTACCCAAAAAATACCATTTTATACATGCGACTTTATTTATTTTATCTAAAGTAGGACATTTATTATCGTTCTATCTCTTTTTAAATTTTACAACTTGTCCTAATTTACGGATTTCCAGTTGTAGTAACGGGTTATTAAAATAGGCAGGTGAAATTTAATAAGTTTTATTTTACCCTAAAGCCTTCACTGAAATCTTGCAGTGTTGTTAAAAATTATTGTTTTAAAACGCATGAATTATTAAACAAAAAATAAAAATATTTTGGCGCCATCATAGGTAAAAGATAACTGGTCTTTGGAAGTCACGTGACTTAAATACATGCAGAGTTCAAGTAGTGGAACAAAAAGAAAATACAATTATTTTTCAAAGCAAGTATTTGATACTTTGTAAGATTTTATTCATTTAATTGTATTTCTCTTTTTTGCGCATCTATTTTGTAACAGGTATCCTCTAAATTAAAATTTAAAATATAGAAAGTAAAATCAATAATCAAAATAGTTATTAGTTACGCCCACATACCAATTATTACTTGACGTATTTATTAAATAAACATATAATAAACATTTGGTAAATCAGTTTTTACTATTCTTGCAGATAAATCTAAATATAATACAAATTACAATCAATTTTACTCTCATTGCGCGACGTCTGAAAATAATTTGTGGAAAATTATTGCTGTTTCTTTTTAATCATCTGTGGAAATGAAAGACACAAAACACACGGAAGATGAAAGATGACACGTTTCTAACTTCATATACTAAATTAGTCGTATTTTAAGAAATTTTCAAAGATTTCAGTGACGTCATTCCTGAACAATTACAGCTACCACAATATTTTTAAATTCCTTATACAATATAAGGCCAAATTGTAAATTTATGTGTGCTGGCTGTTTGACAAAGTAAACGGCCATTCGAAATAGTTCTGTTTGGTTGTTGAGGTTTGTTGATTTTATGCAGTCGACAAAATTATTTTATACTTATAATAGAAATATAAGTTATCAATAATGAACGATGTAAGTTATAATATTTTATATTTTACATAAAAATTAATTTTAATATATTTTCTAGACGAAATCAAGAATTGACCAAGCATGCAGAGTTGCTGAAGATTTTACAAAGCTTTATTATGACACTCTAGATAAAAGGCGACATGTAAGTTTACTTTTATTTCAGAATTTATTTAAAATAATTATTTGTTTGTTTTAAGATAATAAATAAATTGTATTTAGAAACAGGAGTTTTGTCATGGAATGGTAATGGAGTAATTGGAAGTAAAAAAATAGTAAAATTCCTCATGGATCTACCTGGCACTGATCATACTATAACTACTTTAGATTCACAGCCTATTTTAGGTAAGACTTTTTTGTTACAACTTCTCACAATACATAAAGATTACTTTTAGATTCAGCTGTAAATGGACAAACAACATTAATGATTCAAGTCACAGGGACAGTGAAGTATCAGGATAAATCACCTAAAACATTTCAGCAAAATTTCATAGTAACAGCTCAGGGAGATAAATGGAAGACCGTCAGTGATTGCTTTAGACTTCAAGAACCACTTACCCCAAAAAATTAGGATAGTTAAGACTTTTAAACACAAAAAATATGTTATGTTGATTGTCTTTCAGTAAAATATGAATAAAACAACAATACATTGACAATATATATTTGCATTTTATAATAAAACAAGTACAAAATTCTAGCTAAAATGGTAAAAAAAGCAAATACATAGGCTGTTTTAGATTAAAAGAGAACAGAACAAAATTTTTTTTACCCATAAGTACTTTTCAATGCCTTTACTAAACATTTGTGATCAAAACATTGTATTAAGTTTTGTCCATGTTCTTTTTTACCCCAAAACACTATAGATGTTTGAATTGTATTTTTTTTTCTAAGAAAAAACCTTGTAAAAAATGGGCAGTATCAAACCCAGTACACAAACAATAAATGTTTACACAAAAAATAATGAGCAACAATGGACAAAGAAATTAAAACATCAGTCTCAAGGGTTTTGATGATAATTTGGGACACTGAAACTGTTATATACATAAAGGAATGTGCAAATAACACTGTACTTTTCATCAAAATTATTTTATATCAATATTCCATCCAAAATAGTATTTTATTACGGAGAAAGGGGACGAAAAGTACTTGAATCCCTGAAAGTGAGAAATAATGTGTATTTCTTTATTAGGCAAGCATATTAACTGTCTTTTGTGTAAATAAATGCGTTATTTCTTTGAATATTAATTTTTTTAATGCTTTTTACCTGTTTGATTAAAAACAAAAGGTACTACTAATTTCTTATTATGTAGGTCAGTATTTACTTGCATCAAAACATACTAATTTGTTACAAATAATATTTCAGCTTGTTTCAATTCTAGAAAAAGTTTGGCTCAAATAAATATTAGATTTTAGCACTAATATCCAGCATACTCTATATAAATTAAATAATTATAGAATAACGCATTTAATCCACACGATTCGAAAGGATCTGAAGGTTTCACAAGCCAGGAAATACAAACATAATTTCTGATACCGTATCAAGATATTAATATTTGTTGGATGTGATGTATGTATAGGAAATATGAAAAATGCACACTTAACAATTACTTTGTGCCCTCACACATCAAAATTTTTAAAAAGTCGATATTATATATTGTTTTTTTTTAGTATAAATATCATTAAATAACATTTAAATCTCATGGATATATTTGAATACACTACGAGTATATACCCAAATAACAAATGAATCACAAGCAGTTAAATAAAACCCAGTCTTTTTAGTAAAAAAATAGGACTGGGTCATATACTAGATGTTTTTTCATCACGATTTAACATTGTTATATTAAATCCATGAGAAATAACACCCTATACATGAATATAAAAAAACAATTTATCAAAATATTTCATCATAAAACTCAATTCAGCCAATGTCATGGAATTAGTAACAATGTAAAAAAACGCATTCTTAACATTTTCGCTTATTTAAAGTTGTTTATTTTTCTTAATCACTTATGAAAACAGTGTTTTCCTCAAGATATAATGCACTTTCCTTGTCATTATCGTTATCATCAATGAACTAATTCCATGGCACATCTAAAAAACAAAGCTAAAATTCCTAAAAAAAAAAATCGACAACAGCACCAATCGCTACAACAACAATCCCAACAACTTTCGAGGAATCAAAAACGAAAAATCTACAAATTGTGCTCGTCTGAATTTAAATGATTCCCCGCATCCAAATCGGGGATTCCTCCAACGGCCCCCTCGTCATTCTCAGCCGCGGAAGGTGGAACCTGGGGCTCCACCACGGGAAGCAGATGCTGTGCCATCATCGACGATACCATGGGGTTCCCCCTGGAGTCGAGTTCCATGACCGGATCGGCTGTGGCCTCGGCCAAATTTGTCACACTCTTGGACTTGACACATTGGAAGTCGACGTGGCGACTTTTGGCCTCCTCCTTTTCCCACGACATGTGGATGAATGGCCGTTGGACGTAGTTGTAGATCACCTCTGCTCGGCCCCCTGGGCGTTTCTTCACTTTCTCTTTGTATGTTGGATAACCTAAACAAAACAAAAATATTACAAAGTAATGTAAACTACTCAAAAAAGGAGCCACTTCTTTCTTTTGTTAAATATTATTTGTGCCACTAATTATAAATATAATGTTGTATTCGCTCAAGAATATATGTAATTTTATTATTTTGATGTTTTAAGAATGACGTTCTTTTACATATTTCTGTTAATATCCTATAAATAATTAGACTTGGCAACACGATCTCTATATTACCAACAACAAACTAAAATCGTTGATACAATCGACCAGATCATTGGTGTTTTTCAGATATATGCATAATCATTATGGTTTTTTAATTGGAAACACTATTTAATTTACTGAAATGGCATACTAGCGGAATTTATGAACATATTAAAACTTTTAGTATACTTTTTAAAACTGGAAGCGACAGCTAAACCTTAATAAACATGGATTACAACAAAATGTACTATGCAGAAAAAATTAAACTTAAAATCTATGCCACACAATGTATATACTACATATCTACAGAAAATGTTCAATATTCCAATAAAATATCCACATTTTTAAAAGTGGCTTCATTTTAAATTTGACTAGTATATATTAGGATATTATACAAGACATGTTTATCAAAATATCATACATAATACATACCTTCAATTCCAAGCCTGATCTTCTTCAAACCGCGATCCTTTAACACTTGCTTGGCCACATCTCTGTTCTCGATGTACTTGAAAAATCTATACATGGCAGTACTGTTAACAGTCTGGCTGTACTCCTCGCCCATTTGAGGTGGATATTCTTCGTCCCAATCTACTGTATCGTCATCCAATAAAACGACAATGTGACACTCTCTGTCGCCCCTTTGGGCGGAGTTCACCATCAACGGCAGTATCAGCTCTTCGAGGAACACTTCGAATTGGCATCTGGCCCCCTCATTGGATAATTCATGTAGAAGACCACCTAAACAACCAAATTTCCACATTAATATAATTAAAAATAAACAATATTAAACTTACGTAAATTTTGGCACCTGACTGTATTGGCATCGAAAGGAACCAACAAGTAATCACAAGCCTCTCTGAGCTCCTGCACGGACACAGATGGGGGACATTTAATCAGGCCTCCTTTGTAGTACTCCAATATGGCCCTAAAAACCGAAGCTGGTATCCCGTCGGCCACTTCATATTCGCCCCTTTCATTTGGATGGGTAAATTCGAGTGAGGAACTGAACATCCTGCCCAACATCGTGTTGGGATGTGCGGTGAAGATGGCCGGGTCCACAACGAAACGAGTATTATCCACTACTAACGTCACTCGGTCTTCGGTCACGGTGCCCCCTTGGGCGTTCAACTGAGTAGGGCACTGCGATTTGGAGCATGACGGCTGAAGGACTGCTCGAGACCTACAACAAAGGATACCAATAAAAAAATACCTCTCGTCCGTTATTAGATGATCGGAAAATAGAAAATCTCCTTATTTCGTTATATTTTCAAATACTAATTTTCGTATGTGTACCATTTTCGGTTTTTCAGATACAGAAAGACAAATAAAAATTGAAGAACCTCCATAACTGGAAAACGATAAATCTCGTTTTAATTTATTTATACCAATTGTAACATTTTGTAACCTATTTGGTTTTTAAGATATAAGGTTTATTTTAATGACTTCTTATAAACAGTTAAAGAAGCATCGACAAGGATCACCCTGTATAATCCGAGAGGTAAACTGCAGACCAAATTTAGTACATCTAATTTCCTTTTCCTATTCAATTCCTTTTAAATTACCTCTCAATTCATTGGCAATTCCCACAATGCGATATAATTATTATTAATAAAGATCAGTAGCGGTAAAACCGATGAGACTGATCTAGCATTGAAAAGTCGCATTCATTAACTACATAGTACATAACATTAAGATATAACAGAGCAGTTATCACAATACATTAACCTATATCACAGTTTATCACAAAAGATCAAGTGGCATAGTGGACCATGATGTTTAAAGCATTTTTCAGTTCTTTATCTAGACGATTCTTGGACTGGTTAACTGAGTTCAAGTTGTTTCAAGCATACATCAATAATTTTTTGTTTGGAGCTTTTTGCATTTCTCTTTTTCCAGTTTTTTGGGATGCCCTCTGTGTGTTCTATTTTGACACCTCTAAGTCTACGTTCTTTATGTGTTTGGAGTTGCAGAATTGAAAGCCTTTCCAAACAGCTACAGCCCTGAAGCTCTGGAGGGATTCTAGTTATCTTTCTTTGGACTTTTCCATATTTTTAACAAAATGTAGGTTCCAAACTGGCATTGCAATTTCTATTTTGGGTCTTATATAGATTTTATATACCTTGGAGATCATTTCCTTTGAGTGGTCTTTGAATGCAATACTGATTAGATAAATCATTGTGTTTGCCTTTTTTGTAATTTTTGAAATATGAGTTTCTCATTTTAAATCTGGAAATAAAAACCCCAAGATCTTTTTAAACTATAACTGTTAGCAGACTTTCACCATTGAGGTAATATACATTTTCTGGATTATTTGGGCCTATGTGTAGTACTATTATGATTTAGGGGGAGCAACCATTTATCTAACCAGCTGTTAATTATATCAAGATCTTGTTGTAAGACTTCTTGGCTAAGATGGTTGAAATAACATTTTGCATCATCTGCAAAATATTCTGAAGGTGAGTTTATGTCATTGGCCAAGTCGCTAGTGTAGAGAATGAATAACAGTGGCCCAGCCCAGAACCCTTTAGTATGCCTCTGATAAATTGTCAATCCATTTAAGTAAATTTCCCCTGACTCCGAGATGTTCCAATTTTAAAAGTAATGGTACTTTATTCAAGACTTTTGCATGGTCTGGGTATATGATATATGTTGGTCATAGTCATATTTTTTTTCAACAACTTCATATAATCATTGTAACTTCGTTTTGTAATGAATAATTACCTAAACTTGAAAAATAGATAGCTTTTTCTGTTTGATGGTTCTTTAATGATGTACCTAGAAGTTGTACATTTTGTTCACAATAGATGTTTGAATTTGTCTTTTTCTCAAAAAAATATATGCCCCTATGTAAATCTCTTAACTCATGACGTAGTGAGCTCAAAAGTTATTAAAGGAATCAATGTTTTACAAATATTTTTTAACTTCTAGTGGTGAAGACGGTGATGTTAAACCATGCCTTGTCCGGCGATCGGACCCAATGAATATTTATGGAGCGATATCAGATGTAACATTTCTTTGCATTGAACACTTGCAACAGAAAAAAATTACTACTTCCTTTATTTAGGTAATTTGCTAATATCACAATATACAAATTTAGCAAAATATACTGTGACGGCCCGCCCCCGGCACCCTTTTTTTTTTTTTTTTCGTTATTTTACTTCCTGAAATGTTATTATTTACCTCACAAGTTTATTTTACTTTAAATTCTATACTTACGGTATTTGGCCTTTTTCCTCTAGTAGTAAAAGTAATCGTCTAGTTAATTAATTGATAATTTATATACCCACGTTGTGATAATGTTAATTAAGGTAAAACAGGATTCGATGCAAAGTTTGGTGCAAATTGATAAATAAAACCATACAAAATTATATTTAAACATTTTTATTTTTTCATTCTTTAAATGTAACTCAATAACTTGCAAAGTATATTACAAATGAGTACTATTTACTGAGGTATCACCTGAGTCTCGTTGAAACGCAGACCATATTCATTTGCTATCAATATATATTTTAATTAGGTTGATGACCAACGGAGTTAACGAACAGCGCCAATTCGCCAGTTGATTAACTACTGTGTTGATTTGATTCTATTCTAGATATACACAGGTTGCACCCTCTTAGGTAAATATTTCGATGAGTATAGAGGTGATGACCAACGGAAGTAACGAACAGCGCCAATTCGCCAGTTAATTACCTTACTATGTTGATTTCACATATACTTTGTTTCATACCTAGTAGAACAGGTTGCTTAGCGTATAGGTGTCTCCCTTGAGCTAACGAACAGCGTATTCGCCAGCTGGTTAACTTACTATTAAACTTTACCATTTTGGTTTGTACAATTTATCCAAGATGTATATTTCCAAATATTGATTTTTATAATTTCTATTGAAATGACTTAATATAACTCTGTATATTTCTTAACATTGAATTTTATAATTTCTATTGAAATTACTTAATACAACCCTGTATATTTTTTAATATTGATTTTTATCATTTCTATTGAAATACTCAAAATGCACCCATCTAAAACAGATGTTATCCTAAGTGTCTTTCGGGGTGTATGACCTGAAGGCCATGTGGTTTATTGTTTAAATTGATAATATTTTTAAGCAAGTGTCAGGCTCTGTATTTAAACGAGACCCCGGTGGCATCTCAAAGACAGCTACATAAACCCTTTTGACTCACCATTGAAATTAAAGACATTTGGGTCGTCTAAACTAGACATTATGTACGTCGCAGCGTTGAACGTCGCCTTGCGTCGAGACGTCAAGCGTCGTGGCGGGGCGGAAGGTATTTATTTCGTGACTGTGTCAGGACAGATATATGGTAGGAAATACTTAGGTGGTGCGAGACGTGACTAAGGGTGTCGATAAGGATATTATGAAGGTAATATTTAGGGGCGGCAGGCGTCGAGAAGTAGAGCGATGGGACGTTGGGCTTCGGAATGAATGTAAGGTAGTAAATACTTAGATGGTGCGGAATGTGACAGCGTTCGATACGTAGGAAGTAGGAAAGTAGGGCGTCTGGACATCGAGCATAGAGACGTTAGGCGCCGGGATGAATATAATGGTAGGAAATACTAAGTGGTGTTAGAAGTGATATCGTTGGGACGTCGAAAGGTAGGGAAGTAGGACGGAGAGACGTTGGGCGTCGAGACGTTGACACCTTTGGGAAATAGGAGGTATCGTGGGATAGACGTCGTTTAGGAAGAGCGTTTAGGAAAGGTACAGACTATATAACTGGGTACAGACAATAAAGTGATTGCTTAAATATAAAATAATAAAATGTATGCTTGCACATCAAATGATCAAAAATTGAATGAATGCGAGCTCCTTTCGGTCAGACTTTTTATACTACATTTTCAATGGCTTTTGTGACGTCTCTATCGTTTTAGTTCTCAAATACGAATGTATGCGCAAAAGGGGATGGGTTATTTATTACTTGTCTTGAAAGCTTTGTGTATTGAAATATTGTCGAAATCGGTCTTAACATCGAAACTAGAAATATAAGCGAGTTAAGTGTTTTAATGATAATTACTTCGTGAAAGAAATGTTTTATGGTGTTTTCTTGTTCTAGCAACTCAGCCACGTACACGAAATTTGGATCTTTTATGGACGTGATTACAGTTATAATTAATAAGTTATTAAGCTACCTGGGTGCAGTAGGTTACAATACATATACAAGTCAAAATATAGATAATACAAATATAATTAAAACTAACTACCCCTGCTACTATTTCTGGAGAAATATTCAATAATTAAATAATCTGTGACCTGGATTTTAAATATAGTTACAGAATTTACAGATTTAATTTTCTCTGGGAGTGTATTAAAGAGGTCTAGATATTAACAAAATAGTGAATTTTGTGTTGCACTTTCAATACAAAAGTTATTTCTGTTCCACGTTGGATAACTGTGCTCATAAGAGTGATAATTGAGCTTCTCTTTTAGGTACTTCAGAAGTAACCCACGTTTGATTTTATAAATAGAAATTATAAGGTATTCCTTGATAAAAGCCTTTTGAATGGCATCCAATTCAAAGTTTCAAGCATTAGATTAATGAGAGTATATTTTGAGCAAGATATTATTTGCATAGTCTTATTCTTCAGTCAGTTCAACTCATTTTGATTTAGAAAAAAGAGAATTGTGGAACAATAGTGAGGTAGAATGATAGTGTTATATATAATACATTTAGTCCACTGTGATAAGTCATATGAACTTCTATATAGTAAATTTAACTTAAATGCAATACTTTTGATGACAGAGTTGGCATGAGTGAATTTCATCTGTTTGTCAATCATTGCCCCTAAGTATTTGAATTGTTCTACTAATTGTATAAAATTTCCTCCAATTGTGATGTTATATTGTTTTTCAACAAATTGCACATAGCCATAATTATTACATTTTGTTTTGTGTTGATTTTTAACAAATTATTGCAACAATATTTATAAACATTTTTCAGAGTTTCATTAACAACTTTAAGTTATATGGATCCTTACACAAAATATATATAAGGGCATCATCAGCAAACAGGCAAATGTCACATCAACAATGTCATTGATATGAATTAAAAACAGGGGACCTAATATGCTTCCATGTGGAACTCTTTTGGTATAGTTAATTTCTTCTGATATATTATTTACTTTTAACTTTTGTTTCCTGTTTCTTAGCTAATCCACACACCACTCCAATGCTTGCTTTACTATCTAAAACATTTAAAATATTTGTTACAAAATTATCATATGTTACATTCATGTTATAAATACGATAGTTCCATGCTAATGTTGAGAATTTGTTATTTATTATATCAACATTTAAGTCCTTACCTTTTCTTTCAATTTTTAAACCAGAAAGATCATTACTATTCAACAGCACATTCCTTAGAATAATAAAATGGTTCTGAAATTCTTGGTGTTTTGATAACCACAACTGAGACTGAATCGTTATAACTAAATCTATTGCACTTCTTTTATAAAAGCTCTTCTTATTGCATTAATCCCAAGAGTTGTGCACTGTATGCCATAAAAAACAAACCATAAATGCATCATATTTTATTTTACTATCCAATATACAAGTCGAGTTGGTGAGGGAGTTTTGTGCAAGTAATATTGAACAAAAATGCAACTACTAATCACTTAAACTATTTACCCATAAAGAGATGACACATTAAAAAAAATATTCGCCTTCCAGGTATAACATGGCAAAGTTGTAACCACTTAGGGGCAAGAATAATAAACAATAACACTTGTTTTAATAACAATTTGCTTCTAACTAATTAATACTAATTAAATGTTTTCTTAGACCTTTTTTGTTCTAAGTAAATAGAATTGCAAATTTTCTTTCTGAAAATAACAAAATAAGTGTCTATTTATTTTCAATGGAGAAGCTAAAACCATTTTCCATGTACATATTTGGCATTTTGTTTTTAAAATTCAGCACAGTCAGTCCCCTTTTTACCTGCTTGGAAGAAAAGAAAATCCTTCATTGAGTGGATCTATGTATTATAAAGGCAATACCTATATTTCACACTTTTATATCTAGAGATTTATTGGATTTTTGCACATTACAAGTTTAATAAACTGCTAATAATAAGTGTAAAGTCTCTGGCATTAAATATACTGGCATGAATAATTATTAACATTGACACGTCTGTCTCTTTGCCTTGGCAAATTTTAGTTTTTTAGGACTTAAGATGTATATAATTCCCTGGACAAAAACATTTAATGAACAATGATCGAAAACAATCTTATTGCAAGACCTCATACTGTTCAGGAGTTTCCTTTTATTTTTAATTATTTATTTAGTTTTGTAAACTGTACCTATTTTTGATTTATTTCAAGGATATTGTAGATTTATTACATTCTAAATGGTTCTATAAAAACAAAATATCAAACTTTTTTGTTACCTCTCATACCAAAAAACCATTTTCAGGTAAAACCTTTTACTATTTATATTTACACTTTATAAAGATTTATTAATTCTATACTAAATAGGATCATATAATTCAAAAATATAAAAACAAATGTTATCTATATATTATTATCATCATTTGAAACCTCACAAATATTTACAAGTAATAACAAAACAAACATTTAGGTTTTCTACATATCTATTTAAACTTCATCATAAATAAAAAACCATCATGTCTACAATTACATTATTCTTTGTTCTAAAAATATATCATGTAGCTATCATTCCACATGCTGCTGATTCATTGTGACAATTATATTTAAATTTCTGGCAAAACATGATAGAATATGAATGATAGTGAACCAATTGTTCACAAAAACAATATTGGTATTATTATTTGATATTTTCAATATAAGCACATAAAGTGAATGCTTTTTTTAAACATACTAATTTTAATTTCCCATTCACATTTCCCTTATAGAAAATTTTAAATTTCCTAGGAGTACAAACATATTATGTGATGGCAAAAAATTAAAATTTATGTGTACTTTTGCAAAATGAAAATTTTCAGAGAAACAAGGCATTAAACTATTTGGGTACTCAAAATGATTCTTCATACATTTAATACCAGTTTCAGACAGATCTGTAAGGTTTCATCTAATTAAATTACTAGAATTGTAATACTTGTTTTTACAATCTCATTAAATAATGAAACATTTACATATTCAGGCATTATATATTTTTCAATCTATGAATTTATTATATTCATTAAATGCTATTGGCTCTACTATAGTAATATTAGGAGCAGATACTAACACACTGAATGACACCAAAACAGTATCACAGGCTTTATTAAAAACAGGTCAATGATATTGTGTAAAAAAATGTATAGCCTAAGGTGGAACCTATTTAGTAATCTCATTTGCATAGGTATATGTTTTCTTACAAATAATTTTTAAACTAGGTACTTGCTTCTGGGAAATAGGAAAACATAAAAAAAATGACACAAATTGTCCTTATGAAAGAAGTCTAAAGATTGCATGTAATAATGATTAATAGGTAATCCTCACATAAGAAAAAATTTATGCTTCTATCTCAGTTCTTTAAATAAAAAACAGAGATGTTCACTCAAAATATTTTGGTCACCAGTATAAAGCAATAGATATTTAGAACATGAATATCATTAATACAAATAAGGAAATAAAAGCGTACATAATTTGATCCTTGTGGAATACCTAACAAAATAATATGCTTCCATCTCAGTTCTTAAACTAAAAAACAGACATGGTCATGAAAAATATTTTAATAAGCAATAGGTATTTGTAACCATAAATATCAATGATACAAATAGGAAATAGAAGGGGACATAAATTCGATCCTTGTGGAATACCTAACAAAATGTATGCTTCTATATCAGTTCTTGAACTAAAAAACAGACATGTATATGCAAAATCTTTTAATAAGCAATAAGTATTTGGAACCTGTTGAAACCATGGATCATTGATAAAAATTTGAAATAAAAGGAGATGTAAAATTGATCCTTGTGGAATACCTACCACTTTTTATTTTTATAATTTATATACCACTGATGAAACAAGATATATCTGTTATGTAGATCGATATTATTTATTGAAATATATGTATCTGAAAGATAAAAAAGCATTAGGTACTTAGATGTTTTAAAATTTGATATTTAATCAAATTGTGCAATTACTTCGGAGAAAATGAATAATGGGAAAGTCCATTGTATTAAAAACATAAAATAACTAGAATTGTGCTACTTTTGGCAGTAAAAAGAATGGAACCAAAATCAATAGTTCATTGACGCAAAATCTCGTGTTATTGCACCATTATCTTAAAATAAAAATAAAATATCGCGACAGACTGACAAATATGCATGCCAAAGGGAACAGAGAACAATGAACTTATACTTAATTTCTTACTTTTAAATATCGCTATTCCACAAATATATTTAATGGGCACTTACCTGAGTCTGTTCTTGAAGACCCTTCTTCTTCTGTCATCTGTGTAGTCTTCAGTATCGCTGCTTGTATCATTATTTGGATACAGGTGTCGATCATTTGCTCCAGCCATTTTAACTGGTGGAAGCATACACTTGATAAATATATATAAATAATCACTGCAAATTTCTCTGGAACCAATCCAGAACATAAAGAATACTATCTACATTAGAAAATACACAAATTATGTTCGAAGAAATGTTTCACATTCACACTACCCTTTCTTGTTGTCTTTTTAAATTCTGGAAAGTTGAAAGTTTAATGACAGTTTGACATTTTGACAATTGCTTTTTGACACTGCATTTTCATCTTTTGTGTATTTTATTCCAAATCTAAACATATTTAGAAAGCAGATTTGTATAAATTAAAGTAATACAGTAGCAAAGTAATCCGTCTTATCGTATTAAATAATATTTTTATACATTTTCAAAACGATGAATAAATTTTAAACGATTCAGTGCAGCCAACCCAAACATGGTAAAAATAAATTTTCCCTAAAGTAAAATAACACATTTTCTCAAATTTCACAATAATTACCGTACATTTTTCAAGTAAACATTGAAAAACACAATCAATTTTATTTATATTTCATCCGAAGTTCATATTTTTTATTAAATTGTTTGTAGTTAGGAAAAACAAATTTTTTGTTTTTATTGGAGAACTAATCCATTTATATCGATAAGTGGGGGAACCGAAGCTATATAATCGGCGAAGCATTTCATTTTTAGACATTACAATTTGTGAAATAGTAGTAAGAGCTAGAAAGATACGGTGTTCAATTCAGTGAAAAATCTTACAAATTTCCGAGAGAATTTCAAATAATATTCAGGTAAGTTAAATATTTCAATTTATTTGTAGTAGATAGAAATGTCAACATAACATTTCCCATTTCCTAGACTTTTGCGATAGGTAGTTTCTTTTGTATAGAACCTAGGTACATTGGGTAGTTCACATTTAAAATGCCTAGTTGTATTTAGAAAGCATTATACTTAAAAACTCGATGGTTTTTGATAAAAAAGGACTTAAAAAATTACTGTGCAATTCTCAGCTGATTGCGTAGATGTTTTATTGATCGACGACCCATATGAGATGACGTATCCTCTCTTTGTTCTGTTGATAGTGCGCATTATTTTAGTTAAATCCAATTTAAACAAAAGGTTTTTATTTTGGATTCATGACCCAATTAACATTTTGAAAGTAGGTGAACAGGAATTTTCGTTTACGTGAATAATTAAACATTTTTAGCAAATAAATTATTTATATTTTTAGTGATGACCATTTTAATTAATTGGAAGACAGCCGGTGGTTAATTTTTTCGCCAGAGGGGAACTTTCAACAAAATACTTTATAATTAGCTCCAAAAAAGACATGTCTTGAATACTTTTTCCATATTTTAAAAGCTCAAAAGTATAAAAATTAATATACCTAAAATAAAATGCTTTAAATGTGTTTGTAATTCGAAAAGTACAAAAGTTAAAAATAATAATTATTTTATATTGTACCTACCCAAATAACCATTGATCCAAGTCCTTCAACCTGTGAAATTATAAACAGTAATTATATTACAATGTTTTTATATATCATAGCAAAATAATGGATTTAAGACATTGTACCTACATTAAAAAAATAATCTAAGGTGCCTCTAATTATTTTGATTTAAGTTTACTCTCATATTGCATTTCTATATAATTGTTCTTTCTGGGTATTTGTATCTTATCCCTTCCTTCTTTGTAGACGGCCTTGTTCCTCTTCTCTTTTGGCAAACTTCTTGGGGCAGTTTTTTAGGGTCATTCAGGGATTTTTGATATTTTAAATTTCTCATAAAAGCGTCTTATAACGAAATTTGGAAATTATTTTTAGGCAAAGTTTCTCCAACTTTTATATTCCAAGTGTAAAAATATGTAGGTTATTTAGTTAAGGATTTAAGTTGTATTAATATGGTTATCATTTGCCTGCCACACAACTTCTTTAAATCCTTATTTCTCTGCATTCTACATATTCTTAGCATATTATGATGTGGCTTCCATATTACAGTTTTGGTAAATATCTAGTTTGACCTCTTCTCGATCATGAAAAAACTTTATTATAATAATTATAAACAAATACTCAAAATTCCATATCTTGTGCCAATTAAAGGCTTTTTTTTATAAAAATTCACCGTTTTTGAGATTATTTAGGTTTGTTCAAACAACACTCATTGTAGAAACAGTAATTGGTTGTCCAGAATTCTGCACAGAAGCTTAAGTATTTCAAATAATTACCCTGACAACCAGTTGCTGTTTCTGATCATTATTGGTACATACCACAGAGCTAGGCATGCTAGGATAGCTCGGTACACAAACCCATGAGAAGAGTAGATAATCAAAATTGAAAGTATAAGAAAGAATAGTATAAAATTATTAGCTTTTTATCCTCGATCCTCCAAGTTTCAAATGATCCCCAATCTTATCCATAATTTATGTACCAGTGTTATGATTGCCTGGAAATTTGATAGTTTCTTTTGTTGCAGAATGCAGATATTTGTTAAGACCCTGACAGGGAAAACTATCACTCTCGAGGTTGAACCATCCGACACTATTGAAAATGTCAAAGCCAAGATCCAGGATAAGGAAGGAATCCCCCCAGACCAGCAAAGGTTGATCTTTGCCGGTAAACAATTAGAAGATGGCAGAACATTATCTGACTATAATATCCAGAAAGAGTCGACTCTCCATTTGGTACTTAGACTTCGTGGTGGTATGCAGATCTTCGTCAAAACTCTGACTGGAAAGACCATTACTCTGGAAGTAGAACCTTCAGACACTATTGAGAATGTTAAGGCTAAAATACAAGACAAAGAAGGTATCCCACCAGACCAACAAAGATTGATCTTCGCAGGAAAACAGCTAGAAGACGGGCGTACTCTATCTGATTACAACATCCAGAAGGAGTCTACCCTGCATTTGGTGCTTAGACTTCGTGGTGGTATGCAAATCTTCGTCAAAACTTTGACTGGTAAAACAATCACCTTAGAAGTTGAGGCATCAGACACCATTGAAAACGTCAAAGCCAAGATCCAGGATAAGGAAGGCATCCCACCAGACCAACAGAGGTTGATCTTTGCCGGTAAACAATTAGAAGATGGTAGAACATTATCTGACTACAATATCCAGAAAGAGTCGACTCTCCATTTGGTACTTAGACTTCGTGGTGGTATGCAGATCTTTGTCAAAACACTAACTGGAAAGACCATCACTCTTGAAGTAGAGCCATCTGATACTATTGAAAACGTTAAAGCTAAAATTCAAGATAAAGAAGGTATCCCACCAGACCAGCAAAGATTGATCTTCGCAGGAAAACAGCTAGAAGACGGGCGTACTCTATCTGATTACAACATACAGAAAGAGTCTACCCTGCATTTGGTGCTTAGACTTCGTGGTGGTATGCAAATCTTCGTCAAAACTTTGACTGGTAAAACAATCACATTAGAAGTTGAGGCATCAGACACCATTGAAAATGTCAAAGCCAAGATCCAGGATAAGGAAGGCATCCCACCAGACCAACAGAGGTTGATCTTTGCTGGTAAACAGTTAGAAGACGGCAGAACATTATCTGACTATAATATCCAAAAAGAGTCTACTCTCCATTTGGTACTTAGACTTCGCGGTGGTATGCAAATCTTCGTCAAAACTCTGACTGGAAAGACCATCACTCTAGAAGTCGAACCATCAGACACCATTGAGAACGTCAAAGCCAAGATCCAGGATAAGGAAGGAATTCCTCCAGACCAGCAAAGATTGATCTTCGCTGGTAAACAGCTAGAAGATGGACGCACTCTCTCAGACTACAATATCCAGAAAGAATCTACTCTCCATTTGGTACTCAGACTTCGTGGTGGTATGCAGATCTTCGTGAAAACTCTGACTGGAAAGACCATCACTCTTGAAGTAGAGCCATCTGATACTATTGAAAACGTTAAAGCTAAGATTCAAGATAAAGAAGGTATCCCACCAGACCAGCAAAGGTTGATATTTGCCGGTAAACAATTAGAAGACGGTAGAACTTTATCTGACTACAATATCCAGAAAGAGTCCACTCTCCATTTGGTACTTAGACTTCGTGGTGGTATGCAGATCTTCGTCAAAACTTTGACTGGTAAAACAATCACGTTAGAAGTCGAACCGTCTGATACTATAGAAAATGTTAAAGCCAAAATCCAAGATAAAGAAGGTATTCCCCCAGACCAGCAAAGATTGATATTTGCAGGCAAACAACTAGAAGATGGGCGTACTCTATCTGATTACAATATCCAGAAGGAGTCTACCCTCCATTTAGTGCTTAGACTTAGAGGCGGTATGCAGATATTCGTCAAAACCTTGACTGGAAAGACCATTACTCTAGAAGTAGAACCATCAGACACCATTGAGAACGTCAAAGCTAAAATTCAAGATAAGGAGGGCATCCCACCAGATCAGCAAAGATTGATCTTTGCTGGTAAACAATTGGAAGATGGCAGAACATTATCTGACTACAACATCCAAAAAGAATCAACTTTACATTTAGTACTCCGTCTTAGAGGAGGACAATAGTATTTTCTATTTAATTTTTTATTTCATTCCTCCCAATGATTTTTAACAAGGCTGATTATTTCAATATTGCTTCAGATTTGTGAAACAAAAAATAAATGGAATATTGCAAGTAATTTACACGTTTTATTTATTACCCCAGAATTCATGGCGCGTTATCTCATCCCAATTCGAGCATACCTTGAATTTGGGATGAGGCAGCAGGACAGTAATAGCATCTAGTTACTTCGCCGGAGATGGGCATGTACCACCCCCGGAAATATCGAGGCTAGTGGAGTATTGCCAGATAAGAAATATGTCATTACTTCTTGAATGCGACGGCAACGCACACACACCATATGGAGAAGCAACGACACCAATTGGAGGTGAGCAACTTCTAGAAAATATTTTTAATGTGAACCTTATTGTACAAAATATTGGGAATACTCCAATACCATTTAGGATGGACCAACAAAATGAAAGTTAAAAAACTGCTTGAAATTTTTTTCACAATTTTTAATTATATTTTCAGCCCTCTACCAGCCACCAAAATAGCTAAAAAGTAAATTAAATGAAATTTTAATTAGATATTCTCATTAAAAGCTGTGTTTAAGCATATACACTGCTTCTTTTTTAGAAAATTTATATAGACAAATTTATTATGACAAAATTGAAATCCCGATTTTTAGTAGAATTGTAACCCAACTATGTCCTATAAAGGCGCCCTTTAATTTACACTCTTAACATTCCATCCTTCCATAAAAATGGTACTTTTTAAACATCTCAAAGACATATCACCTAAAACTGTAATCTATTTAAATTGGTAGAAACAAGACCTGTTAATAGAATTCGCAATTTGCAGTTGTCGATGCAAGATTTAACAGCGAACATCTGCATAACTTTGTTTTTCATTGAATAAAGCATTGAAATAATAAACAAAAAGAGTGTTTTAAATTGTAGTTTAAAGAGTAAAGTGGAATGTCCTATATTTGGGAACCCAACCGATTTGAACCCTCGTATATTGCCGACAATTGAACAAATGCGTAGCTATGAACTAAAATATCAAAAAATATAGTGGAGAAGAACAAATTTAGTTTTTTAGAAGTTTACGATAAATTTGTGCCTAAAATTGAAAAGAGATGCGTCAATTCCAACTGTTTCAAAAGACAGAATTGTGCAATTAATACGGAATAAGTATTAAGAAAAATATAATAATTTATCCCCAGAAGCAAGCGAAACAACAGCTAAGACGAAAAGGTAAATACATTTAAAATATAGTGTGATAAAAAATTACATGACATAGCTGCTTGTAAATGCGATTTTTCTGCATGCATGTGTGAAAAGACCCGGAAAGTACATACTAAGGATCAAAATTTTCTTTCTGATCAAAGATCGGTCAGAAAAATGAGCATAGGAAATGTAGATCGTGAAGAAACAAAGAAAATATTGTCGAATAAACAAAGGCAATCCAGAGAAATCGAAAAACTAAAAAAATAATAGAATCTTGCAATTTTAAGACCCAGCTGTTCCTCTCAGACTACTACATTAATATTGTCAGGGTCAGAATCTGACGCCTCAAAATATCAATTCTCTTCAGATGACGACTTTATCAATCAAAACTTACTCTCTACTTCAAAAAACACTCAAATGAGAACAAGGTTGCCTACGGTCTTGTATGCGATAACTATGGTATATCTGACCGATCAGCTGCTGCGATTGCTAGTGCAGTTAGTAGGAATAATTACCACCAAGATCCGTCGAAAATAGTTGACAAAAATAGTGAGAAGAGAGCGAAAGAAATCTACAAATACCGCAAGGAAGGAGTTTGAAAGTGATAACAGAAGAATAAGCTATATTTTCATGGAAGAAAGGACAAAACTTTACTGCAAGAGAAGAAAAACGGTAGATTATACAAGAAAACTGTTGTCGAAGAACACATATCGCTTATCCAGGAACCTGAATCTATATTGGCAACGTAACTCCAACTACAGGTATCTTTTAATCGTCGCATTCATTTTCCCTTTTACAGCAAAAAGCCAGCAATATCCCGGCAATTTATTGTTTGTTGGGAAAGTACACTTTACGTCGTTGTCGTACTGGAATTATACAGTTAACGTGGTTCAAATTACGCCAAATTTCACAATTTGCCTCGTTATTCTATCGGACACTAATACATAGTCTCAATAATGTCAGACAAAACTGAATTATATACGGCGATGTTGCTCTAGGTTTGTTCGGGTTTCTTTAAAACTCGATGCAAACCATCCAAGAACCAGTGGAACAATTCAATTCCAAATTATTCGTCGCATACAACTATTAAACCATCCACTGGTCAACTAGTCCTTTGATAGTTCTCAATGTATTTTTGAAGAACCCGAACAGACCTTACAAAATTATGTCACAGCTGATTTCGACAACGACGCGACTTGCTCTAGCGACCATTAAAGCAACTATAGTTACGTCGTTGTTCTCCAATATGTGTTACGTATTTTTGAGAACAGTACTTAACTATATAATTACCCTAATTTTGCAGTTACGTCATTGTTCTTCTGGAACAGCGGTATTATATCTAGGATATTTTTAAATTATTCTCAGAATGTCTTGGGCATAACCAAGATGCTTCAAAAAGAATATTGTAGGTAGGTTTACAGGATATTCTAGGTATATTTATTAGCTAGAATATTTTTAGATAGTGTAAGGACAATACCTCTATTTATGCTCAAAAATATTTGTAAACGAAGTGTTTTCAAGAAGATGTAACGAAAAAACTATTCAGATCTCAGATTTTCGAGAAATTTATAAAATCTTGCAACCGCTGTTATTAAAGATAATGTCCATAAAAACAGAAGAAGAATCTGACAAAGTTAAAATGTTCTTCTTTTCTATGGCCGTTATCGTGAAATTTTCCAGGTTAAAAAATATATAAAATGAGGTTAGAAAGGGATTAGTAAACGTCACTGTCAAAATCTTTTTGCTCGTGTTGAAGTGAACGGTGCAACCCTGACCATGGCTGATGAAATAAAAAATGTAATAGAAAATGGGGGCGATGCGCCCCCGAAATCGGCCAAGCAGCTAGCCAAAGAAGCCGCCAAGCAGGCCAAATTAGACAAATTAAAACAGAAATTGGAGAAACAGCAAAACACGGCGCCGAAAAAAGATAAAGAAGAGGTAAGTGATTCATTCTTCAACATATGTTAATTCGGTAAATAATTATATAGGAAACCATAATATTTGAATATAGTATTACGAAGAAAGGGAGAAAATGCTTTGAACATTGCTTGAGCTTAATTTGTCGAATTAATTTTAAAATTATCATTCAACATTACTTTTTTTATTAAATTATTTAGATAAATTCACTAAATAAAAATTCTATTTTTATAAAAAATAAATTTAATGGTAATCAATGTAATAATAAAAGTAAATATTCTTGATTTAAACCATATATAAAACTAAATAAACTAAAATAAAATTTACCATGTTTACTATATAAAAACAATGGTTAGCAGGGACTGAAGTTGGAAAGGCTTTTGTCACTTTTCACACAAAACATTTGCATAGAAAATAATTTAATGTTAATAGCTGTTGAAATTTTGTAGAATTATGATTTGGAATATTATTAATTTGTTTAAATAATTATTTGTAGCCAATAAATAGATACGTTTGCCCGATTAAGCCAGTAATAATTTAAAATGTTTCAGTGTTAATTTACTATTTTATGACACTGCTTAAGAAACATCACTGTGAAAATCTCAGTCTTCTTTTTTGAATAATATGCTAAAAAACAAAAAATCTGTGTCAGTCAACATATATTTGAAAAATATTGTTTTATTTATCTTGTTTATCAAATTATATTGCATAATGTAATAAAAGTGGTATTTTAGAAGAAAGAAAAGAAGAAAGAGGTAAAAGAAGCTGCCTTGTATGATGTACCCACAGAAGAAGGTGAGAAAAAAGACACGTTAGCCCCACTGCCTGATTCATACAGTCCTAAGTATGTTGAAGCAGCTTGGTACAGTTGGTGGGAGAAGCAGAAATTTTTCAAACCTGAATATGGAGTAAGTTTTAGGATGTATTAAAGTTAGATAATAAATAGAAACATATTAGTTTTTATAATCCAATTAGGATCTAAAAAAATGTTTTCATGAAAATCAAATTTTGTAATCTGTCTATATTGTTTTTGATTGATTTATAGAAAAAATCTGTGCTGGAAGAAAATCCAAAAGGAAAATTTGTAATTGTCATTCCACCACCAAATGTAACTGGATCTCTTCATTTAGGGCATGCCCTCACCAATGCTATTCAAGATTCTATCACTAGATGGTACATTTTTCCATACATTTCCTAAATAATTTGTAAAAAATTAATTAATTTTAGGCATCGGATGAGAGGGGAGACGACCCTGTGGAATCCTGGTTGTGACCATGCTGGTATAGCCACTCAAGTGGTAGTAGAAAAAAAATTGTGGAGGGAGGAGAAAAAAACGCGACACGATATCGGTAGAGATAATTTTGTCCAAAAAGTATGGAAATGGAAGGATGAGTAAGTTTTAATAAACCATTTTTTTGTCAAAAAATAATAATTTCACCCAGTTTTTCATTTATTAAATTGGCACTGTTGTAAGCATCTTTATATTGCATATTTTACTGAATTTGACCAAAATTGGCAACATTGGATTATTTTCACATACATTCACCTACAATACTGGGAAGTTGATATTAAATTTAACAAAACAACAATAATAATTGTTACTATCTTATTTATTTTTAATGGATATATCTATAAATAATTATAATTCATACTTACATTTACATACATGTCAAAATTCTGAAAATCCATAAAACTTAGATAACTATTTTCCCGCTTTTTCGTAATTTATTTTATGTTATTTATACTTTACATTCTTCTACAACTTCATCAATTTAATTCTACAAATTGAGAAAGATAAAAAACTTTGATAAAAACTAATCAAAAATTTTTTTATTGTTTACTCATTATTTCATAACTATTTTTATAAACATTATTTCCTATTTCTATTAACACTGCAAGTTGCTTAAAGCTTGTATTGACTTGCAAATTTGTCATTTTCCCCAAAAATCTGGACGCCTAGAAATATTTCCCTATTTCTCTTTAATTTGTCAACAATTGGCAACAGTGTAAGCTGTTTATGGTTTACCTTACAACGTTGTCAAATTTCCACCAATCCAGACACCTAAGTAACTAATATCCCTTTCTTGATAATATTAAAACCTTATTTAGAAAAGGGGTAAGAATCTATCACCAGCTGAAAAAGATGGGTTCTTCTTATGATTGGGAGAGAGCAGCTTTTACTATGGAACCCAAACTGTGCAAAGCCGTAACTGAGGCTTTTGTCAGGCTCCACGATGACGGCACAATTTACAGATCTAACAGACTGGTCAACTGGTCTTGTTCTTTGAAATCGGCCATTTCGGATATAGAGGTAAATAATAAATGAAACCTTTTGTAAAGTTTTACTGCAGAATTTCTCCGATTCTACTTTGAAATAAATAAATACATTGTAACGATAATGTTTATGTATAAGAAATAATAAATATAGGTTATTCAGTTTGAAGTTAACTTATTTACGCTTCATTAGTCCACCATATATAATATGTAGCTGTTATATTTTATTATCTTTAGGTAGATAAAGTGGAATTACCAGGTCGTACGTTGCTTTCCGTGCCAGGTTATGAGGAGAAAGTGGAATTCGGAGTGCTGGTACACTTTGCTTATCAAGTAGAAGGGTCTGATGAGAAGTTGATCGTCGCCACAACCCGTGTGGAGACCATGTTAGGGGATACAGCTGTGGCTGTACACCCTGATGATGATAGATACACTCATTTGCATGGAAAGTACGTAAAAGAAAATAAAATGAAGGTTTTGCTGATAGCTGACTTTGTTTCAAAGGTTTTTTGATTAAACTATAGAGAATTTTTGTTTTTAAACTGTATTTTAAGGACGGGGTATCACTGTGTACTGAAATCGTTTTGTAGACCAAAAATTAAACTGATTGATATCCAAAAATATAGTATTTTAAAATCTATTTTTTAGCCAAATTAAAGATGAAGGTAGTTATACTATTGAAAATTAATTAACGAACTTTAGTGTTTGAAGAAACTAAATTATAAATTAGTTACTTCAATGTTTGAAGAAACTAAATTGTAAATTAGTTGCTGACTTTCTAAACTATACAATAAATGTACAAAAAAATTTCTTGCTTACGGTGTACCTGAAATAATTACATTTGAACTTTCTGTAAAAAGAATAGGTAAAAAATATGAATAGAATCGTCATACATTATGTAGTTGAAAGTAGTTATTAGCAATATTTCTAACTATTGAAGTCAAAATTTTATTGTGTTTTCTGTGGCTTCATGTAAAATGAATAACTCCCAGCTACAGTTAAAGAACAAGAAATGTTTTATTTGGTAAAATTCTTGCATTCGATGAAAAATTTGATTTTATGTCCTCTGTTTTATCTTTTCATCGGTCGCAAAACTGTTTATAATTTGCATCACTATTTAATACGTCGGAATTTACAGTTGAAGATTTCTGTAATTGTTTGAACTAATTCTATTCCTGCACTCCCGAATGTAAAGCTCGAGAAACCCGATAGATATTCCGTCCTTAATGAATAATCAAACATCTAATTGTAAATCAATTAATGTAGCCTCCCGTGAAAGATAAAGGAAAACGTTTCTTTTTAGGTACGTTATCCATCCTTTCTGCAACAGAAAGCTGCCGATCGTTGTAGACGATTTCGTAGAACTAGGATTCGGTACTGGGGCGGTAAAAATAACACCAGCACACGATCCTAATGATTACGAAGTAGGAAAAAGGCACAATTTACCGTTTATTACAATTTTCGACGATGAAGGCATCATCGTAGGCGAATACGGAAAATTTACGGCAAGTTTCTTACATTGAACCATTAAGATATTCGGGAATTTATTTATTTTAGATGTAATGTTTCGATTTTGTTGGTATTAAAAAAATCGATTTTTTTATGTTTTAGGGCATGAAACGCTTCCATGCAAGGAAAGAGATCGTCGAAGAACTGGAACGAAAAGGTTTATACATAGAGACCAAGAACAATCAGATGGTGGTACCGATTTGTAGCAGAAGCAAAGATATAGTGGAACCTATGCTTAAACCACAATGGTACGATTATATTTAATCCTTTTTTGAAATTTATTGATTATTTATTGTTTTTTAGGTACGTAAATTGCGGAGAAATGGCCCAAAACGCCGTCAAAGCCGTAAACGATGGCGAGTTGAAAATCGTTCCGGAGATGCACGTGAAAACTTGGCATCACTGGATGGAAGGCATCAGGGATTGGTGTATATCGAGACAGTTGTGGTGGGGGCACAGGATACCCGCCTATTTTGTAAGGGTTAAAAGTAGACCAGAACGTAAACTATTGCCGGGTGTAAGTATATAATTAACAAATTTTGAAAATCATACATGGCACAGTCTCAGGGCCGCTATTATTCATTAAGTTCTTGAAATTTTCAGAGCGAAGACAGCGATTTTTGGGTATCGGGGCGGACGCGCGAAGAAGCGCTTCAAAAGGCGATGAAAAAATTCAACACTACTGCCGAAGATTTGGAATTGTCGCAAGACGAAGACGTTTTGGACACTTGGTTCTCGTCGGCTTTGTTCCCATTCTCGATCTTCGGATGGCCGGATCAAACTGACGATCTTAAAGCGTTTTATCCGACTTCCTTATTAGAAACGGGTCACGATATTTTGTTCTTTTGGGTGGCCAGGATGGTGTTCATGGGGCAGAAGCTGTTAGGGAAATTGCCTTTCAGGTATATTTCAAATTATCTTTTAAAGAACTCGAACTTTTATTCATTATAGTTTATAGTATATTAAGTTTTAACTGTCGTATAGTAATTTAGAATTAATTTTTATCACTAAGAAAAGATTCATCGTTTATGTTACTAGCCGCTAAGATTTCCCGATTCAACTCCTTTAAATTATTTCATTTATTTATAGAGAGATTTACTTGCATCCGATTGTTCGCGACGCACACGGAAGAAAAATGAGCAAATCGCTAGGCAACGTAATCGACCCGATGGATGTAATAACCGGCATCACTCTAGACAACCTCCACAAGCAACTGTATGACAGCAATTTGGATCCTAAAGAGATAGAAAAGGCGAAAGAGGGTCAGAAACAGGATTATCCAGATGGAATACCTGAATGCGGTACTGACGCTCTACGGTTCGCGCTTTGCGCCATGTGCTATGGAAGAGATATCAATTTGGATATATTACGTGTACAGGGTTATAGGTTTTTCTGTAATAAAATCTGGAACGCCACCAAGTAAGTTCGTTTTTTAGTTATTTTTCAAAAACGAAATGCCCCACGTTGGACGCCAAAATTGTAGTGTTCCTTTCAAAAATAACTTAAATTTAATTTTAGATTTGCTCTCACATATTTCGCTTCCAATTTCGAAGCTCCGATTGATAATAAATTAATAGGGAATGAAAGTCTGATGGATCTTTGGATGTTAAGTAGATTGGCGACTGCCATTACTGATGTAAATAGAGGATTTACTAGTTACGACTTTTCAACAGCAACTACTGCACTTTATAACGTTTGGCAGTATGAACTCTGTGATGTTTATTTGGTATGTATTTGTGTGCATTGCATATATAGTAAGAAATTAAAAACCCTGCATTTGATTGTTTTCTTTAGGAAATTCTCAAGCCAGTTTTCGCTAGTGATGATGATGAAGCCAAAAAAACAGCCCAAATCACTCTGTACAGAGCCCTGGACGTAGGCCTTCGTCTACTATCTCCCTTCATGCCCTTCATTACTGAAGAGCTGTACCAAAGACTGCCCAGGCCCAAGCAACAAATCCAACAAACTCCCAGCATTTGCGTAGCCTCGTATCCCAACGAGAAGGAACACAGATGGAAGAATGAAGATATTGAAGATGAAGTCGATTTCGTACAGAGGGTGGCTAAAAGTATCAGATCTGCTAGGAGCGATTACAATATTCCTAATAAGACGAAAACTGAAGGTGAGCAATATTTACATTCTATAAATTTGACATTAAATTAAAGTGACAATGAAAAAATACTAAAGGGTAACACTAACTTTTTGTTTTAGTATATATTCAGTGTAATGACGAAATGACATCAGAAATAATGGCGAATTACAGTTCAGCCGTGCAAACTTTGGCTTATTGTTCTAAATCTCCTGTGAATGAACAACCTCCTGATGGTTGTACCATTTTAACTGTATCTGATAAATGTCAAGTCAATTTGTTACTCAAGGGTAAGTATTATACATATACATGTGCCCTTTTTTTCATCACTTCAATAAAAAGGCACACGTTTATTTTTGGATGATTTGTTTTCTGTTTTTAGGTCTAATTGAGCCTCCTAAAGAAATAGCCAAGATCCAAAAGAAGCTAGATTTTCTGCAAAGCATTAGGGAAAGGTTAAACAAAAGCATTGAAGCATCTGATTACGAGACAAAAGTTCCCGTGGAAGTGAGACAGTCGAACGAGGAGAAATTAAGCCAAACCAGTGCAGAGATTTCTAGATTGGAGGCCGCGCTCAGCTCATTAAGATTAATGTAATCGATCGATTTTTATACCGTTTTTATACCTAGACTAGCTTGTTGCAATGCCTTTTTAATTTATTATTTCACTTTATTTATTATGCGGTGTTAACAAAATAACTCATTTGTAGCAAATAGTTAATGCCCCCGGTCAATATAATAGTCTTGTACTTATAACTAGGCAACTTGTATTGCGTTAGAGTAGTAAACGCATATTCTAGAAGATTGGGTAGAAAATATGGGAATAATTTTATTATCGAGAAAAATATCAGGAATGTTATTTTTTTATTACAAAATACCCTTTCCTGGTATTGTATACTTACAATAATTTTAATTTATTTTTGACATGTACTCTCCAGAGTTAGGCCAATATATTTTGTTGGATCCGAGTATCGTTTAAATCTGCTGTTCAACCTTATGACATCCAACAATATGATGAAACCAAAATGTTTCTATTGGCTGATTATTTAAAAAAAATGCAGGTATGGCGGGATTCTTTTCACGAAACTTTTAACTATTTGTCTGACGTCGGAGAAATTGAATAATTTTAATCAGATAATCATGTACTTTTTTTACCTAAAATAGAGAATGTTGTAAACAATGGTATAACAAAGCAAACAGTATTAAGTCTTTTTTGTCTAAAATTAAAAAGAAAAGACCAAATCAATTTTAACTAGTGATGGGAAGAATCGGATACTTTCAAGAATCGAGTACTTCACGGAATCGGGTATTTTATTGAATACCGAGTACTGAGTACTTGCATCAACCGAGTATAATGACGATCACCGACACCGATTCAAATTTCAGCGATTCCAGTGTCTCGAATCCGATTCCATATTTTAATTATTCTGTTTCAGTCGGTAGTGTCAGCACGTAGTGAGCAGCGCTACAAGACGGATCGCGATTTGCAGCAGTATCGTCTAATATTTAAAAATCAGAATCGATTCCGACGCTGGTCGTCAGTATTCGAATACTACCGATTCCTTTAGGAATCGGGTATTATCCGATTTCTGTACTCGAGTACTCCCATCACTAATTTTAACATCAAAATTATTTATCGAAGAAAATCACAAGAGGTGTAGCATAATTTATCTCTGGAAATAAGTTAACTGATAAAGAAACATATTTAATAATGGCGATTGAAGCTTTAATAAAATCGTTATTCAATATAATAAGGTCAAAATTAAGGACAGCTCATTGGACAAGAGGGTAAATTTCACCGAGTGAGATATTTGCGTTAATTTTAAGAGGTATCTACTCGCGATATCGGCATAAATAGTCTGAGATAATTAAAATTTACAAAAGCTGTAACTGGTCACTATCATCTACGATTCAAGCGTTAGTATAATGAAATATCACCAAGTTTTCAACTAAAAATTTATGATAATCAGATAAAATATTTGGTACATATGACTAAAAACCTCTGCAAGACAGAAAAAATCATATCGGATGTTATACGTAACATAACAGCACCCTTTATTCCGACTGGAATGTATTGATTCCGTACGTTTAAAGTTTTTCATTAAATTTGACTTACCATTTTTTAGTCCAGGCATGTATCTGGTTAATATATCCATGATTTTTCAGCAGCTTCTTCGTGAGAATGTTGATCGTCATTTTCATCACATAAAATTATTATTCAAAAAATAATTTACTCATATTATTTAGTCGATGACATAAGCAAAAAACTAATATAACTATAGAGATCTCGGTCGAATCTTTAAAAATATATTTTAAAGGGTGGCATTTTTATTTTGAATGCCGGAATAATTTTTGTTAACACCGCGGGATATTTAATCTGGAATCGTTAATTTCCAGATCAATTGTTAGGTTGTTATCAATATTTTTCAAATTATTAATATTTTCGTCGATTGTTGTTAGTTATTCTATTATAAAAAATTGTTTAAATGAAAAAGTCAGTAAATTTAGGTTTCTACGTTATTTTGATTTTTTTTATAGGATATACACAAAAAATATCTATTTTAATATATTATTTTTGCTATTACGATTGTAATAATTGTAAACAAACACGTTCACGTAGAATTTTGTTACCTCATCTATATGCATTTCAGTATTGCAATACCAAAAAAAAAAATCTTAAATAGCTTTTAAAAACCCAAATAAACATTTACATGAAAATATTTTGTTTTATTTTTTAAATTAGGAATAAAAAAGATCTAAAAAAATTAAGTGCGCAAGGCGCTGAGCATAAACGGCTTTTATCTTTGTCGGTTATAGGCAGGTAGGGTTAGGTTTATCCCAGAACACTGCGGCCTCTTGTATTCCTCTGTATTCAGGCACTATCTTTAGAATAGTCCTGTGGAGGTTTAGAATGATTTCCATAGAGGTTGTCAGAGTACTTCTCAGTGCTCCTGTATAACAAAGGCATGCAGCCTCTGAACTCCTGAGATGGTATTGAGGAGTGTTTTCTGGTTTACTTTTGGACACCAAACAACCGCTCCATAAGTTATCATGGGTCTCTTTATTGCCGAATATAACCAGTGAACCATTTTCGGTTTTAATCCCCATGTTCTTCCAAATGCCCGTCTTCCTACAATGAGACATTTAACATTTGTTGGTCACTTTCTGTGTTTGTTACAAGTAAGTTTGCTATCTAGGATTAGACCCAGATATTTTACGTGGTTTCTTTTGTTTAGCCTTCCTCCAAACAGTCGGAGTTTCTAAAACCTCCAACCTTGTTTTCCGAGTAAAGGTTATGAGTTGTGCCTTGTCAGGGTTTAACAAGAGATTTTCCTTAACGCACATTTCTGTCAGTCTAAAAGCTCTTTGCATGGGTTCAAAGACTGGTTTGGTGTTTCCCTCGGATAAGGATGACCATATCCTTGGGCGTACAGCCATCGATTCTTCAGTGTTTTCAGCAGTTCATCTGCCACTAGGTTCCACAGTAGATGAGAAGTGACTCCACCCTGTGGATATTCACCTTCATGGTTTCACTGAACATTTATGCCTGTACTTGCCGTCCGCATAACATGTCTTCTATCCACCAGCAGATGGTGTCTTCTATTCCATGTTTACGAGCGGCAGCTACCATTGATTTAAAGGAGGTATTATTAAAATGTCATTCCATGTCAAGAAATGCTCCTAGGACTATTTCTTGGCTACTGAGTCCCCCCTCTATCTTGGTTACGAGATGATGCAGAGCAGACTCACAAGATTTTTCTGATTGATAGGCATATTGGTTTGTATGAAATGACCTCTCTATCAGAGTGGTTTGCCGGACATGCTGATCAATCAGTTTTTCCAATCCTTTTAATAGAAACAACGTCAGAGTTATTGGTCTGTAGGTCTTTGCCACGGCATATGTTGGGCGGCCCTGGTTTAGGTATAAAAACCACTCTGCTTTGTTTCCAGATATTTGGGGACATGTTTATGCGCCAAACTTGCTCTGTAGAGCCTACAAATATGCGGGGCAAGCGTTTCTATTGTATGTTGCAGAAGCACAGGCAATACCAGATCTGCAGTGGAATTCTCATCTTTCAATACGGCACGTGTTGAGAAGCATCTATCTTCGTTCGACAGAATGCGATTCTTATGTAATGTCTTTTTCTATTCAACACGTAACGTGTTCGGCGATTTGTATGGATTGATGGTGCATATTGCCCATGTTACTTTCTTTGTTATGACTACCCGTTTTGTAGTTTTCCACTCTTGGCTGGAGACTCTTTTTTTAAGGTTCCAGTTCGTGTGGGTTTGGTTTATTTAAACAATAAAGAAAGCGAATGGACTTGGCGTATTTCCGAGACTATCATGGCTTACTCCATGGCATTCGGATTTAAAAAAGTATTATTGCTTACTATTTTTATTAAAAAAGGAAACACACATTACAAAACTCTTTGCTAAAGTAACACATTTAAAATAACCAAAAAAGGTTGACAAACACATTTTTCTGTATAAAATCTAACAAAAAAACATTACCTAAATTAAAAAACATTTAAAAGTAATAACATTAACGTTTAGTGGGCGAATCCATACTGCGGACGGGCCAAGTAGTTCTCAAATTTTCTAAAAACTTATTATCCACGACAGATTCGTGATCGCAAACATCCAAACTCTCCAAATCAAAATCCTCCCTCCTCACCTTTTTCTTAGCGGCGGCGTCGATCACCTTCTGCTGGTAGATATCCATCATCATTGTGGGGCCTAAAGATTTTTATAAATAATTCCCGAAATGGTTTACATCTATAGTTACAATAGAAATTTTAATATTTTACCGATGTGCAACTTTTTGTGTATTTTTACGTTCTGACAGCAATTTTTGATGTTCTGATTTTTCTCCTGACTTTCTTCATGTCAAAACTTTAACAAAATCCACTTCAAAGATCAGAACGTCAGAAGAAGTTTTATTGTAAGTTAGACAATAAAAAAAAAAAAACGTATGCCAAAGGTAAAAATCTATTTCAAAGGTAAGAATGTCAAAGATCAAAAAGTAAAAACGGGTAATTTTAATAGTAATAAAGTGCAAAGATGTTATTTCAAAGGTAAGAATATAAAAAATGTCATGTCAAAGATCACAATGTAAAAAACGTCATCTCAAAAGTTAGAATGTAAAAAAATGTCACATCAAAGAAAAATTGTTATAAGTCAATGTAAGTCAACGTAAAAAAGTATTTCAAATGTAAGAACACCAAGAAAACCTCATTAATGGTAAACGTCAAAATCTATTTGAAAGTCAGAATGTAAATACGGCATATCAAGGATCAGAAAGTAAAAAGAGGTTATTTTAAAACTAATAAAGTACATAGAAGTTATTTCAAAGACCACAACGTAAAAAAAATCAAGCAAAAAGTCAGAATCTTAAAAAACGTCAAGCAAAGGTTTGAAAGTGAAAAACATCAAATAAAATGTCAAAAGCCACAATGTAAAAACGTCACATCAAAGGTCAGAACGAAAAAGTCTCAAATGAAAAGTCTGAACGTAAAAAACCTCATTAGAAAATTAAAAGATGTCCAAAAAAATTATAATGGAGAGGATATTTATACCTAAAGAAATTCCAGCCTTGCAATCCTTATTTTCAATGATCAAACTTTTGAAAAATCGATGAAAATCGTCCTGTTTCAGTTTTTCCTTCGGTTGAAGGGGAGTCTCGACTTTGTGGGGTACCAAAAAGTCAGCGTATGGTAAAGCTGCAATCAAGAGTAATTTTATTTAAAACTTACTGCAGATTCAAAAAATAAAAACACAAACATTTTCTATTTGTAAACTTACCAGTCATAATAAAACATTTCGGGACAAAATCAACTTTCGGAATCAACACAAAGTATCTAGCTTTGTTATTAGTGGCATAAATCCTCTTCCCAACAGCGTATTTTCCGGTTTCATGCAAGATCTTTACCAAATGTGTGAAAGCTTGAAAACCATCTTTAGATGCTCCATTAGGTAATACATAAAATGTATCATCACCTATTAATTATAATAATTATATAAATTAACAAGGTGAAATATTTCACTATGTACAGATTGACAGGAATAGCAAAAGCCACGACATGTGCCAACCTGAGATGAAAGAAGTATATTTATTATAAAAATGTGGGAATTTAATAATATAATCTACAAATTAAAATTTTATAATTATAATATCATTTATTTATTACACCTTTGATTAGTTGCACCTAATATGTGCACCACAAATAAAATTAAAATTATACATAACTGTGACCTACCTGACCCAGGTACCTTCATAATTTATTATAAATGTTTTCACGAAGTAATAATCATTAAAACAGTTTGATTTTCGAAATTTTGAGATATTACAATATTTATATACATTTTGTAAGGCTTTAGAAAAAGATTTAACGCCGCAAACTGCATCTTCTAAGCTTAAACAGTTGCAGAGATTTTTCTGTTAAATAACCCCCCAAATTCAATCTAAAATGCCTTTCTCTGCTCTCATGAACAATCCATTGGTGATTTATTTGATCTTCATAGTAATACTTCTCATACCATAAAATGCATCCTTATATGGTGAGTGTGGAGACCTCTTCCTCTTAAGATTTTTTTATCTATATTAGTTGTTTCAGTTTCTTTTATGACATGAATCTCATTAAATGTTGGTCGATTAGCATTAGTATTTTATACTATTTTATTTGCCCTACCTGTCTCTTTGTAATTCTTGAAATTAGTTTTTTTATGTAACTTGTATTATCTCAAAATGCACAGATGCAAGTATAATATATTAAGATCCAAGTGATCACCTCGAAAAGCCATAAAGAACTGAGCTCTATTCTAGTTGTATTCACAGCATATAATTGGTGACTTCAGCTATATCTGTCAAACTATAACTATAGTAGTTTTTACTCACCCTTCATGTATGTTTCTGGTAAAAACTTTTTCTCTGTGAAACCCATTATTTCGAAGCATCTTTCTGTTTCAATTTTAAATTGTGTCTCGTCAATTTTTAAGAATTTTCCATGCCTGATTAGACCTCGTACTATATCTGCTTCATCTACTTGAACTTCGCGATTGTCAGCCAAGGTTTTGACATAAGTTCGTTGCATTGGTGAGAACAGTTTCAGTGATATATCTTTTCTGCTAACAAAGAAACAGTGTTGTGTTATATTCAAGATATCAAGTATATAAAATGTAAAACTGCACCTGATTATTTTAGTAGTGATTGCAGGAATAGACAATTTACTGCCAAATGTAAATGGTATTTTCCATGGTTGACTTCCTTGGTTGTTTTTAAATGTTATCAAAAGATGTGGTGTGCCAATTTTCGTATTACACATAATGGCATTCTTAACATTAGTCACTATTCTGTGAGCTACTACTAAATTCTGATTACTCTTGTTCTAAAATAATTAAACATTTCTATGTAAATAAATGATGTACATAAATGATTTTATACATTTGAATCTGTTCTGTAAGAAAACTCTAAAACTGTTTCTACATGTAGTTTTTTTGTACTTTTTTAAACCTAATTCCTCAGGTAAAGGAGCTAAATATATTTACATGTGCTGGTTTAAATGGTAGAGGGCCAATATATTTTTCACATGTCCATAATTAAAAGATAAAGAGAGTAAATAAATTTTACATGGTCAGGTGCAAGGTGTGAAAGGAACAAATATTTTTACAAGTGCTGGTCCAAGAGGTAAAGATGGCATATATTTTTACAGGGACAGGCCTAAGGTATAAATGAGACAAATATGACATGAGTATGCATAAAGGGTCCAAATATTTTACATGGGCAGGCTTATGAGGTAAAGGTCCCAAATGTTTTTACATGCTTAAGGGGTACATGGTTCAAATAATTTTTATATAGGCAAGCTTAAGGGGCCAAATATTTTTACATGGACAGGATAGGAGATGAAAGAACCAAATATTTTAAGAAGTAAAGGGGCCAATTTTTTTAAATTAACAGATTTAAGAGGTAAAGGACCCAGAGATTTTGACATATTAATCAAATACGGACATGGAATGGTTCTTAAAAGCTAGCAATCTGAATAAACTCTAGCCTAAGTAACACCAATGCTTCACAAATGTGAAAATTGAATGTCCAAATGCTTCTCTTTACAGTTAGTATTGAGTAGAGGTGTTACAATAATAACTTATTACTTTGGCTACTCATCCCTCCCATTCTACATTAATTAAGAATAATCTATAAAAATACTAAAGAATCTTTAATTATCTGCCAGATGCCTTAAAATAAATTAAGATATCCATCTTTATTTAGAAATACCCTAAATATATTAATTTAAAAACCATATTACAATTTGCTGTGATGCATTTTAAAGTTAAATATATTTTTGTCTATAGGTTTCTTTATACAGTGTGACAATTAAAAACTTACAATGGGCTATATCTTACAAAACAAAAGATGATATCAAAAAATGCTTAAAAAAAGTTGTTAGGATAGGAAGGAGGAACTAAAATGACATAAAAGAGAACTCACCCCCATCAACTCCCTAGGCCCCACTTACCCCAAATAAAGTAAATAGCAAACCCCTACTTGTGATATATCATTGAAAAACCAATAAAAAATGCTATGCAATGATATAAATAATAATGGTATCAATAATTACCAAATTAATATCTAAATTTTTTAAAAACAAGCATACCCTACTTGTGATACAATATTAAAAAGCTCTAAAGGCTAATAAAACCTAATTTCCAATGATAAGTACTTTTTGTTGTTAAATAAAAACATTAATACATAGCCCATTGTAAGTTTTGAAATTTTTAACAATTAATGGTAATCAGATTTTTATATTTTTATGTAAACATTAACATCTGAATATCTCTAAATAGTATAAAACAAAGTCCCTGTCTGCCTGTTTCTCCATTTACTTCTTCTAAACCACCCAATGAATATTAATACAGTTTTCACTAAAAGAGCAATAAACACGGAAGGTTTGTGTATATAATCTGTAAATATTTTTACAAAATGGTTGAACTATAAAGTGTGTTGTGTACACTTACATGGCTAACACTGGTCAAATCTTAAGAGTTACATCAAAACAATGTACTAAAAAATTGTAGATCTACAGAAAAGTCAACGATAGAATGTGTCTATCTCCCAAGGTTCACTCACAAAATTCTATTACAGAGTAAAAACTGCTGGGTTATTTGTGAAACTATTTTCTCCAATTCATTATTAATCTTTATTCAGATAAATATGTTAGTTACCTTATGCATTTAATATTAATTAAAATTGCTTTGTACACTGTATAATTTAAATTAATACTTTAGAATATGTATGGGTTGCTAGTTTAATTACAAATTAAACTTTATCCATGGAATCATGCATTCTATCTAACAATAAAGTAGGTACATTAATTATCTTTGGTCTTTCATGCTACTAGTTTTTCAGTGGGGCCTGAGTTCCACCAATGTAGCGTTCGTTGAATGTTAGTTTACTTTTTTTTTTTAACATAGAGTAGATAACCTTTAAAATAAATACTTACTATTTGTAACTCCTTCATGCACTTAGGTACAGAACTCTGGCTCGTTATGGCAAATGGAAGAGTGACATCGGGTCCAATAAAATACAGATACATTTGCTCATATTTGTTAATCGAATTTATCACACCACTGATAGCAGTTTCATCAAAAGCTGGAGTAATATTACTATCAAAACTCGTGAAGAAAATTAGTTGAAGAGTAACAATTCCACGCATCTCCACTGCTTCCTCTAAATGATATATTGCCAGTCGTAGAGCATCTACCCAGTTGGATTTACCGGGCTGCATATTTTCGATTTCTTGAACTATGAGCTTGGGATCGAAATCATCTAAATCGGTTGTGTATATATTAGGGTACTTTCTATCGTTTTGAGTCTGAGCTGAGTTGACTAAAATTAGTCTGTAAATACTTTTCGAATTCATAAACCATCTGAATGAAGCAAATTTTAGTAGACCATTTAAAAGCTCCGACTTTTTTGATGATGCTACGTCGAATAGTATGAGACCGCAGTCTCTTTTCGACATTGCAGGCATGATTACTAACTATAAAGGTGGGCTAATCACTGAAAAGTATTGATAATACTTTCGTAATTTCAATAAAATTTGTGTAAAACAGAAACGAATGCACAAAAATACCGCAGAGTAGAATAAAAACAACCTTAACCTTATAAAAAACACAGAATACAAAATACAAGACCCGAAGACCCACACCACAAAACAACAAAAAACCAATTGACAATATTGACTTTGTACGGCCCAATAATACAAGGTTATACCGTTAATTTACGCCCTTCCACAACAGGGGTGTTTGGCCCATGTTTGGTAATGTTGACATTTGACATACGCCAAGTGGCGCATTTTGTGGGCGCATTGTTTATGCATTATTTTTTGTTATTTGCAAATTGCCGCTAATTCGTATTATATTATCAGATTATAGAATAATAACTATTTAGATAACAGGATTTAAGGTAAATTTTAATTGACCATATCCTCGTAAATATACAAAATATATAATTCATTCAATTTGCAGATGTACGGAAATGAAGAGGAACACGAAAGTGATGATGACTTTGATACTGAGATATTTAGCCCATCTTTCAAGCCTTCTTATGTAGTTATAGCCATCGACACACATCCAGGAATGTTTCAGAAACAACAAACCTCTACTCCATTTCGCGCCTGTTTAGAGGCGTGCCACAACTTGGCCGACTCTTTAATCTTCAAACAAGATAGTAGATCATGGAGCCCCTTCGCCGTAATGCTAACAGGCGAGTCTACGCCGCTGATAAGTTTTAATAACAGCATTTTGAATACCGTTAAACTGTTGAAAGATAAGTTACAGTTGACAGATTTAGAATTACAGCAAACCCACCAGAGGAAAGGTAATTTGGATTTAGGCGGATTTTTCTTGACCTGCAAGAAAATCTTTCACGATGTGAAATCGACGTTTCATAAACGAACGTTGATTTATATTAGCAATGATGACAGACCCATTGCAGATAAAAATTCTAAATTTATAGCTTTGAATGAAATAAAAACATTTGCAGTGAATCAGATCGAATTCCAAATTTTACCAACCATCAAAAGTTTTAATTATAAGTATTTTTATAACGAGTTATATGCTATATTAGGATCGCAGAAACGAGAAGAAATATGCACTGATGCAGAGGGTTTAACTCAGAAACTGTCATCGACGATTTTGGCTAAGATTAATGAGAGGAAAGTGTTGTTTTATCCCTTCAAAGGAGATTCTGGACGATTTTTGAAGTGCCTGCGTGTACATTTATTCTCAAATATACAACTATCCAACAGTTTCATGACCACAAAAGGTGAAAGAGTGGTAAATACTATGGTACCTGGAGATGAGAAGCATGTTTACAGCATCAAATATGTCAATGAAGAAAAAGCTGATAGCGTCAAGTTTGATCTATCTGAAAAGAATGCTTTCCAAGACTTCAATCTACCCAAAGGTATCACTTTATTATTTGTAGGAGACAGACAGCTGGATGTGGGGCATGTTTTTTCTAAACCAACTTTGATCAAAGTGGATCCAAAAGAAGAAGTCCCATTTTTTAAAAAGTTTTGGGATAATTGTGTTGCCAGCAATAAGGTATTGGTCTGTTGTTTGAAGGCTTGGCAGCCCGATAGGTTGAGATATGTGGAATTGATTCCAGTACTTGTAGATAATCAACAAATGTTTATAGGTAAGTATCCTTTTTAAGGGAAATAATATTTACAAGACAAAATAAAAATTTCTTTATTAATTTTAGTTTTAATTTCAATGAATTTGTTGGTTTTTTTTTATAGCAACATTTTATAATTTCTCAGCTTTTCTTATAACCTATGCTGCTGCTAGCCTTCACAAACTTATATCTCCATAATCTTGAAAGAGTTTTTTACAAACCTTCTCAAGCATGTGCAAACTACCATGAACTTAGGAAAGCATCCATCATCTTGAATGATTATTTCTAAACTTGTATGAACATCCACAACTTGTATATTTTGGTTCAAATCTTAAACTTACAAGAGCTTGAGCAGACCTCCACAAACTTAGGTACCCATGATATTAAATGAGTTCCTAAGCATGTATAATGTTGTACAAGACTTCTTTAGCTCCTACCTCATGAACATTGGCATGCTTCCACAAACTAGCTTTTATGAAGTTATTTGATTATTGGTCCACAAACAAAGGTACCTCTATATTTCTTTGGAAGTCCAGAAATAAATTATAAATCATTAATTAATATTTTTATGAAAATTTACCACCTTGGTGCTTTGCTATTAACAAGAGTATGAATTAAAACATTTTTATTATCGATATTTTAGAGAAACGTCTCCCTTTTGGCAATGAGATGTCATGGCCGGCAGCGATTGAATATCCTGAAGAAGAAGAAAATGAAGAAAGAAAATCTGCTATCAAAGAATTAGTTGATAAATTGACCTTCGAATTCAATCCCAAAATGTTGCCAGATGTGTCATTCCAAAAGAAAAAGGCTTATATTAAAGCCAAATTATTAGGTAATTAAATTATAATCATGAGTTTTAGATATGTCTTTATTTTGTGTTTTCAATATTTATTGTAAAATATATTTTTTAAGATGCCCCTATGGAAGAGGTGGAAACTGTGGTGGTCGACCAGGAACAACTAGATGAGGTTTTGAATGAGGTTGTGAACAATATAAAAGAGAAATTTGATTTGGTGGAGGAACCCAAGAAGAGGAAAGGCCCCCAGAATCCCGGCCCAAAAAACAAAAAAATTAAATAATACATTTTTTTTAGTAAATTCAATTTGTAACTTTTACATTCATTGTTTTTTGTGTAGTTTGATTGTCGTGTAAAAAGACCGTATGCATATTTTATTCCAGTGTTTGTGTTTTTATTAGTTAATCCTTTTTTATCATGTATTTTATTTAATTAAACCATTTTAAACATAGATGTAAAAAATATGAAAACGCAAAGAAAGGTGTTTTAGTGTTGCAGACTATTATAATTTTTCTATAATTTATTAATAAAATGTACGTGAATTTGTTTTTTATTTTTTTGTTTGCCACAGCCAGTAGACATCGCGCTGCTGGTCAGATCCGCTATCGCCTTGGATAAACCTTTCACGCGGCGTTAATTATTTATTGAATATGAAACATTAAATAAAAATGACTACGTAAAATTGTTGTAATCTGAAGAAAGTTTATAGTGTAAATAAAGTTGTTAACTGAAAAACACATATAATTACACCATAATCAAAAATTTCTACTGGCTGTAATACTACTCTCATCCACTGCTTCCAGCAGATGCGGAAGACACCCTTCTTTCTGTGATGATGATTGAGAAGAAAACAAAGTCTTAGTGAACAAAAATTGGGTAGTTACTATTAAAAAGCCATACGACTAAATAAAAAAATCTTGTGGACATAGTTAAATTTGATATAAATGATATCAACTAGATATTTATAGCCAATAAAAAACTTCGGCTCATTTTTTACGTCAGCAAATGCTACCCCGTTTCGCTTAAGTTCTGATCTCCAACAACGCCTATTAGATTTTGAAAATACACTACTGATTTTGACAACAGCAATGTCACGTCATTATTTTCGTAAAGATTTGTGAACATATTTTTTGTTTGATTTAGTATTTTTGTAGTACCTATATATTTATTATGTTCCACGCAGAAAGGATGATGTCTGGTGAAGAAAATAAAAACGAAATGAGGGATATGAATCTTGATAAAGTTGAGACTGTGAAAATTGACGAAATGGACGATCGCTTGAAAACGCAATCTTCGAGAAGACTGTGGGGGGTGCTTTTGAATCAAAATCCCAGTTACGAAAGTAAGTTGAACGCATAAAATTGACCAATCCGCGAAGAACAATGTATTCTATTAAATGTTATACAGTGTCTGTCAAAAAATCGCTACCATCATCATTTTTTATTAATATACCTCATGTGGTCCTTATTAGGCTTTCCGGGCATGGAAGGCATCCTTACGGGCCCAACACGGTCCATATATATGTAGACATTTGGCTGGGCGGACATGCCCTACCTATATGCCGAAGCAGCACACGTAAATCGGGCCGAGTCCGGCATCCAGCAAGCCTTCTTCGGCCCAGCAGTCATGGTGCCGATTAACTGTGTTTATTGAGAAAACAAATAAATATATTTGATCTATAAATTTGTGTTTGGACGTTACTGATAAATGTTTGATTTTTGTTGATGGTATTTTCAGTTTTTTAGACTAGAATTATTTTTTTGAAAAATCTTTATTGAACAGGTATTCATTCCATATAATATGGTACAGGACTTTTTGGCGGATACTGTATATCGCTTTCTTTGTTTGTAGACAATGTTCGTGGAAAACCTTGCGAAATTTGCGACAAATTGTGGAACGCCATTTCGAAGTTGTTTGGTCGTCCTTAAAAGAAAATCAAAACGAAGATTAGCTTGGATACAAATTATTGTCTGTTTTGAATAGGAAAAATAAAATTTTTCTTTGTAATTGATAAGTTTGTGTGTGTCTTTCAATAAAAACAAAATTACTTATTTGTGCTGCGTTTGAATATCCACATCCCAGCATTTTTTACATCTCGAGCGTTTGTTTATCCACATCGGACACATCTGTCCTACTATATTGAATCACGTGATCAAAGATTCACAACATCTAAGATGCATCTGATGTGGATATTCAAACGCAGCATTGATATATGTGTATTTCTATTATTCAAAAACATTTCTATCCCTAATCCTGGGTACCAAACTTCTCAGAATATATTTGAGAAGGAAGTATAATAAATAAGGCCATAAAAGCCCTGGAAAACCGGCTTTAGCCTCTACTCGTCGAGGAAGGATAGTTTCCCGTAAATTTTCCAGAAACGCTTAAGTTTTGCGAAGATATTAAAAACATCTACCTCAAATTTTACAATTTATTTTTATATCAAAAAAACATTGCCAGCTTTGGCATCAATATTAATTAAATCCTGTTTCAAATATTTGAACAACTTATACTGCGCCCACTTCTCTATGATGTTATCTTTACAATAAAATATATCGGGATAAAATTTTCGTAAATTATTCATCCTCTTTTTAATTCTTTTTAGGGTATTTTTACGGGCCGCGTTCAGTGGATCTTCAGATTGTTTTTGGACGTCTTCTTTCGATTCGGTAATTTTTGTTTGCGGTTTCTTGTCTAACAAAGAAGAATTCGATGTTAACAAATCACTTTTGCTAGACAAAGAGATATAACCCAATTTTTGCACGGCATTGTTTACTAGTAATATCTGCATCTCTTTCGTGGAACAGCAGACTTTGTATTTGTTGCATTTTTTCTTGCAAAATTCGCATTGTGTAGCTTCAAAGCCAGCAACTGAAAGAGTCAAAGGTGGTTATAAACAACTAAACCTTATTCGGACTTAATATATTATACAGTTTTATAGATGCGTACTTACAAGTATTTCTTAAAAGAGCATCAGCCTGCAAAATATATTTTATTTCTTTCTTAGTCGCGATATTGTCTAACAGAAGTGTTACAGCTGCTTCAGTTGCAAAATAAATATTTTTTCCAATTTTCTCTTGGTTTTCGAGTTTACTATTTATTGTCAAAGATTTTGTACCAGACGCCGAAGTTTTACTGTTAGAAATACGTTCCATTATTACATTGGTTGGACATTTCAGAAAATGTTTTTAGTATTACAGAAACAACAGCAGATTGGCATATAATGTATAATGCAGCTTAAAGTCATTTTGGTATTGCCTTGACGTTTCATGACATTTTCACATCAGACACATTTCCAATAATATTAGTGTCAGATAATCAATCAATAAAATAATAAAAACACAGCTATAAAAAAATTAAACCCTAAACCGTTAAAAGAATGTGGCACGAAGCCAGACGACAAGGAAAAAAAATAACAGGAATGCTGGTCGATTATAGGAAAAGAGCAGAACGTCGTAGAGACTACTATGAAAGCAACAAAGCAGATCCAACGCAGTTTTTGCAGATCCACGGACGTCAATGTAAGATCCACCTGGACCCCAACATGGCGACATCCGCAGAAAAGGCCATTATGATGTACTGGCAGGACATTCTCGTCGACAGATTTGACGTCAGGGTTCATTTAGGTAATATTGGAGGAAACGTTACTATTATAATTAAGTCGTTTTTTACTTTTCAAGGCGGGTACAGATCTGAGCACGTATGCATATGAGGCAAGCCGAAGACGCATAATCATGCAGATGTAGACAGGCTTCCGAGACACGACAAATTGCTTTGTTCTGTGTGCCGTGCTGCCTCACCCCGATCCTTTTGTTGGCGGTAAGTCAAAGGGAGGCAATGCACAGTACGTGCTCAGACTGGACGAGGAATGAGTACCATGCAGCACCGAACAGATTATAGCGTTTTCAAGGTTTATTGTACATGGAGTGGAGCCAGGAAAACGTTTTACTTCATCTAGATTTAAATAATTAGCGTGATATCTTAAGAGCGCAAGACGCCAGTGCCAGTATCCTTGGCGCGAAATCGGCCATCGATTCCTTTTTCTCCTTCTTCTTCAATGTGTCGGATAAAATAATAAAACTGCCACTCAACTCCGCGACGTCATCCTCATCCTCCATTGTTGTTTTAATTTTACGAGTGTTCTGGATGTACGGATCTGTGCTCGCGAATTCACTGGATCAGTGGCGAATTTTGTGCGTCCACCATACGTGCTCAGATCTGTACCCTTCTTTAGACATCTTACATAATAATCAGAGATATTACAATTATGTAGATTTCGTATTTATAGCTTCGTTTTGGCTTGTATATGATAATGATTTAGTTTTTTCCTGTCCAATTAGATTCCACCCCATCCGAAGACGAAGTTCAAGACGAGGAACAAATACTAACGCAGGAAGAACGTCAGATTAATTACGAAAGATATAGGATAATCGCTCAAAATTCTTTCCTGAAGATACCGGAAGAGAAATTTTTGAAACAATTACATTTAGAAGAACAATACGGTTATAACGATATAAAAACTAAAAAAGATTTAAGGACGGGCGTATCTATAGGCTTCAACTACGAAGAAAGCGATATAATGAATCAAAATATTCTAGAAGAATCTGATTACGACGACTCGGACTTAGATTTAGACGTGGATCTGATTATCAACGTTACGAAATTAGATATGAGCCAAGCCAATGAAATGAATAAGCACGGTTGCAGCTTTGGTATGAGTTCAAACGATTTTTATTCATTTCTTATCAACGATTTAGAGGAAGCAGAAGCATTTAAGCTAGCTAGGGTAGAAGAGCAAGAAAAAGCTTTGTTTTCCGGAAGAAGATCAAGACGCGAAAGAAGGTCGCACCGGGAAAGAAAGCTAGCCAATAGAACGGCCAGTCCCCCGAGTTACGCAGCCAAAAGTTCGCCAGTAAGAATAAGAACCAATCGATCCAAATCACGATCTAGATCACTTTCACCAGCAATTTTAGAGAAAATAACTTATATAACCTCGTTTGGTGAAGACGAAGAACCTTCTACTAGTAAATCAGTTGAAAATAGAGCTAAATCTAAAAGAGTTTGCAACAACAAAAGGAATCACTATCGAGGTAGATTAAAGTACAAACGTAACACCAGTAGGAGATATCGAAGAAATTCAAGCACAACTTCTACTTCCAGTTCAAGGACTTCTAAAAAATCGAAGAAATATACTAGAGGTTGTAGAACACGCGACTATTCGTCGTCGAGCAGTAGCAGTCAACATTCTTCCCATCAAGTAAAACAAAGCTGTAAATTACATACAATAACTCCAGAACCTGTCAAAGTTTTGACCAGATACTATGGTCGGAAAAAAAGGGACACCTCGTCGTCATCAGGCTCCAATAATTCGAATTTAGATTCGACAAGTTTAACTAGACAGACTCCGATAACCAATAAGAAACCAACAAACAATTCGGTAATAGAACGGCTGAAAAAGAAGAGGCAAGTGTTGATAAGCAAGCGGTTTAAAGCGGATAAAATAGCTGAAAAATTAAAATCTGAAAGGGAAAAACTAGAGCAGCAAACTAGAGACGATGAATTGAGGGAGATGTCTTTGAAGTTAAGGAGGAAGCAACGAGAAATCAGACATGCCAATGACAGTTACAGCAATTCCAGTTATTCTGATTTCAGTAGCGGCAGTAATGATTCATCTAGAAGTCATAGTAATTGCAGAAGTTTAAAACGGACAAATAGAGAAAGAAGCGTAAGCAAAGAAAGAAGACGAGAAAGGGGTAGAAAACAAAACAAGTCCCGTAGAGATTCAAAAGATATCGATGCTAGTTGTTTATTAAATAAACTAGTAAATTATTAATTAATTTAAATACATTATTATTATTATTATAATTGTTTACAAATGATCATGTTTTTGATATAGGCATTTGAAGTACCTAAAAGAAAGGGCGATGAGTTGTCAACAAACGTAGTATAACTACCTATCTTTAATAAAAAAAATATGTCGCATTTATTTTGTTTGTTGACTAGCATTTCGTTATTGAGTGCAATTATATTTTAGCGATGAATTTGTTTACTTACTTTAATTTTATAGTAAAACTATAAAACGACTCCATATGAAAATCGAAGATATGTGTAATTATTTTACACCTGGCAATGAAGCTCGTGTTTCTTCCAGTCCCCTTCCCCTTAACTTCCGAAAATCTCTATTAACTTGGACGTATGACAGATGTCATTCTAGTCGTGACTGCAGGGAACAATGTTGCCAAGATTGATACTGTTTTGATAAGCAAAATAAAGTTAAATTTGAGTTTATTATTTCATACTATACTTACATTTGTCATTCCTAATGTTGTCCAGAACAGGACAATCCTAAATAACTACAATAATCTCACTAAAACTTACACTAAAAAAAACTCCTCGAAAGAAACGGTGGGATCGATTATTTCTATTGGGAACTTCATCGTGCTATGTTGCCGTGTTCATAAAAATTACAAATCTTTACTTAAATGGTTTACCGTTTTCTCATTTGATAAACATGAGACAATATACATCTACGTCATAAGAAAGAGAATATAAGGTCTGTTCTTGTTTTGAGAAATAACTGGCTGCGAATGTGCCGAAATAAGTTATGGTTTACCCTTTCTTTAAAACTACTCTACAAGTACCGATTACAGACAAATCGATTATTGAAATATTTACTTCATTCTCTTTTGATTTCTACAATCGTTACCTTTTGTAAAAAAAAACTATATTGAAATATTTGTATGAATTCAACGTATAATTAAATACAGAAAGTGCACAAAACATATATCTCTACGCTAGTACCTAATAAATATTACATATTTAATTATAAAAATAATCATATTTTTCGTAATTTGACATAATTAATTGGCATATTGGCAACTCTGTTCTCGGTTGCGGTCGTGAGTCGTCGGCGACGAGTGTGCTCGTCTGCTGTTGCCGTTTCATTTTTGGCTGGCAGTTTTTTTATAATATTGGTGTTGTAGAGTGTTTTATGATGTAAAATATTATTTAATGTACGTTTATTTTCAATTTTTGTTCAATTTAATATTCATAACTTCTTATATATTTAATATAACACGTTTTAAAATTACTTCCAACCTTCGGCATCTTTTGTAAAGTTGACATGGCGCTGATGTATTTTTAATCAGAGTAACTATAAAGTGATCTAAATGCAGATGAAAACATTGAAATACGTGATTGTTATTTAGAAACGTTTACAAATGTTAGCATATTTTTTAAAGTAGATCAGTGATTTGTTACTTTTTGCCTATGATACACATAATAATCCTTGTTTTAGTTTTTACACAATGGAGGAAATAACCTCGGGTTTAGATCCCGATGAATTGATGGATCTAGATGAACCTGAAGGTTCTGATTTAGAGGATGATGAAGAAGACCTTATCGATGATCATATTTCGTCACCATTTATTTTATCTTCTGCCCCAGAATCTACTGCAAACTCTGTTGCCTCATCTCCAATTAGTGAAGATTGTCATCCACCTTTTAATTTTACAGGAAAGCCTCTTAATGTTAAACGGGGCAGAGGAAGACCTAGACGAGAAGGAGGTATGCTTTTTTATAAATTTATACATGTTTAAATGGGTAATAAGTGACACTGGCCCTGTAGGTAGTGAAATTAAAAAAAAAACATTCTTCGCTCCCTAAATATTTTTATATAGTAGTTTTTCGGATAGTAAACCCTACAAATACTGGGTTTCTTTAAAACTATTGTTTTTAAATTGAAAATGACCCTATGTATATTATACTTAATTTTTTCTAACCTTCGGTCTCAATGTAAAAATTTATCAAAATTATATTTCTGGTATAGATCTGATTAAGGTTTGTGAAAATACAAAATACTTCTGGAACCACATTAATTTTTTGAAACAATACCATGGTATTCCCAATAGAATGTATTATAATGGTACCATTGCTGATAATGGGAAAGACATCAGTAATTTGTTTGCTATGCATATCTCCAGTGTCTATAAGAAAGATATTGTAGATGAGCCAAACCTTCATTATAATGCTTTTAACCAGCCTGATATTCCCTTTATACAGTTTTCCTTAAGTGATGTGTATGATGGTATTAACTCCCTAAAAGATAAATTGAGTTATGGTCCAGATGGAATCCCTGCTTATTTTTGGAAAAAATGTAAATTCACTCTTTCCAAACCACTACAGTTTTTATTTAATTCCTCTTTGAAATTACAACTGTTTCCTGCAAAATGGCGTGATAGTTTCATTACCCCCATATTTAAAAATCTGATGTGTCCAACACATGACTTTCCTATCTAGTTATTATAGGCATTTTGTGGTTATTTTGTACAACCTATTGCAGCACCTCTATAAATATTTAGAGGATAAACTAAATATATACATTTTCCATATACATCTACCTCAAAACATTTTTCTATAGATATCATTGAAAACGAAAATACTGAAAAATTTAAATTTAGCACTCTTCCTCTAATTTTTTCATTACGGTCCATTTTAGAAAAATTATATATAAACAAAAATTATAGAGATCGATATCGCAAACAACTTTTAGTTCAACAATTTTCATAAAAATCAGAATTTTACACATTTTGTCAAATTTCTCGAATACGGACCATTTCAGGAAATTTTGTCATAAAGCAAAAATTATAGATAATAATATTAGAAGTAACTTTTATTTAAACAATTTTTTTCTCCAAACATAAATAACAGACATATTCCATAAAATATAAAAAGGGCCTCTCATAAAGTACCCCCAAGATGTTCCGACTTTGTCCAAAATCTAATCATTTCACGTCAGGCCGAAATAAAACTTAAGTTTAAAATTTAATGTTTTTTCTTTATCCGTTTTTGAGTTTTCTTCAAAATTCGAAATTTACACATTTTCTCAAATATCTCGAATACGGTCCATTTTAGAGAAATTATGTATAGAATAAAAATTATAGAGAATTACATTACAAACAACTTTTATTTGAACAATTTTTATATTTTCATTTTGTCAAATTTCTCGAATACGGACCATTTTAGGAAAATTTTAGATAAAACAAAAATTATAGATAATAATATTAGAAGTAACTTTTATTTAAAGAATTTTCTTCTCCAAATGTAAATAACAGATATATTCCATAAAATATAAAAATGACCACCTATAAAGTACCCCCCCAGATGATCCGACTCTGCCCAAAAACTAATCAGTTCATTGGACGATGGAATAAAGCTTAAGTTTAAAATTTGGTGTTTTTCTGTATATCAGTTTGAGTTATGGTGGATACAGACACACACACAGACATCATCGCGAAAATAGTCAAAACGGATTCAGGGGACCTCAAAACGTAAAAATCCGTCGAAAACTCGAGGTCGAAAAAAATCATGATTCCTATACTTTCCTTATATCTGTATACAGCTAGGAAAGTAAAAATGGTCAGAAAGATGACATAGTTAACTATCGCCCTGTAGTTTTACTTTATGAAATACCTAAATTATTAGAATTATTGTTATATAAACCTTTGTCATGGCATTGCAAAAGCATTTTGATTGAACAACAGCATGGGTTTATGGGAGGTAAGTCTACTAATACAAATTTACTGCTCTATGAACATATATCATTTCTGCCTTCGAGAGGGGGTGTCAGGTTGACTCAATTTACACTGACTTCTCGAAGGCATTTGACGCGGTGAACCATGATTTGCTTTTAAGGAAACTAGTGAAATTCGGGTTTCCAAACTACTTAGTGAAATGGTTAGAAAGTTACCTGCAATCCAGGGTTCAATATGTCAAAGTTAAAAATTTTACTTCGATTTCAATAAATGTAAGTTCAGGTGTCCCCCAGGGATCTCATTTGGGACCATTACTATTTAATATATTTATTAACGATGTGGCTTCAGGATTTAAATATTGTAAGTTTCTACTATTCGCTGATGACCTGAAATTATTCATGGATATCTTAAACTTACCTGACTGTTTGAAGTTACAGTCTGATTTAAACTATTTTATTAATTGGGCTTCAAATAATGCCATGTCTTTAAATCCACGTAAATGTTTTTCAATTACCTTCACAAGATCAAAAACCCTGTAAATTTTCTTTATAATATCAATACTACAGTTTTGGAGAAAGTTAGTGAAATCAAGGATCTAGGTGTGATCTTGGATAGTTCTTTGACATTTGTCCCACACATGAGATCCATCATTGGGATTTGTGACCAGGAACTCTAGGGAATTCTCTGTGCCTACATGTAAGGAGTGAGGGCTGTAACGTTGCAAATTAAAATCAAAAATGGTTATTATTGGCGGACTTGTCTTCCATGGTCTCCTGGACCCGCACGAAAAGAGGAATCTCGGTAGTGTTGTAAATATTAATTATTTTTTGACATGTAATATGTAAATAAATTGATGTTATACTGTTCTGTGCCTACATCCCGAACCCTTTACTTAACACTAGTGCGCAGCATCCTCTTATATGCTTCACTAGTCTGGTCACCTCATTAAATTTAGAAGCAGTTCAAAATAGGTTTCTAAGAACTTGTCAGTGGAGGTTACATATGCCTTATCTTTCTAAGAGGGAGCTTAATAACCATTTAAAATTATCAGTTGAAAAAACGTTAATTAGTAATGATCTTGTATTTCTTTATAACCTTCTGGAAGGGAATATAGCTTGTTCGGATATGTTGGAGCTAATAAACTTTAGATTAAACAACATAAATATTAGAGAGAAACCATTATTTTCAATTAGCTTCCATCATACGAACTACGGACTCAACAGTCCTTTAAGGCTGGGAAATGGACTAAAAATGGCGGCCGTTGGGAATATAGCTTGTCCGGATATGTTGGAGCTAATAAACTTTAGATTAAACAACATAAATATTAGAGAGAAACCATTATTTTCAATTAGCTTCCATCATACGAACTACGGACTCAACAGTCCTTTAAGGCTGGGAAATGGACTAAAAATGGCGACCGTTTCTGTCATTTTACAACGTCTTACTAAATCATGCTTTTTAGATTAATAAAGAAAAATTATAAGGAAATTGAGTTATAATTATAAACAGCAGCATTGTAAGAATGAATTGAATATAAACATATTCGATAATAACTAATCATAATTTCACATTATCATTAAAAACTTTATTGCAAGGATTATTAAGCAAATTGTTTTCAATGAATTCTCTATGATTTTTTATTAACTATCCAACAATATGACGGTTGTCGGTCTAATAATTATTACAAAAAGCATGATTTCCATTTGCAAATTTTGACACAATTTTTAAAGTTGACGCGTTAATTATCTTGTAATTTTAGTACACCGTGTGCACCACCAATGCGACATGCAAGGCTGAGTTAACATATGCATTGGAACTTGGGCGACAACTAGTGGTTGCCAATCAGAACAGTAAACGTCATATGTCAAATTAATGGTTAACCAATTAGAAATGCAAACGGCATGTCAAATTATTTCAAAGTACAATACTTGCATATGATAATACGACGTTGCCGTTCTATGTATGTTTACAATGATTTTAAAGATATTTATTGAGTGACAAAATTTTCCTTTATGGACAAAATCCACATACTTTGATTACTATACGAGGCAAGAGAGAGGTCCGACACGCCCAACATAGGGCGCGGCTATTTTGAACCCTGTGATACAGTTTACAGCTAAAGAATCAGATCGCTCACTCTGCGTCGGCACTTTGGATCTCAATGTTTCAGTTTATACACTGTGCAACTCGGATAATACAATATATGACAACCGCCTATAATAAAACAGCAGTCTTCTGCGTATCCTGAATTTGTATCCCTGGAGTGGATGTTATTTTGGAACTTTCAACTGGTCCGAGTGAGCTAACTGATTCTTTAGCAATAAACTGTGACTTCAAAAATAATATTCACTGACACTGGCAGCAGCAAGCAAAATATCAGGTGCGTTTTAATCATCCGCTTCTGCTTCCGGAATTGTCGGTTTAGTCGTTTTAACCTGTCAGATTAAAACAAGAAAACTGACAATTCCGAAGCAGAAGCGGATGATTAAAACGCACCTATTAAAAATATTACGCTAAGATGTAGGCAACACGTAATAAGGGTTCAAAATGGCGCAGTTTTTTATCTCCTTTTAAAAGGCACTCAGAAAGCTGCGCAGTGCGACCATTCTCCGTATAGTGAAAGAAAATCAAAGTATGTGACAAAATCGGGAAGCTTTCAAGGGACAAGCACTTTTATTAGTTGACAAGAATTAAAAAAAAATAGTTTTGTACGTTCTCAAACCTGCTTTATACAATGTGTGCCAATAAGTTGGATCCATATGTGATTTTTTTTTAATATTACAATTGGAAAAAAACATCGTAGACCAATCATCTCTGGTTATTTAAAAACTTAAACTAACCCATATCAAATTTGACTACTGGAATTAGTTCTGTCAGTCTCGTTAAAAAAAGGATTTTTAAGCGATTTTTCAAAATTATTGCGAATTTGACAGGTAAGTAATGTACGTAGCCAACTTTTTAAATAATCAGAGGTAAATGACGTTTTTCCGGTCATAATATTAAAACAAATTGCCATATATATATGGACCCAAC